ACATGGCGTGAATTTCACCACAGGCACCGCCGAGATCCTTGTCATTATAGAATGCCTCCCAGAGGTACAACAAGGACTTAGGGCCAGGTTTCGTACCGGCGTCCAGGAGGATACAGACTTCGGGGTTCAGAATGCGGCCGAAAGCGTTAAAGAGCCAACGATGCGAATTGATCTTCTTACTGTTCTTTTGTTTTAAACAGAACATCATTTGCACGGGAGGTAGTGTGCTTGGGCCATCGTCTGTGGGTCGAATGAGCTGCTGGCTTGGCGTGACCGAGAGCTGAGTCGTATATTCGAACTGATTCTGTCAGCTTAGGTCTTTTAGGTCAGATGGGACCACTTACAATATGAGCCAAAGTCTCCTTGCCATCAACATCACGCTTCATAACACCATCCTGGTAGATGCCGACAGTCGCAAGGACGTCAAGAGTATCCTTGTCGCAAGGGTCAATACCGTCAAACACCAGGGCCACAACAATCTTCTGCCATGCGGGTCCACCCTTGTTCCAGAACTCGGATTTCTTCAAGTTGACAATGTCGCGAATGTTCTGCATCACACCGTGCAAGGTACGAGCCGTGAGAGTCTTGTCCTCGTTGTAGTAAGTAATCGCGATGAGCAGTTCCGTATGACGGTTGTACATGGCGGGGCGCAGGTTGTAACCATTGTGGAGGGTGAACTCGTTCGGGTCACAAGTGGCTGCGGTGTATCGCATGTGAGTGAACTCTTCGCTTCCACCTTCCACGTCGTTGCGGTATTTGGCTTGAATGGCATTCTGGATGGCACTGGGCACGGGGTAGTCGACACTGAGGACGGAGCCCTGCACTAGTTTGACCTTCCTGGTAGCATATCTGCGCAAGCCACCACCGCCTCCACCAGGGGCGCCACCAGGGGCCTGTCGCTGGCGCCAAGCCTCAGTAGATGAGGTCTCGCTGCGGGCATAGGGCGATGCAACTCGGCCGGGAACCCCAAATGCGGCTGCAGTACTTTCCTCCTGGCCAGAGTAGACGGTGCCAGCGTTGTATGGATCGTGGTAAGAAGGGGCGGTGTCCGCTGCGTAAGTCTCCGTCAAGCTGTACTTGGAAGCCGGACGTTGGGGAGAAACACCGCGCGAGTGTGGGTCATCAAAGGGTGTCGCAAATGGACCCTGTTGTTGGGACAATAATCCACGGGCTGCATCCTCATCCTCGCGATACTAGAAAAGAAAAAGAAAAAACACCGTCAGCTCGAGCGACTAGTTCACCACCTCTCATACATACCTGTGAAGCTGGCACATCCTGCAAATGATGACTATCATCATAGCTCGGTGAGTGCGAGCCAGAGCCGTGGTAGGCCATATCGCAAAAGGTTGAAGAATCAGAAAGGGATGTGTTTCAAAGCTGACAAGAGAGGGGTATCTGTTCAAGCCGGGCGCATTTATCAACAATTATCGAAGCCACCGGGGCTAGGAAGGATAGAATCTTTGCAAATAAGTTTTTGAGTCAAGGGTCAAAGAGAAAAAGGAAGAGAAGGGAAGGGGGATGGGGATGGGGTTAAAAAAAAAAAAAAAGGGAGACAGTAGTGAGACTAGAAAGGTCAAAAATAGATCTTAGCCCCGTCCTTTCCCCTGTCCCTTTTTTTTTCTTTTTCTTTTAAATTTAAGATGTTTATATTTTTAAACTATTGTATATTCTATAGATGTAAATAGTAAATAGTAAATATGTAAATAGTAAATACTATGTAAATACCACACATACTCCATCCCTATGTAGAGAACGAGAACCCCTACCCTAAGTTTCGAATGGCTTAACATATTTCCTTTCTTTCTCTTCTTTTCTTTTTAGCCTTCCCTTTATTTTTGGGAAGTGGACTATACCCGAACCTAATAAAGCTGGCTCCACTGATGAAACCTCTTATAAACATGTTCAATTCGGCTATATAGAGGACCCCATTCCCACATTCCCGAACATAAGGCTTAACATTTGTCGGCATGCTTGACTTCAATTTTGAACGCCACATCTACATCTTACATTTGCAAGTTGCCCCAGGTGTGTTTACTCATTCTATTATTTTACCTAGGTATTAGTCATTCTGTCCCTATAAGGCTGTGAACCAAGGTTATTAGGATGGATACTAGTCACATGACCATAATCTCAGACATTACCCCAAGTGTCTATAGGGCTTATATTTTGCCTATTATTATACTATGATTAGACTCGGGCTGAATTATTGTTCAGCTCCCATATACGGTGGCTAGTGGCTAATGGCGCCCATGTGTCAAATATCTTTTTAATTTCCTTATTTCCCCGACCTAATATAATAAGATTTCAGTACAAAAAGATGTTAGAGATTAATTAGCTGCCCTATTTGGAAATCAAGCACAAACAAGACAAACAAGACAAACCAAACAAAAGAAAAATCCAAATCCGCAATCTTGGAATATCAATAGTCCGACCTCGGGAGAGTCCAGACCCTACCTAGGATGTCCACTTATTTCCCTCACGTCCAAGTAAGGATGGGATGAAACACTCTGATATTTAATATTAAAGGTGTGATCTCTCAATTTTATATATTCCTGCCTATCCTCTTTATATAAAAAAATATACAATATACTACTCACGTAATCCGTACAAAGGTACAATTTGAAGCTTATTGTGTACCTGACTACCCCGTATCTCACCCGTGGAACAGGCCCGTGACCTCGATTTATCATACTCTTTCTCCCTCTCTCTCCTTCTCCTTCTTTTCCATCAATTTATTCTCTCCTACATTGTTCTTTTGGTGGCTTGGGAGTTTGTGAGTCTTTCTCTCATACGCGCGGCCAACGTCAACAAATCAAAGCCCCCCCCCCTATCCCCACCGTCTTTGACGTATACAATCTCTGTCAAAGTGTCTGGACCATCCCAAGGACCATGATCATCGCTTAACCCTCACATTTCGATCTTTATCTCTCACACGACACTCGTTTTCTCGCCCACTCGGCTTTGATGATCTATTTACGCTCACGACTTGACGCCGATTGAGCATCCTACACTCCTTTTTCCATCTTCGATCTTGCACATTCCTTGCCGTTGATCGGCTTTATCGATATTACCCCGTCTTTTTTGTGTTATCATCCTGATTCTTCTCGCCCATCATGCTTCTCGAACCCATCGATTCCGCTTTCTCCCCGGCCCGCTCCCTCTTCAAGCGCTGCAAGCAGTGTGAAACCTCATCCCCCGCGTGTCCCGCATGTCCCGATGGATCAATATGTACCATGACCGCTCCGAGCTGTGATGAATGTGCGACCACAAAGTGCGTTTCAAACGGCTCCAATCCCTCGGGCTCCGGGGGCTCCGACACGGGCGCCATTGCCGGTGGTGTGATTGGTGGTGTGGCTGCCATCGCCCTCATTGTGTTCTTGGTATGGTGGTTCGTCATCCGAAAGAAGCGCCTGGAGCGCCAGGAGGCGGAGAAGAACGGTTCATTTGGCGCGGCTCGCAGTGACCGCCAGTCCATCGCCTCTACAGTCCTAACCCGTGCCTCCAATGTTATTCAAATCGCCTACATTCCTGGTGTCACCAACCGTTCTCCGCCGCAGACGCCATCCTCCCTCATGCCTCCCGTCCCACCGCTTCCTGGCGCGACACCCGATCAACACTTCTTTATGCCCGGTGACCTACGTGACTCGTCGTGGACAACCACTACCGGCCACCAGAGCATCTCCCCCACTTTGCGCAGCAGTGTGGCTACCACCATCTACCGTAACGATGCCATCGTTAGTGCCGTTCCTGCGCAGCAGATCCAGCGGACTCGTGCAGCCGTCGTGAGCATCCACAACGGAGGTGCCGGGCCCAATGCACCTGGAGACGACTCGCCCGTTTCTGTCACGGTGACTCCTGCGGATGCACCTGCAGTCCCAGCTATTACCCCGGCGCAACTCGCTCGGGCGGAGGCGGTCAAGGGCAATAGTTCATGTGTGGCTCGCAGTGTAACGGCCAAGCCGGTGATGGTGCGTGGTCCTTCAGTCAAGAAAAAGCAACCCAACAACCCACCTGCTGTCGACCCGATCGAAGAGCTGTCTGAGAAGAGTAAAAGCAACAATACAAGTCGGGCGGTGTCAATCACAAACAGCGATCAGCCCAATCATAACGTTTCCACATTTGACGGATCCTCGTCGGGCGGCGATAACACACGTGCCTCATCCACCGCTAACCTGGAAACCGGTTCCTCGCATCGCCAGAGCGACTCACGTCGAGCTTCCGGCTTGAGTGACGGACGCAGCTCCACGCCACCCATCCGGGTAGAAAGTCCATTTTCGGATGCGAATGAGGTGAAATGAGCTAGTCTGGGGCTGGGCGCAACGGGTTTTTCTATTTTTTTGTGATTTTCAACCTTGTTTTCTTTGTACGTATGAAGCCTGTCACGGCTTTTTGTGCCTTTTTGATTTGAATCTTTTCCTCGGGTGCCTCGTACAGCGAGTGTTGGCACACTGAGATGGGACTGTCGATTGAATCTATACTCTCATTGATTATCATTTTGGGGTATTATACATACCTTCATCTTCGTCTTCGTACTCCCGTGAGAATCTAGTGTACACTATCCTATGGGGTTCTTTCAAGGTCTATCATACCTCTGTATATTGAAATTTGGCAGAGGCCGAAACAGATAAAACGTTTACCAAAAGCAAGATTGAACAGTATGTTTTATGGTATTAGATTCCAATCTTGTGAAAAAGAGAAAATGTTCACAGTAAATATGTAGGCAGTCTATCAACTTCCTGATTCTCTTGATAGTCGAATAACACTTCCCATTTATATACTTTAGACTCCTATACGAATTCACGCTTACTACTTGACCACTTCATTTTTGGTCTTGATATATATTTCTCATATCTACCTAGGCAATCCTAAAGCCCTCTAGGCCTTAAAGGTCAGTCCATCAATCTTCATCTTTCAATCTTCATTATCAATTGAAAAGCGCCAAGAAATCTGCGGGGAAGGAAACGTCGCGACTCAACCCTTTTGCTTCTATTTCTCTCACTATGGCGCTCCCCCAGAGGACATTGAATTGGCTGTGGAGTGTCTTGTCAAAGGTTGGTCTCTCTGAAACCTATATATCTAATATACTAAACCTCCCCAGGATCACTATGATCCACAACAGACCTACCGCGACCCAAATCGGACCTACCACGATGTTGTCAATGCGCTCTCCCAGTACCCCTCGCTCTCCCCTCGAACAGATGTCTATAGTGAGTGTCCCCTGCATTTTACCTTCTTATTTCTAACATGAACAGCCTATGAGACAGGTTTCTCGGCCCTCCTCCTTCACCTGGTGGGCACGTTGCCTGTCACCTTCCGAGGAACGACCTACCGATTTCCCATTGCGCTTTGGATTCCAAATACATACCCACACGAACCTCCAATTGCCTACGTGACCCCGACACAGGAAATGACTGTCCGAGTTGGGCAACATGTGACGCTGGAGGGACAGGTCTACCATCATTATCTGGCACACTGGGCGGAAGCATGGGATGTAAGTGCTCCCAATCACATGGGTTAATAGACCACTGACCATTTTCGATTCACAGAGATCCACCATCGCCGATTTCCTTTCTATTCTTCAGGATGTATTTGCCAAGGAACCCCCTGTTCGATATAGACAAGTACAGCCTCAGCCGGAAGCTGCCCAAACACCCCCGCCATTACCTCCCCTTCCACCCGGTGTCGCATCTTCGAGACAAGCTCAACCTCTATCTCCGCCTGCAAGCCAGAACCAGATTCCACCTCCACCTCCACCGAAGCCAGGTGCAGCTAGCGAGCATCGGCAACAACGGTATCCTGCTGATCCATATCGATCTCCCCCACCGCTACCTCCACTCCCACCAAAAGAGCAAGGCTCTCGTCAAGCATCTTTATCCACACAATTGGCCAGTCCTGGAACCCACCCATACCAGAATTATGCGCCACCAAGCCAAACTGGAGGACCGATAGGTAGTCCTCGTCCCTTGTCACAGCCACCCCATCAGCCAGCGGGGCAGCCGATGCCGCCCCAGTCGACGCAGGGTCAAGCACCGTATTATAGAAACAGCGGAGCGCCGATGCATCATGGCCCTGGGTCTAGTATATCAACCCAGCTCCCTCAAGCCAACCCAGCGGGGGCGCACTTGCCTCTGCAGCCGCAACTCCCCCATCAACCACACCAGCAATCGTCTGGTCCTCCGTATCCTCAGCATTCTCCATACCCATCCAATTATCCCCACCCACCCCCAGCAGCACCAACGAAGGCCGACACACCCGACCTTCTAACCTCGCCATTTGACGTCGAGCTACCCTCAATCGCACCCACAGGACCAGCGCCTCCCATCCCACCAAACCCAGAGAAAGATGCACTTCTTCATGCCGTGTCCCGGACCCTGGTGGAAACCCTCCGCGCTAACGCTGCACAGTCCGACACGGCAGCGCAGTCCCTCGTCTCACAATCACGGTCCCTGCACGCCGCGATGGCCACGCTGCAGGGGGAGGTCTCGGCGCTTAATGCTCTCCACACGACCCTGCAGTCCAACACTACTGTCCTACAGCAATCCATCCATCGCGCCGATGCCACTATCGCAGACGCACAGTCCCGCTCTACATCTATCCCCACTTCTAGCGTTCATGGAGACACTCCTTCCGGCCTACCCCCCATCGATGATGTCCTGGTTGCCCCCACCGTGGTAGGGAAACAACTATATGATTTGGTCGCCGAGGAGCAAGGCATACAGCAAGCTCTTTATGCGTTGCAGGCTGCGCTGGTCCGCGGTGTTATTGGTGTCGATTCCTGGTCGCGGCATACACGAAGTCTCGCACGGGAAGCTCTGCTCAAGCGGGCACTGATTCGTAAGATCGGACGTGGAATGGGGTTAGATGAGAACGTGACCTGAATGATCGGATGCTGAGCACTGACTAGACATTTCTGGTTATATATACCCTTTATTTTCTCCCCCATGTTATGAAGGTCACTTTATAATTCTCTTCGACTATTCCAACGGACAAATATATTCCTATTTTTTAGATAGTGTGCCTAGATATCGAGCTAACAAAGGCTTGTAAGAGTCGCTGTCCTTCATGGAAGCAAATATTTTCCTGTAGTTTTCCTCCACTTCCAGCATAATGCGCTCTTCATCGTCAAATTATCATCTGGATCCTTCCAAAAAAGCGTTCGATTATCATCTGCCCAGTCATCCACTACCTTTCCATTGGGAATAGGAGTATCAATCCCTTGGATCTTTAATGATTTGGAATCCCTTTCGCGCGATAGTCGTTCAAGTTGAGCATCCACATCTAGATCAGACTATACAGACTTGAAATCATGCGGCCCCCTCTCCCAGTCCATAAACACGTAGAGATTCGAGATTGGGAGGTAAATGATCAGCTAGATTGAAGGATTGAGGGCTAATCCGACCATCGGGGAACCGATCCTGGCTGGATCCTACACCCCGCGCAAAATAGCATAGATCGTGGACACCGAGACCCTTGAGTTTCGAGAAATCTTTCAATGAGATATAGGATGGTAGAACTTCTAGCTTGTGAGTGGCTAGCATCATAACAAGCGTATCTCTAAAGTCGATTGCTTCCGGACAAGAGTGAGATCTATTTCAGAGTAAGTCGCATAACGTTAAGAGACGCGTATAGAGGGTAAACAATTACCTAAACCGGATCTTGCCTAAGGATGGATAGGATAGATTCTCGATCTTGGACTTTTTCCACTCCGGCCTTCTTGAGGGCTTGTTAACTTTAACTACCTAGGTTAGTTATAACTACACAAGTTACATCGCAACCCTGCATGGCCTCCGGTACGATTCGCTCGCATGCTCCTATACAAATCGAGCTGGGTTATCTTCTGCATAGGTATAGTTATAGTATACATAAACACGACGGGTCAATTTTGTCAACACAAGATTACCCTTGTCACCTCACCCTCACCATCATCATCATCTTGCCTTGCTTTTGTCCTTGACATCCTTGACATCCTCGGGGCATCTATCCTGGAAACCCGAAACAAAGAAAACTAACCTTCAAAGTTCCCAAGCCATGATATTCACAGAATTAAAGGCTATTCTGACTATTTCGACGATCTCATGCAGCCATTATCACCCGTTGCCTAATGGCTAGACACTTCTTTGTCTCATTCGATATTGTTCTTCCCATTCCCTTAGTATTGTTCTTTTCACGGCCTCATAATGACTTGGATATTATTATCTGCCTTCGCCATTGTCTGTCTCGGCTTCTATGATTCTGGCCATTCACCCTGGTTCTCTTCATATCGTCTACATTGTCTATTTACAAGTCAAAGGGCTTTAAAAACACATCCCTGCCATGTATACTGACCTGGTTTTATAAACTATCCCGGTTCAACTCCTTCGATCTTCAAATTTCGAAGCTATGGCGACATCGTCAAGTCTCCCATTCGATCCATTCACCCAGAATGTCACCTTCCTCGATGCGAATGGCGCTCCGTTCGAAGTCCCGGTAAAAGCACTGGACGTCTTCGTCATGTACAATGTCCGAGTGTGCATCAATTACGGCTGCCAGTTTGGGGCGTCGCTCACCTTGCTGATCATTCTTCTGCTTTTGACTCAATCCGACAAGCGCCGTTCGGCCGTTTTTATCATGAATGGTCTGGCCTTGTTCTTCAACAGCGGGCGTCTGCTTTTTCAACTCATCCATTTTTCCACGGCGTTCGAAGAGGTATACCCATACGTCTCCAAGGACTTCTCATCCGTGCCGTGGACCGCATACGCCGTTTCCATCGTGGCTGTCGTTCTCACTACCCTGGTCATCGTCTGTGTTCAAGTATCGCTTGTGATTCAAGTCCGCGTGGTTTGCTCTACACTACGTCGTCAATACAGGCATTCTTTACTGGCGTTATCTATCCTGGCCGCCCTGGTGCCAATCGGATTTCGCAGTACATGGATGATTGTGAACTGCAATGCCATAATTACACTCAAATACATGGCTGAAATATGGTGGATAGAAAGCGCAACCAACATCAGCGTCACCGTCAGCATCTGCTTCTTCTGTGTTATCTTTGTCACCAAACTCGGATTTGCCATAAAACAGCGCCGCCGACTCGGGGTGCGCGAATTCGGTCCGATGAAAGTCATTTTCGTCATGGGCTGCCAGACCATGGTTGTCCCGGCCATCTTCTCCGTCATCCAGTACTATATCACTGTGCCAGAACTGTCCTCCAACGTGGTGACCCTGGTCGTCATTTCACTCCCACTCTCGTCCATTTGGGCCGGCGCCGCCCTCGAGCACGCACGACGTACCGGAAGCCAAGAGTATCCACGCCGACGCAACTTATGGGGGAGCCTTGTCGGCGGTGCCGAAAGTGTACTGTCTCCCACAAAGGATAGTCCAACAAGCCTGTCTGCCATGACTGCTGCGCACACTCTGTGCTACTCGGATCATACCATGAGCAAAGGATCATACAACTCGCGGGACACCGATGCTTTCTATGGAATAGCAGTTGAACACAATATTTCGATCGACCGAGTTCAAAGGAACAATCCAATCGTGTGATGGGATACATTTCTCGGCAATTCAAAGATACCCTTCCCTTTCATTTTGATGTACAGGATCCTGGCTAGAAACCGACTTTACATGTACATTCTTTTCTTCTCTCTTGGAAAGTTTTATACAGGTTGAACATTCCTTTTATCTCAATCTGCAAAGTGCAGACATATTCTTAATACCAAGCCGCATTCATTATTATTAACTTACAGCTGTAGCATTACGCTATGGACATTTGGATGCAATGTAGATATACGAAACTAGATGAACATAAAAAACCAAAAGGTTTCCCATGCTCTCCAATGCTCTTTTTATTCATACATGTCTATATTGAAAGATTCATTCTGCCATAAAGTTCAACTGGAATCTCGATAGTAAAGAGTTGAGTATACCCGTGAAGGGATTAGAATGTGTGAAACTTGGGCAAGGAATACAGCCAATTTACCGAAACCAAACTGCGAGGAGCCAAGTGAATTAACAATAAGAAGAAAGAAAAAGACAAAAGTATTTACAGAAACGCTCTATGTTCAGAACCACATGTGCGCCAGAGTAAAAGAGAAAAGAGGAAAGTTAATAATATCCCGGGTTCTAATTCAATTGCACATAGTTGGCTGTCTTGAATGTTAGCAAACTGGATTCGATAAAAAAAGACTTCAACGCTTACCCGGAAATTGGCCCTCCCGACCTGCAATTCGCCCAGACCACCATTCATTGGTATTTTCGGTGCGCTGGGTAATCTCGATAACATCACCAGCCGAGAATCCCAGATCGCCGTGTGCCTGAGCCTCGTAGTCATAAAGAGCGGTGACAGTCTCCACTGGCTTACTGAGATGGGACGGCTTCGCCCGTGGAGGAGGCGGGGCGGGCTTGCTCTTGGCGGCGGAAGAGAAACTCCCTGTCGGACTGGGACTGATGCCGGCAGACGAATAAGGTGGTGGAGGGTTGTCATCGGTGGCGGTGGAGCCGGAACGGCCTCGGCCGATGGAGCCCTTGCTATCGGCTCCCTTGCCCAGAGGGTTCAGTTTGGACCCAGAACGGCGGACACCTTGGGTTTTGTAGTGCACGATGGTAAGGGCTTCGGCTTGTTCCTGGATATTGCCGCGCTTCTGCTCAAAAGCCTCTTCAACATCGAGTTTAAGATTGAAATAGCTGATGTTCATGCCCTGCATTCGTTCATGGAGAGTGTAGAAGACGTTGAGTTGCATATAGTAGAAGGACTGGAAGAGCGGGCGGATGAACTCGGCTTCAAGGGCGAACAACTTGGGCAGTTCGTCCTTCAGCAAATCATTGTAATAGTTGAATTCCTGGGTTGACACCTCAACATCGTTCTCGGCTTTGTATAGTGCTTTTTCGTCTTTGAGCGATTTGTCCTTCTTCTCTTCCAGCTTCTTCAGTGAGGCATTGTGACGGTCAAAATCCAGCTTCTTGTGATCACGCTTAACCGCAACCTTCCGGATCACTTTGATCACCTCGAGGAGCTGGTCGGCAGGGCTAATAATGCGGCTATCGATCATCTCCAACTCGGGGGCCAGGGCCTCTTGCAGTTCCCGAACAATGACCTCATACTCCTCACAGGCTTGGATGCCCTCGGCATTTCCCTCGAATTGGTAGGAGGTGGGATCGGAGGCGCGACCGGAGATGGGTTTGTAGATTTCGGCGACTGCTTTAGAGAATTCGATTTGGTGGCTCAACATACCTGCGCACGTGGTTAGTATTGGGGGAGAAGATTGATAGGATAACAACTTACCATTAATGGCAGCAAAGTATTTCTGGGACTCATCGTGTAGCTTCTTGGTCTCTTTCTCAAGTTCATCAAAGCGGCGTTCGGCATCGCTATAGACAGCATCCTTGGAATGTTCACCGATGTTGAACTTGACCTTGAACTGCTGTGGCGCACGCACAAGACTCTTCTGGAAACCTTTGAAACTCATGATGTGATGAAGAAAGTAAAAGAAGAGAAAGTGCCAAGGTGGGGGTGGGAACCCGAACCTTTTCAATGACATAAGACTCGGAGCTGATGTCCATTGTGGCTGTACATTATTTTATACTTGGCTTATAGTATTTTGGACGATTTTGGACGATTTTCTACGCTAATTGCTCTGCCTTATGATGTGGCGCATTATCTTAGGCACCTGAATTATTACTATGGGGTAGACGTACAACATTTGAATCTAGTACTCCGTACTCCGTACTATATGTCTACCTAACTTCTCTACTATACATATCTATTATAATAACCCTCGAATAGTTATAGTTCTATACGATCTCCAAATGGTTCTCTTTCGGCAGCCTTACCCGAGAAAATCGTAGCCATCAAATTAAAGACCCCAGTCCGATCGTCATCATTGGGCCATTCCTTTGTGCGGGGAGTGACTTGGCAATTGGATGAAAAATGAATATTCATAAAGAGAGATTTTAAATGGTCAAATCAGAATTGTTATATATAAAAGAAATGAATATGATATACAGTCCTGGAAGTCTTAATGAGAAAGCTGAGAAAGACTGAAAGGGGAAGCTCATACATCCGATATGCCTCAGGCATCTCGGATAAACTAAATTAGGAAATCCCCGAGATCTTTAGTCATTGAGAGATGCAGATAACAAAAAGTCGGGGTTGTGTTTCCTTCTTCATCCCACTTACTCAAGTATATCGTGGTATCATCTTCATAATGACAAGTGCTGCTCCTGCTGCTTGGAGACAGGCATCTGCCTTCTCCAGGCGCCTTTCAACCTATGGTTCTCGAGCTCCTCGAGTTCTCGCCACCGGCCTACGCGCTCGCTCTTATGTCACCGAGACAAAAGTTGGCCAAGCTCAGGTCAACATCGAGACTGCTATCAAAGAGGAACAAAAGTCATTCATGAATCAATCCCATATGGCACCCCAGAATGTCAAGCTGCCCGGCTCGGCAACCTCCGGTGACGCCGCGATGAGTCCCACGGCTGGCATTCTGAAGCAGGCTACCGTTATGGACCAGGGCACCCGGCCCATCTACCTCGATATGCAAGCCACTACACCTCTGGACCCCCGGGTTCTGGATTCTATGCTTCCTTACCTCACCGGTATCTACGGTAACCCGCACTCGCGTACACACGCCTACGGTTGGGAGTCGGAGAAGGGAGTCGAGGAGGCTCGCGAGCATATCGCCAAGCTGATCGGGGCCGACCCCAAGGAGATCATTTTCACAAGTGGTGCGACCGAGAGTAACAATATGAGTTTGAAGGGCGTGGCGCGGTTCTTTGGTCGCTCAGGAAAGAAGAATCACATCATCACCACCCAAACTGAACACAAGTGTGTGCTCGACAGTTGCCGACACTTGCAGGATGAAGGGTTCGAGGTGACTTACCTGCCGGTTCAGAGCAACGGTTTGATCCGCATGTCGGATCTTGAGGCGGCCATGCGCCCCGAGACTTGCATTGTCAGCGTCATGGCTGTCAACAACGAGATCGGTGTGATCCAGCCAATGGAGGAGATTGGCCGTCTCTGCCGGTCCAAGAAGGTTTTCTTCCACACCGACGCTGCGCAGGCTGTTGGAAAGATCCCATTGGATGTCAACAAGCTGAACATTGATTTGATGTCCATCTCCAGCCACAAAATCTACGGCCCTAAGGGTATTGGTGCCTGCTTTGTGCGTCGTCGCCCGCGTGTCCGTCTCGACCCTCTCATCACTGGTGGTGGACAGGAAAGAGGTCTGCGTAGTGGAACCTTGGCCCCTCATTTGGCAGTCGGCTTTGGCGAGGCTTGCCGAATTGCCGCCCAAGATATGGAGGTAAGCATTCTTTCCATTGTTGTCACCCTGATTCTACACTGCAATAAACATTTCCCCCCGTCGAAAAATGGCATGCTGACCGATTGAACAGTACGACACCAAGCACATCGATCGCCTATCAAAGCGTCTGAGCGAGGGCCTTCTTGCCATGGAACACACCACACTGAACGGTGACCCCGAGCACCACTACCCTGGCTGCGTGAACATCTCATTCGCCTACGTTGAGGGTGAATCCCTCCTGATGGCGCTAAACGATATTGCGCTGTCATCGGGCAGTGCCTGTACCTCTGCCTCTCTGGAGCCCAGCTACGTGCTGCGCGCTCTGGGCAGCAGTGACGAGAGTGCCCACAGCAGTATCCGTTTCGGTATCGGTCGATTCACCTCGGACGAGGAGATTGACTACGTTCTCAAGGCTGTCCAGGCTCGTGTGTCTTTCTTGCGTGAACTCAGCCCGCTTTGGGAGTTGGTGCAGGAGGGAATTGATCTGAACACGATCGAATGGAGTCAGCACTGATCTTAATTTTGATTTCCCGAGAACAAAAAATGCCCATTAGGGACGGCGTTGAAGTGTAACAACATCGGATTTGTACAGACTGAGAATAATCACCTCGCAATTAACTACTCTCTACCTTCCTCTTTCAGAATTCCTCGTACGTCATTATCTTCTCCCTAATGTCATCAAATGTCATCAATGACATTTGAGTAAGTTTTATGGCCTCATGTGATGAACTTTGAAGCCAAAAACAACGTTTAGTTTCAAAGTATCCGTTTCTCCTGGCCTCTACGGAGGTTGAAGGCTCTACTCTTTGACAAAGAAGTTAAATGGTTTATCTACCGAGAGTCTACGAGTTATTTAAGGTGGCATTGTTGGCGAAAAAAAAACAACACAATTTGGATAGAAAAGAGTTAGTTAGACGATGCATCTATTCCTTATCCTTTGCGCATTGAGCAATGTGGCTCTTGTGGCTGGTTTCCGACCCCCTGAGCTTCGAGTTGTGACTTCTTCTGGTCCTTTGAATGGGATATATAACAATTCTGCACGAACAGTACGGGGGTTTATTGGAATTCCATATGCCGAGCCCCCAGTTCAAGGACTACGATGGGCACCACCACGCCTTAAATCACCATCCCGAAGTCCCATCGATGCATCCTACTTTAAGAGTCCCTGTCCACAGGTGTATACGTACTCCAATGAGTCGATTTACAGTGTTCTCCCGTATAATATATGGAATTCTGGAGACATGTCTGAAGACTGTCTGTATATGAACATTTGGACACCTTCTTTCAAGCATCGAGGCCGCAGGGGATTTCACAGAGCACCAGTGATGATGTACATTCATGGAGGAAGTTATGATACAGGAGCTAGTTCGATTGCTGCCTACGATGGGACGAATTTAGTAAAGAATCACAATGCCATTGTTGTTACCTTCAAGTAAGAAAACATTGCTTTTATCCATTCAAATCACTAAACATTTTAGTTATCGTCTCAATATCTTTGGATTTCCTAATGCACCGAGCATCGACCCTTCCAAGCAAAACCTCGGGCTCCTGGACCAGGTAGATCTTGAAAGTGTGCATGATTGATAGGATGAACTAATCCCATCTTTAGCGATTGGCGATTGAGTGGGTTCATCGGAATATAGCCAGATTCGGTGGTGATCCCAATAGAATTCTTCTGTTTGGTCAATCTGCTGGCGCAGCTTCAGTTGATATCCATGCATATGCAGTGAGCATCGTGTTTCTGTACTGGTTGTCTTCACTAACATCCAATAGCATCCAGACAATCCTCTCGTCAGCGCACTTGCTCTCCACTCTGGTACCGCTCCATTATTGACTACAACCCCTGATCATAAAAATTGGGATGAACTGTCTACTGCTCTTGGGTGCGGCACAGGAGCCCAGTCTTTCCAGTGCATGAGTCAAGTGCCAGCTATGAAGATTGTTGAAACAAGGGCCAATGGGAGCTATGCCTTTTTCCCTATTGTAGATAATCTTCTTGTCTTTTCCGACTATGCCGCTCGAGCTAAAAGCGGGAAACTAGCACCATTGGTATGTGACAGCCATTCTCTATCTTTCTAGGCTAATTATGGAATAGCCCACGTTGGGAGGGATTAATGAGCGTGAAGCTACGGCTTTTTTACCGTTAAGTTCAACTTCAGTTGATGAGAATCTAGTCCACGAGGCCACTGAAAGATTTTATGACTGTCCCCTCCGGGAATCTGTGAAGTAAGAGCCCATGTCATTCTCACATTTGGATTGTCTAATCTTGTAGAATTCGATTGAGTCAGCATATGCCCACTTGGAGGTATCTATACCATGGGAATTTTAGCAATCTCAGCCCAACTCCATGGCTTGGAGCATACCACGGGGGTAAGCGGAAACAGCGCTTTTCTTGCTAATTTGATTTAACATGATGGCAGCTGAGATACCTCTTGTTTTTGGAAACTATAATCTGTCTACGGCGATCCCGTCCGCCAAGGAAGTTGAAGCCAGCCGATATATGCAAGGTAATCCCTTCCCAAATGAATGGCAGGAATTGCGTAGATTGATCAATTTCCTAGGAGCCTGGGTTGCATTTGCCAGTAACCCTTGTACGGGATTGAGGACATATGGATGGCCATGTTCAGCTTCGATGGTAGATCTCTCTCTCTCTCTCTCTCTCTCTCTCTCTCTCTCTCTCTCTCTCTCTCTCTCATTATTTATTTCCGATGCTGATCATAAGGGATAGAGCCAACCTTGATCAATCTCGCTCTGAATAATACGACCCCGGCGTTCTTTACTTCTTCTAGTCCATGGGATAGCTATTGTGATAGTCCCAATACTACTCGATCTGAGCTATGAGATTGGTAGAGAGTTGTGTTACAATGCCAGGGCTACTCCGTAGGTCTTTGCCGACTCGATTGAAATGTGTTTTCATTATATACCGAGCAATGCATACGTAGGCAACTGTGACACAATATGCAGAGATTAGCTTGCAGCTTTTGAGGGCTACTCTGTACATTTATGTGTAGATATATACCTCGGTAGTGACCTCGGTCCGGAATTGCTTTTAGTAAGCATAGATGACTTAGCTAGGTATCAGGATAAATGATTTGATTTGAATATAGAAAAGAAATGAGAAAAATCATAGTATATTCTATATATTCTATAGAGAAGAATGTTGAATAATTAAGGTATTCGTTCCCCAGACTCAAGGCTGACGATCCGGAGCAAAGTGAGTGAAGCGAATTTGAAGCCAAAATAAGCGAAAACTGCGAATTTGCCCGAAAATGACTCAAATGCGCATTTTCCCCGTGTGTTTTCGTGTCTTTTTAATTCTTTCGGGCTTAGTTCCCCTTTGTCTCGCACTCAGTTTCGTCTTCGCTTAATTTTTACTCCACTTGGGCCTCGCGGATGCACCCAGTCCTTCTTGGCATGACGGTAGTTGATTGTATAGCCATATAAAATGTACCTGCTCTCTTCTATATGGTTTGACCTAATCTACTTGATTAATATGGTCCACCCTCCTCTAAAACTTCCCCAAGGCCATCTAAAAAAGATTCACCTTTCCCTTATGTCGGAATCTCCCAACTCTATTATTATCTTTCTCTTTTATTATTATTAACCGCTTAGAAATGTCACTTACCGTCCAGGGATCCCCGGTGAAATTACGTGCTTTGCTAAGGTCCCGATAGAGAAAACTCTGCCTATTTTATCTCAAATAGCCGGACATTTAATATGTTAGAAAGTCTTCCAGGCAATCAAATCTTATTCTCAGATTGTTCCCAGATTATTCCATTCTATTACCTTCCGTCATCATCCGCATAGACATTGGATCCGGACTGTTCCTGGTCCCTCTCTCTGGTATAATCCCCCATATAATCCTACTTTGGTTTCTCTCCTTTTCAGCATTTCCAACTTGAATTCTTGAATATCCTGAATATCCCCGAGTCACAGACTCGGCCATTCCAGATCTATCTCTTCAAATGTTGCCTCCGGTGCCAAATCCGGCCGAGTTTGGAGTTACATCCGACTATGGTTTCCTCTCCCCAGAACTTCCCCTAGAGGTTCTCCCCGATCCTTATTATGCCGAATGGGAGATGATCATTGGGAATCTTCAACCATTGATATTGAGCAAACGGTTGCAGTCGATGGTGGATCATCTCCCTATACTCTCTGTCATACATCTACGGACCGAGGCTGAGTGGCGTCGTGCATATGTCGTACTGGTATTCATACTCCATGGCTATGTATGGGGTGGCGATTCGCCCACAGAGGTACCGGCCCTTCCTATTGGTTCCAGAGTACAATGACTGATTCTTTCAGAGGATTCCACCTCAACTTACAGTACCCTTATTCGAAGTCTGTGAACGACTTGAATTACCCCCCGTTGCTACCTATGCTGGGGTCTGCCTTTGGAATTACAAGCCGATCTTCTCCGACGAGCCAGCCACCAACTTGGATAATCTAGCTTGCCTACAAACCTTCACTGGATCTCTAGATGAACAATGGTTTTACCTAGTCTCAGTCGCCATAGAAGCACGCGGGGCCCCTTCTATCCCCGTGATGCTTCGGGCTATCACGGCGGCTCGCACAGGAAACAGCCAGATTGTAACCGAGTGCCTGCAGCGACTAGCAGAGACCATCGATGAGACCAACACACTGCTACAGAGGATGTATGAAAATTGCGATCCATATGTCTTCTACAACCGCATCCGCCCTTATCTAGCTGGAAGTAAAAACATGTGTGATGCCGGATTGCCAAATGGGCTGCTGTACGACGACGGCCACAATCCCGAGTACCGGCAATATGGAGGGGGCAGCAATGCCCAAAGCTCCCTCATCCAATTCTTCGACATTGTCCTCGGCGTGGAACACCGACCAACCGGTACCAGTCGCAGTGATGAACAAAGCACCGAGGACGGCATCAAATCACGAAACAGCTTCATCCACGAAATGCGCACTTACATGCCTGGCCCACACCGACGATTCCTTGAGCAGATCGACTCAGTAGCAAACATCCGCCCCTTTGTCGAGGCGCGACGCGGAGACTCAGCGCTGTGCATTGCCTACGACGCATGTCTAGCTATGCTGCGTGTTCTACGCGATAAACATATTACTATAGTATCACGCTATATCATCCTGCAGTCCCGCAGTGCACGCCAGCCTTCTCAATCCACCAACCCAACCCCTTCAGCAGTGACAAACCTTGCAAGCGCGGCTCCGACCGACAAGAAGAAGCTGCGCGGTACCGGTGGCACGGCGCTCATTCCATTTCTGAAGCAAGCTCGGGACGAAACTGGGGAGCCTGCTATTGATGCCTGGGCACGACGATTGCTGAGCAATGGTCCTGCAAATAAGAACTTTGCTTCACTGAGCAAGGTTGGCGAACAACCAGATGGTCATCTCGAGGTTGTCGGTCTCTGTGGCACATGGACAGCCGATGAAAACGAGGGTGGAATATGTCACTGGTAGTTCCAATATTTTTTATTTATTTCTGGTCATTCGAGCGTGGCATTGCAGGTGGGATTTATGTACGCCGTACGCGGCGACTCGGTGTTTTGGGAACTTGCATAGTTTGATATGTTTTTTTTTTTTAACTGGTCATGAAATACATTCCTATCTGGATTGGTTATGGACAATATTCCCACTATACAACATTGTAGAAACTTGTAGAAGAAGGTTTGATATGACGATTATGGCTATGTGAACGCAGCGTCATTCAGTGGACCTGATATTCACGTGATGTGACATCATTCTCCCCTTGGATCCACGTGATATGACATCATTTAATGACGTAGTTCATCATGACAATCTTGTAGAACTTCAATCTTGGAAGATCAGAATTGGAGAAGCCCCTAGAAGTATGTGGCTTGTCAAACATGGCTTATATATACCAGGAAACTTCCTACCATTTTCATTCTTCACTTCAATCACTTCATTCATCAACCATCTTTGATCTCTGATCTCTGATCTCTACCATCAATCATCTTTACCATCTACCAAACAAACTTCATATTTCATCATGTCTGACAACACCGGCAACGCCTCGACTGGTCAGTCTTACCTCGACCAAGCCACTGGTCTTGCTCAGCGTGCCATGGGCACCGTGACTGGCGATTCCTCCACTCAGGTAAGCATTCTAGTCCCCACCAATATAAACCCCAACACTAACCAATATCAGACCAAGGGTGAACTTAAGCAGGAGGAAGGCCAAGCCAAGAAAGAAGCTTCCCACACCACCGCCAAGTTGGGCCCCTTCACTGCCGACCCCAACACCGGAGCCGTTGCCAAAGACGACCCCAAGCGTGACACCGGATCCTGGGACCAGACCGTTGGATCTGCCAAGGAGTCACTTGGCAACATGATCGGAAACGAGAACCTGCGCCGTACCGGAGCTGAGCAGAACGCTGCTGGCAAGGAGCAAGAGGCCAAGGGTCAGCTCAAGGACTGGGGTGAGGGCATTCAGAACCGTGCTCAGGGTACCCTTGGATCCATTGGTGCTGCTGTCACTGGTAACCGCACCGAGGAGGAAAAGTACCGTGATATCCATGATGAGGGCAAGGTCCGCCAGCGCGGTGCTGAGGCCGACATGGCTAAGAAGGGTGGTGTTTAAGCTTGACTTTGAGATGACCTCTTGAGTTCTGCTTTTTCTTTCTTAGTCACACTTGTTTTACTATCATGATTTTTACGATGGCCTTGCTATGATATCCGAATTGATGCCACGCTTTTATTATAATTTATCCTCTTGTAACAGTGTAGATGTAGCCACAACCACTTATATCAGCCCTCAGGGCTCTTTTGAGATACAGTAATTTCGATGATCATATCCTTATTTGACAAGTCTCGTAAATTTCCCCGCAATAAATTTCCCGAGGATCGTGTTAGGGCTTTTTTCCCCGTTGGCATCTGATCCCGTTGAGACCGAGGTTGATCAGGGGCTGAAAAGATTGAATGAAAATTATTAATTTAACAATTCAAGTTGTATTTTGTAAATCATTTTTAGGACTGAGATATTCATAGATCGGCAAGCCAAGACAAGAGGGGGGTTAAGCATTTGATATACTATAGACCCTGCCCTATCTAAATGGACTAACCTTTTTTTTCTCTCTATTCTCTTACCATTTTGACAAAATGAGACTCACAGCAGCTTTACTCTTCGGAACGGCCTGGGGCGCTCACCATCATCAACGAGATACTACAGACAATGGCATCAATCTTGGTGCAATCTCGAGTGCACTGTATTTGACTTCTCTGGATGATTTGTAAGAACATACTAAGATTTTTACAGACAGCATATGATGGGCAACACAACCGTCACTGCGAACTTTGCCAACATCTCGCCGCCACCTAGATCGCTTATTCCCGAGATTCTATCGGTCGTGCCCGTATCCGTCATCTGGGAACTCATCAACCCAGCGGAACGCAGCTCCCTCGCCAGCCAATTCAAGGCTGGTACTACTCCCGCATGGTACGGTGCCCTTCCATCGGATGTGAAAGACTACATGTCGGTGGTCAAGTCACAGATCTCTGCGGGGGCATTGACTGCCACGGCGTCCGAAAACAAGCCCACGGCGGCAAATACGGGGGCTGCAGCGACAGCAACTGCGACCGATGGCAATTCGGGCTCGGCAAGCTCGACTTCATCTAAAGGTGCGGCTGCACAGCCCACGGGACTGACCGTGTCGGCGTTCGGGGCGCTGGGAGTGCTGGGACTAGCACTAGCTTTGTGATCCACCTTGCGTATTTAGATATGACTGTGACGAGATATTGATTTCCGAACAAAAGACCCGTTTCAGTTTTGCATATGAAATTCGAATATTCCTCTTTTTTCCTTGATTTTTCTATATGGTGGACCTCAAGACCGTTAAGCACATGTTCCTTTTTTCTTATAGATTAAATTAATATAGATGACGAAGTGACACTATAAGACAAAGTATAGACATGGGGGCTTTTGATATTTCTCTCGAACGTAGATCCCTACTCAACCGAACCTCTTCTCCGAAGTGGATAGCAGGATTGTGAGACAAGGAAATATCGCTAACCTCAAGAATTGGGAGAAAAGAAGATCAACACGACGATCTTCCACCCAAAAGGTGACATCCTGGGGAGGCTTGCGGGGAAATTCTTGATATTTTCCATTTGCCATTGGTTTACTTCTCTCTCTCTCTCTCTCACATGGCATTGCTTATCCCTCGGTCTTAGATCTGCTAGCCCTCGGACAATTTCCTAGGGGTTTACACTAAAAAACATACTCCGTAGAGGGAATACAGACCTTGCTTATAAGACACTGGATGTTTTTTTTTTTGTCCTTTCCTTCTTTGCCATTCCTCACTCACCAATATAACACAAAGTATGCGTTTCTCACGGATTCTTTTCCCTTTGGCCCTGGCCCCCTTGGCTCTAGCTGCCCCCGAGCCTCGTCCCAACCCGGTCGCCGCACCGGCCCCGGTCCCCAGTGGTGGTCTACTGGAAGAGCTGCCCGAACTTCTGAGCGGCGTTCAGGGTCTCTTAAGCACCGAAAACATCGACAAGCTGGATACTATCCTTGACGGTGCGGCCAAGTTGCTCGCCGCCGATAATATCGATATCTTGCAAGATATCTTGAAGAATGCCCACAGCTTGTTGACCAAGAGCTTTGTCGATAACACAACTACCCTCATTGGGGATGCCACACCGGTATGCACTCTTTTTACTTTTGGCTTTTATACTCTACTAATGCACTATATAGCTGGTCGAGGATATTTCCAAGCTTCTGGGTGGTGTTCTAGGATCATTGTGAGAAATAAAATGAATGAATCATGACAATTACTATATTTATCTTATTTTATTGCACAATTTAAAGAATTGGAAGTATATGTATCGAAAATCAATGAATGGAACAAATATACAAGAGCAATCACATATCTCATAACGATCGGGTATATACAGAACATTAGACTAAAACCAATTCTTACTTCACATTCATCTTCTCCTTAAGCCGATCCTGGTAGAATTTCAAAGGATATGCCCGCCATTTATCAGGCATCGCCGGATAAAGAGCGACCGAGAAGCCCATCCAGGTGCGGTAAAGGGCTCGAGTGGTAACCGTCGAGCGTAAACCGTAGGCATCACGCAGACGCGGGGGTAGCATCTCGGTCGTAGTAACACGCAAGAAAGGCTTCAAAGACTGCACCCAGCGCGGCATATCGTTACTTTCACGAAGATCCTTGGCAAATAGAGCCGCATCCTCCGAGACTATCAACCGAGGAACCTGATCATCCCAGTAAGCCCAGAATGCCTGACGGGATTCTGGCCAGGTACCGGCAGGGACACCCAGACAGTTCATGAGCAAGGCATACTCGCTGTATGCACGTTGGGCACTGGCGTAGTCCACGCGGCCATAGACACGCTGGTAGAAATCGGTCGCGGTCGCGTACAGCGTCGCCGCCATCCACAACTGCAGCGGTGGATGCTCGGCGAAACGATTCGAGCGACCGCCGCCCAGCAGGGGCGGCTTACCGTCTTGCAGGAGATCGATGAGAGCCTTGCGCTCATCGCGGGTACCGAAGACCAAGCAAGAGATGTAGCTGATATTGGCCTGGAGGGCATCGAGGAGCTCTGTAGCTAGCTCCTTGTGACCGCCGTTGTTGGAACCTACGTCGCGGATTCCAGGCATGGCAGCTTGTAGTAGCAGCGCCGCACCAGATCCTGCAAAGAGGATGCCCTCCTGGAGCATCTTAGGGAGGACTTCTAGCTGTTCCAGAGCATGGAGACGACCTGAGGTGTTGGTGGTATTGCTTGCAGTCGCATCGGAGCCACTTGGAAGGTCATTGAGGGACTTGTCGTCCACTGGGGAGACGGGTGATGGAGGGAACGACATGGCTAGAGAGTTGTCAATAGTGAAGGTTGGCAGTATATGATTCCCATTAATATTTCAATTCAAAGCTTCAATTCAAAATCTTCCCCAGAAAACCCCGCAAAACCCCGAGAAACTCCCCAAAATCCGTGTTCTAAGAGATGTCGATCATCTCGGCCCATGTGAATAGTGTCGCCTTTCTTAGAAATAAGCCGCGGCTGGTAGTAGATCGCCATCTCCTGAAGTGCAGATCCCTCCCCTCTTCTGCGTCATTCGCCAAAGAAAGAAATCTTCCTCCGAAAAACCCGCTTTATTTCTTTTTTTTTTCCTTGCCCATGGGGTCCCGCTTCGGTGTACGGGGTATGGAGAGAAGAGGAAGTCCGGGACCATATGTTGGGTCCGTTCTGCGCCAAATACATATACGCGGAATCCCCCCCTAATGTTACCACGACATTGCAATCATGGGCAAAAATACAGATACCCCAGCATATCTGACTTCAGATGATGCCAAATATACTCTAGGTATTCATCGTGGCCCATTGATATCCAAGCATGACGATGAAGGTGCTCAGCTTGCACATGTTGAGTCGGTCGGGGGTCTGTCATTAGAGACGAGGAAGCTGAAGCGCACTGAGAAGTTCCAGCGCCATTGGAAGCGATTCTGGTGTCTGCATCTTTTGGTGACTATCATATTCCTGGCGATTTTCCTGCCTGTATTGTGAGTGCCCTAACTATACCCCCAAATGACGAACAGTAACTAACTGCAAGTATAGCTTCCTGGTTGCCATTCCAGCCATATCACAAATGGTCGTGAATAAGTCAGACCTAGTATTGGTCAATGCCTCAGTCCTAAACCCGCGACCGGACAAAATTGAATTGACGCTGTTGTCGGCATTGGACCTCAAAATTGCACTGCCCGTACGCATTGAGCCGATCACATTAAATCTGTTCGTGCGCGATGCAGGGGCAGAGAACGCATGGGGTCAGGCTAAGATCGATGGCAAGGTCATCAAGGGCAACACTACCCTAGGTGTGTCCAAAGTCGAGACACCATTGACCAACTTGACCACCTGGGAGGAGTATGTGCATAATGTCGTGTTCGAGAAGGAGACTGCGCTGTCAGTCAGAGGTGTAACCAATTCGTACTTGGGTGTGCTCAAGTCGAAGGTCACTATGGACAAGAATATCATGTCACCAGGTAAGTCGAAGAAACAAATCATCCTCGAAGGGAAGCTGACTTCATTCCAGTGCTGGACCAATTCAAGAAATTCAGTATCGCCGACAGTGGACTCATTGCAGCCCGTGAGGACGGCACCAACCTAATTGGGAATGCCACGCTTCCCAACCCATCCGTGTTGACTCTCGACATTGGCACAATTGTCCTCGACGTGAAGAGCGGCGACCTCGTCATTGGAAATGCCACGCTCAAAGACGTCACTATAAAACCAGGCGAGAACGTCTTCCCTCTGACCGGAATCCTCGACATACACACAATGATCGAGAACCTCGGAAAAGTACTCGCGTCGCAGGCAAACGCCCTCAAAACCGGCAGCTTAGCCCTGGATACAGTAACCCGAACCGTCACCTGGAACGGCACGCTGGTGCCATACTACACCAATGCGATGAAGCAGCTAACGCTGACGGCCAACGTACCAATCGCCGATCTGGTCAAGAACACTGTTCACAATCTGCTCAGCGGCAATCAAACTCTTACAGATATTCTCAACTCGGGGGGCGACACGAGCAAGCTGCTAGGTGGTCTCACAGACAACGCTGATGACAGCGACGCCAGCTCAGCCTCTAAACTTGCATCAAAGATGAAGACGAGCGTCGCGGTGCGGGATATGTTCCGTGGCGCCCACCCGGTTAAACGGGATTCAATCATCGACTTACTAGCCGGGACGTACATGAAGCTGTGAAATGCTAATCCCAGTTCACATTGGCTTTTTCCTGAATTGTTGGTCTTTTTGCATTTACGTTTCCTTTTCTTGTTATTAAAGGTCTCTGGTTACTGGGTTCTGTGTACATGATTGCGAAGTGCTCGCGCGCTGATGCCTAGACGATACTTGATTCCCCTTTGGATTGTGGCAGTTGCCTTTTTTTTTTGGATGGCGTTATGGGAGCGTATTGCTGTCTTTCTAAGACAGGTTTAATGTTGTTTTTCCTGTCGACTCCATTCTTGAGGCAGTGCATTGGTGAGCTCGTGTACTTTCTGTACACATGGCTGCCTGTCGGTCTGGGCTTGGGTCGGTGCAGATGATAATTAAATTATAAATTATACGATGATACGAACGGATCTGGTTCTTGATTTGTAGGCTTGCATGTTCCACTGCAATGAGGCTGTCAGCTTGACAAAAGCACTTGATCAATAGCAGGTTCATGCCAAAGTGTATTGATCTTTATCGAAATGACTCGTTCAAACAACTCCATGTCTTTTAATTGGTTGATTGATAGAATATTTAAATATTAGCAAAGGAATTGAGAGTTCACCCGGGCACTATGCAGGTGTCAATGTTGGACTGTTAGGGCTTCCCGCTTTGGGGAATGATAAAATGGAACACATATGCATATAGGGCTGTGTTTAATATTTCAATTCCCAGGATATCCAATTGACTGTAAGCAATGTTCAATGGTAAATTCATGAAGTTTGCTGCCCAACGCCTCCCGAGTGCTGAAGGAAGCATGCACGACCTCGTATACAAATTTTACTTGTGCCGATTCAAATTTTGCTTTGTTTTTCATATTAATATTGACTGTTGGCATCTATCGTGTGACAGCTAATTTTTATCTGACCCTGTCTGGGTTGAAGTATGCAACATCCTTCCCGCCCGTCTCCCACGCAGATAGTACCCGCGGTTGATACCCATGTAAAAGGGCGGTGCTTCTTCCACCAGTTTGCGTGAAGGGGGAAATGGAGGTGGTGGCTTCACTGAATTTGGGAATAGTTCCCCGGGATTCTGGTGGTCTGCACTAGAGGTAGCAGTGGGAAGATCTGTCGTAACAGGAATTTGGAAATGAGGATCAAAGCTAATAAGAATAAGAGCCTGTTGATTTGGGGGAAGTCCGGGGGCGTCAATCGAGTAGATGAGTGAGCGTTCATCTGCAATACTTTTCACGGATCCAATGCGCGGACCTGGACAGAGCAATTGTTGTAATGCAGGCGGAGCATCATCTGGAGGCCACATGTGCACGCCACGACACTCGAAGCGTTCCTCAGAACCCTCAATAGGATGGCCATCTTGGTCCAATTGGGTGGGCTGGAACAGTCGGTTGCGAGGTCCCTCAATTCCCTCCTCGTCAATGGGAGATTTGCGCTTGCGCGACACTGTACGGAGACGGATACGATCTCGAGATCGCAAATTATCACCGGCAGGGTCGTTGACAATGTCCACAAAGGTAGATGCACCGAGATGGTAACTTCTGTGTTTAGTGCGAGCTGGGATGAATTCCTGTCGCTTTGTAGAGCCCGACTCATACTCGGCATGGTAATGCCGCCGCAATCTCTTGGCAGGTCGCTCATCGTAGGGGTGTTCGTTCTCAAGATCATAATCCATAGAAACCCAGGATGGAGTTTCGATGGTGCCCCCTGAAAGAGGCGCTAGAGCTTCTTCTGGTGTGGGAAGTCGCTGTGTGTAATATGTACGGTGGTTTTCGCTCTTGCCATCCCGCCACTCACGGCGACATTCAAGTATGACTGGCCGGCCAGTCGTCTCATCCTTACGGATTGAAAGATCAGTCCACATCTCATTAATGGGGCCTTCTTGATGCTCTCGGCGCCAGAAGCGACCGTTCCATTTGCGGCCGTCTTCGCGAGGGGCATGACAGAACCAATGGTAGAAAGAGGAGTGTACTTCATCGTCATCTGAGGCAACCTGGGTTGAAACTGCATAGAGATGTTCATCATGCATTTCGAAACACAGTGTTTGACCAAGGTCGCCATCGACCACTCGGTCGAGAGGGAAATCGATAGATACATGCGATTCGAGATCCACACCAGTAATCGACCACACCCCATCCGAACCATCGGCGGCGGTAAATGTGCCATACCAAATGTAGGATCCGCTGTGTCGCACAAAGATTGGTGCAGATGCTGGGATTGTCTCATGGAGCAGGAGGCGTCTCCGTGCCTGGTGGGTTTTCCGCCATGCCATGTTGACTACGAACAACGCGTCCTCGGTCGCGTTCACTTCAGCCACTCGGAACACGAGGATGTCATCGCTATAGCTCAAAAGGGTAACCCGGTCTGCTACATCCGGCTCCACAGGACCGGTTTCCAGCAGTCTAGGGATGACCTCGCGGAGATCCATGACACGCTCCCTGAATGCAGAGCCATGCACGTACAGCAAACGAATCCAATGGTCGGAACGGTAACATAGGTAGCCTTGGTTGTAGAGAAATTCAGCCCCGTAGCCTAAGCAGACCACGGAATATGGATTTGCGGTGGCGACAGCCTCGTGGATAGCAAGCCGATGCCCGACGGCTTTGCGAAACCCAGACTGGGCCGCTATGGCAGCCTGGCCTTCTTTGCTGTGGAGTAAAACATTCTGTAAACTAGGGTCAGCATTGTCATTCGAGGGGGTTGACTTGAGCTTACTTCGACGGTTTTGCGAGCAATCTGTTCGCTTTGTGACAAACAATAGAGAGCACGATTGGTGCGGCTGAGGTTCACAAAATCACGATCGTCCAGCGAGGTCGCAATCTGGTAAAAGACATCAAATGGAAGAGTGTCCAGACTCTGTTGAGTGGGCATGGCTATCAAAGTGGCCAAGGACTTTTTAAATGATCAAGGGAAAGTAGACAAAAGGGCGACTGCCACGGGGGGGGGAAAAAACAAAATGAAGACCATATCTCAAATTCATACATAAGGAAGGAAGGCATTTATCAGGAAAGTAAGATAGGAGAAACCTGAAAGAGGAGAATGAGGCTCCAAGTCGTAAAAAGGATTAGTTCCACATGAGCTACCATGGAACGCCCCCTCTCGTACCAAAAAAAACCTTGGAACTATAAGAGCCTCAAAAACTAGACCGAAAATGGTTAAGTATCGAATCTCTTAGAGTCTTGGGCCGTTCCAGGGATATTAAGAGTACGAAAGAGTAAGAAATAGTAAGAGTAGATCTCCCCCGGATCACGCAATTGTCATCACAGGGGGGCTCAGATCATTCTTGAGGCTCTTTATGGCCTTTTTGGTTTTCGGATTACACCCAACAACTCCGAAACATGCGGCTCATCCCGTCTCGATTTGGCCTAACACATGTACACGATCTCTCGTGACTCGGATTAGGTGGGGTCCGCTTCTATCCAAGATCCTTCCATACCTGCGGATCTTCGGTGCATGTGTGGCCCCCGTGGCAATCGTAGCGTGAATAAATACATAGATTCAGCTAATCTTATGTACTCTGTAGTACCCCGTAGTACCCTTTCGCCCATATTGACCTTATCATTTACTTAAACAGAACATCAGAGCCGCATTGACGCGTTTCTTCCAAGCCACCGCCTCAGTGGCAAAGTTAGTCTCACCTACTTTTCTGCATGCTACCTCAGTTGCCCAGCTATTCTTAGTCTAGTTCTCACTCCGAAACTCCGTACTACTTTTTTACTTTCTTGACTAATGTTTGTTTTCCAATAATCAGGTGATCACGTGATGATCGAAAAGTAGCTGCCTAATTTATGTAGCCTGAGGCTTGGAAGATTTCTTTCATTATTACATATTAGATTACAAAGTATAGCTGTCATTGGAGATGAATAATTAGAGTGATTTACCTGCAGCCCTAATGGTGGATCCCTGATATCCTTCCAATCCCCTACTTGTATACATTGAAATTGCCCAGGCACTAAGCTGGTGTAGGGAAGGTGTAAAGGTCCCATTGTGACCCACCCCAGTCAGCCGAATTACTTTTAAGCCGTTCAACTTCTTTTCTCTCTTTCATCTGGGGATTAAACTCTTTGAGAGATGTATTATCCGCAAGGTCCCCCTCCAGGACAAGGGCCCCAATGGGGAGGGTATCAACAACCCCCCCAATGGCAGCCTCAGCCCTATCCTCAGCCCTACGGGTATCATCGACCCCAATCATCTTATTCGGCTCCTAGTCATTCCCCCTATCCATCACCTTATCCTCCTCAACATCCTTATCCCCAATATCCTCATTCTCCTACCCCATATGGTCACACTCCATCTCCTCGTCCTCCCTCTCACCACCATACTCTGAGCGCCCCTCAGAATGGTAAAGTTCCATATATGCCAAAAAAAAAAGTCGGGCATCACTAACTATCGAACAGGATTTCCGCGTGCAAATTCCCCGAATCTGCCCCCAACCCCACCACAGAACTTTCAGCAATTCGGGGGAGGTGCTCCCTCAAACTACAAGTTCCAGTACTCGGCCTGTACCGGTCGGCGCAAGGCGTTGTTGATCGGGATCAACTATGCAGGACAGCCCAATGCACTCCGAGGCTGTATCAACGATGTCACTAACATGTCCAACTTCCTGACGCAAAGATTCGGCTACAAGCGAGAGGACATGGTCATTCTCACCGACGACCAACGGAACCCAATGAGCCTCCCCACCAAGGCCAACATTCTCCGTGCCATGCAGTGGCTCGTCAAGGATGCCCAACCTAACGATTCCTTGTTCATTCACTTCTCTGGTCACGGAGGTCGTACTCCCGATCTGGATGGAGACGAGGACGATGGGTTTGACGATGTCATCTACCCACTCGACTACCGCGTCGCCGGTCACATTGTCGACGATGATATGCATGCCATCATGGTGCGTCCACTGCGGCCGGGAGTGCGATTGACGGCGATCTTCGATTCGTGTCACTCGGGCACCGCCTTGGATCTGCCATACGTGTACTCGACGCAGGGTGTTCTCAAGGAGCCCAACCTGGCCAAGGAGGCAGCTCTGGACTTGTTCAGTGCCTTTAATTCGTATGGACAGGGTGATCTTTCCAGCGTCGCCTCCACGGCGATCGGATTCTTCAAAAAGGCAGCCAACGGCGGATCGGCCCGTGAACGCACCATTATGACCAAGACCTCTCCGGCCGACGTGGTGATGTTTTCAGGGTCCAAGGATACCCAGACCTCGTAAGTGGCATAGTTGTATAGTTTTTTTTTTCAAAAAACAAATAAGTATCCAAGCTAACCCCGAAACAGGGCTGATACGTTCCAAGACGGACAAGCGCGTGGTGCGTTGAGTTGGGCTTTTATCAAATCCCTGCAACAGTGGCCCCAGCAGAGCTACCTGCAGTTATTAAATACGATCCGAAATGAGCTCGAGGGCAAATACTCCCAGAAGCCGCAACTGAGCTGCAGCCATCCCCTTGGTAGGTTTTTTTTTTTTTTTCTTCTTTTCTTTTTCCCCAGCTAACTTGAGTTAGATGTCAATCTCCGGTTTGTGATGTAATCGAGTTTCTATGGCACTTGGCACTTAGCACTTTATGATAGGCACGACTGAAATGTAAATGAATCTGAGATGCGGGGGGAAGGAATGTTATTACCATATTATTACCATATGTATTGTATTGTAATATTGTCCAAAATAATATAATATACTTCAATCGATCCCGCATTTCCACTGTGGGCTGTGGCTGTGGATCTCTCGGCAAAAATGGGCAAGTACTTTCTTTATTAACTGGTAACTGGGAGTTGTTCGATTATGTATATTACTTCTAAGACATCTACCTCTCCAAGTCTTGAATCGTAAATGTCTCAGATTCCATATCTGATTCTATAAAAAAAAGAAAAGTATAGAACCATGGCACCATTTCCCCCTGAGCATAAATCGGACCAATCAGTAATGAGAACTCCACAGTTCCCGGTGGGAACCGTGGATGCGATGTCTTTGCCCCTTGGTCAATGTCGCTATTCTTCGCTTTTGCGTAGGGGGAGACGTGGAAGGGGACGTGGAAGGGGACGTGGAAGGGGACATGGAAGTGGACAAGAGAGCGTGAAGAATGTACTTAGCATTGCTATAAACAAGATCGTGACTTTATCCTGCCGCGTCATTGGACACATGCGTCACAGATCTGATATGTTTTTCTTCCACATGGGACCTTCTATTCTGAGATACAGATCATTGTGTAAATAGCTGTGTAAATAGTGTAAATAATATAGTCTAATAATATAGTCTAATAATAGTCAAGATCTACCTTGGATTTTTTTCCAAGTCATCTAAGTGTTACGGAACTAAAGTGTCGATGTCTCTGATCCACTTTTGGTCTTTTTCGGAATTCCATCAGAATACGGGCCCTTTTTGGCTCAATTTTTTTCTCTCTTCTCTCTCTCTTTCCTTTTCAGATCACCTAAGCCATGTTGATTTCATCTGCAACAAACAGTTCCTATTCCTCCAGTGTCTCTTCTGAGCCTCACGCTTCTCCATATCAACATCCCCCCACATCCACACTTTCACTAAACTCCCGCCGAACCCGAATGACTGTCAAATATCCTCGGTTTTACTCCTCCCCCGTGGATCAGGAAACCGACTCAACCCCTCTACAAGTCTATGGCCTAGAGCAACGAGAACCTTCCATCTACGACAAACCTCCCAAACTATTCCGCCGAGTCTCGCATGTCCTAGGCGATATCCGCGAAGACATCTCTATGGACGCTCGTCAAACCACTGAAAAGCTCAAGCGTCGCTCAACCATGTTCTCCGACGGGCCCGGTTTGAGTGCTCCCCCATCACGCTCAGCTCCAATGACATCCCACGGACCCCCGCGGTCGCGGCCAATGTCTATCATCTCCTTCGACAACTGGTCTGCTCCCAAACGAGGAATGAGCCAGCGTATCTCCCGCCGACTGTCAGTGTTCTCTTTGCGGGGCAAGCCAGCCAGCACTAAGGGAGCCAGCATCTCCTCGCCGAATCTGATCGGTTCTTCGACTCAATACGAAAACAGGAGCCAAGCTTCGTTCATTTAATGACCGGATGAGACAATCATAAAAAAGCAAGAAGAAAAAAAACAGAATTGCCATCTATGAACATGGGACAAATCATGCAATACACGGCTATTCATACATGGGGAAGAGGTGTTACGGTATAATCATTTTGGGCACTTTTCCTTTTCTGCACCTGCTATATCCATCATGTTTTTAGGGTGGGCATCATTTTGATTTGATTAATCGCTAGTTCATGGGAGGTTTTTTATATCTACCCTTGACTTGCGCATAGCTTGGTGTTTGGGATGGAATTTTTTTTTGGGATTTCTGACTTTCTGGCTTTCTGGATTATTTGGATTAAGGATTTTCTTGACATATCAGAATAATATATCATATACAGAACCCCTTGCTACATTTCTCTCGAGTCTAATAAATTACGCTAAGTGCGCCACCATGCAGCATTTCAATTTAAACTAAGCAACTGCCGGATTAACGTGCGCCAGCCCGTCATCCAATGCCTAAAAATAAAGGCTAAAAACGTCCATTATTCTAAATGCGAGGGCTATATGAAACTGAAAGCTCTCACCCGTCAAAGATGCCAAGATGGGAAGAATGATCTGGGGATGCACGATAAATTAGCCGTGTTTGGAATGGCCCTTGTGATTTAAAGAATGCTGGGATCCAGGAATAGAATATCATCAAGTAGTCCATCAAACCCGAATATGGATCTTATTTCGATGCTATATCCTTCAGGCTGATTCATTACATATAGGTCAAATTGCTGAAACAGCTGGCTATTATTCCATGCATTTGTTCTATCGCATATAAACATATACATAATCCCACAGGAACATAGTCTTATGCTAAACGTTGAATACAAAATCCCTCCATCATATACTGACGGCCTTGCAAAGTCTACAGTCAAATACTTACGTCTGCCTCTCTCCCTCGGTCCATTCCACATGCTCTGCCATCTCAGCGGGCATAACTGCCTTGCCAGCCGCTCTCTCAAACTCTTCATCTTCGCGTTCAATGTATTTCTGCGGGCGCTTTCGGCAGATAGCATCAGGGTCTCCAGACACAATCAACGATGGGTTGGTGCGGTAATAGGCATCAAGATCCTCGAGACTCCGGTTGGCTACAATGACAGTGAGTAAGAGAAATAAAGAAGAGTATCTGAACATACCTGTCTCTGGGTAGAATAAGTAGAGGATAGGTAGGAAAGCAGCGTTGGTCACCGTCCAGACAATCCAAAACTTCCAGCCAATACTCTGAATTCCGATTGGGGTGATCTCCACGACGATGAAGTTCGTGAGCCTGTCCTTTGTCAAAAAAAATCCTATGAGGTATACCCGCCATTCAGATACGTACCAGTCGGTAGCAGTTGCAGCCGCAGCACCCTTTGTCCGCATCGGTAGGGAGTTGATCTCAGTGGGATACAACCAAGGCACTCCCAGCATGCCAATACCAAATGCCCCAAAATAGAGGAAGAAAAACGCGACCGAGGCATTTCCGTATACACTACCATTATCACTTGTCTCGACATACCGAATCAGAACAGTAATAATGAGGAAGCACGCGAACTGCCCAAATGTCGATAGAAGCATCAGACCACGGCGACCCATACGCTCAATCAAAAGCACAGCTACACCGGAGAAAATTAGGTAGGAGACGGCGTTGCAAGCTGACAGCAACCGAGCCATTTTCTCCGGCAAACCAACCGATTTGGTCAGGACAGTGGGCATGTAATAAGACATGATGTTGATACCGCCGAACTGCTGCATGAACTGACTGCCCATACCAAGTAAAAGTCTGCGCAGTGTCTTGGTATCATTCTTCTTGTCCTTCTTGAGGAGGTCGCGCCAGCTCATGGCGTTCTGTCGCTCGTATTGAATACTGAATGCGATTTCGTTGCGCTGAGTGATAACCACGGGATCATCAATCGGTTTTGCTTCGAGGCAGCTGAGGACTTCGACTGCCTCTTCTTCTCTGCCGTGGGCGAGGAGCCAACTGTGGGTATATTGTTAGACGAACCCATCCTCAAAGAGATTGACGTGTATGCTTACCGAGGAGACTCTGGCAGCCAGGGCGTTGTCCCCCACAGAATGAAAAAGAAGAAGAATTGGAATCCGAGTGGGAATCGCCAGGCTACAGAGCCACCTGCAAATGATAGTCCATAGTTGAGCCAGTTGACAAGACAGTAACCGGCGATGTTCATCATCATATCTAGGATTACTAGTTTTCCGCGCCATTTCGTTTGGGATGTTTCGGTCTGCCAGATTGGGGCTGTAGCAGTGTTGATACCTATTGAGTGTCAGAATATTGTATTTCTGTCGAATCCGATAATCTTGTTTACCATTGCCAACACTACAAGGGGTGTTAGTAGATGATCAAGTGTTGTGAAGAGAAGTGGCCACTTACCCTAACACGATACGACCAACGAACATCTGCGCCAAACTAAACGAACTTGTCTGGATAATAGCTCCTACTGCCATGATCGTAGTTCCCAGCAGGATAGCTTTCTTTCGGCCCAGACGTTCACCAACGGTGAAGGCGATGATAGCTCCGAAGAAACAACCAATGTCATATATGGCAGTCACCGTAGACAGGGCGGTTGTCTTTGTAGGTCCAACCAGATCGTGGCTTTCAAGGAAATCTTGTGTGATCACAACGCCGCCTGGATTGAATTAGGGTTAATCCGAGATTGCACAATTTCCAGGGTACTCACTGAACACTCCTTGGTCGTAACCAAATAAGGTCATGTCAGTTGCGCATGCCACCTAGACAAAAACATGTCAATTCCAACCAAACATTATATGTAAACTTTACATACCGTAATCCAAAAGGTCAGCCATCCTCCTGTTAACCCGAAGTAGGGCTTTTTCTTCTGTGAGACGGTAGTCATATTGAAATAGTAAATCGAGATGGAATACCCACCCACATTTTAAGTTGGGACTTTATGCCCTTAAATACATATAGAAATAGCCTAAATAAGATCATATAGGGAGTACATATTCAAACTACTCCGGGGTATGATCTCCCGAAGTCGGCTCCGCCCCGAAGTCCGGGGAGAAACGCGGGGAAAAGGTTCCACGACCCCATTATCCCAAAAGGGTATCCCGTAGGGATTGATCGCCTAGTTTTGGTACCGGAACTAGATAGATTGGATTCGCTTAGATTCATATAGAAGGATGGCCGAGGTCCTTGCGTCACTGGATTGATTGTGCAAGATAAGACGGCTAGAATTGCGATTTCTATTGGAAAGCACACCTGGGTAACATATATGTAGAGATAAGTCGACCTCTGTACCTCTTTATGTCTAAGCCAAGTGGGATAATTTCTGACTACGCCCCTATTCATTGGAAACGTATCCTTTTTGAACGGATGATATTGCATGTCTCGTAAGTAGATGATATAGGGGCTGTAAGCCCTAAGAAATTTAACCGGGAAAACACCGTCTCAAAGCACCGGACTCAACCTGCAAAGCATCCGAAGATATAATGCAAGTTTGCAACCTTCTGATACATAACCCAAACCCTAAACCCCACGTGTAATACGCCATAGTAATCCCAATCCCGTGTCGAGAACATGGAGCCAGTCCATGCCTGGGGATGCACGTGCAACCGGCACGGCATCTCCATCCCCGGGTCCTGCCCTATCTAGCCGTAAACCTCAAAATCACAGAGTGACGCTCTCGAGATCACGCATGACAATACCCATTTGAGCGCGTTTGGCTGCCTCGGCAACGAGACTGAAATCCTGCAGAAAGGGTGCTGTGGCCGTAGGACCTCCGAGGCCATTTATCTGGTGGGGATAAGCATCGGAGGTGGGCGCCAGAGCGGGGGCTGCATTCATAGGTAATACTGCATGGGTGTTGGCTGCGGGGGCGATGGGAAGGCTATTCGGCTTGGATGTGTTGCCGAATGCTTGTGACAAGGGTTGCATGGGAGGGGCGGAGGTTTGCGGGGAACAGGCAGATTGTAGCGAGGGTGAAGAGAACACCTGCCTGGTCGCATTCGATGCGGCCTCTAGGGTACTTTGAGTCTGAGCCATGGTGGACTGTCCAGTTGAAGGGTCGAGGGTTGAGGAATGGAAGGTGGGTTGGACAAGAGGTGCTTGAGGGTTGTAGGTTGTTCGTAGGGTCGAGTCCATGACGTGACTAGAGCGGTCCGATCTCGAGGCAACAAAGAATAGAGTCGCAGTGGACGTGGACTTGGGGGGGTAGATGGTAGAACAGGGAGAGGGGGGGTTGCTATGGACAAATATGCGAAAGGGAGAAGAGTGGAAAAGAAAGCAGAGTGGCAAGGAAATCGAAGCCGCTCAAATCGACTGAGGATGCAAATTGCAAAGCTAAGACGGATTTGGCCGGGGTGATTTTCCACTAAGCGCTGGACGAACAATTTGAGAGAAATTGAAAGAAAACAGAAAGAACAATCTAAATAAAAGTCAAGAGATACATCTCTCAGGGGTGCATATGACCTTTCGAAGGCCTGCAGGTTTTCTCTCGATCCCCGAGATTTGCCCGCGTATTATGACGGTATTGTACGGTATCTCCACGTCTTTCTCCGCATCACGTGGGATACACGTGACTTATATAAGCGCCTAGTTCGTAATGTGACTATATAATGTAATAGTCAATAGTGGTCTTCTAGACTTGCAAGTTTTGGAGTTGTTTTAAAGTCAATCCAAAGCACATCGATTGTGTACATGTCCTGGAATCTATAATACCTCGGGATCCCGAGAGATCCGGTAATCTCTTGCTCTGTTAGCCCACTTTCTTGATGCCTGAGGCAACCTCGGAAGAAGCCGATAAGAAAATTGATAACCGATATTGATATTTTTTTCCCCTCCATAGCAATAAAGCCGTATACCATGGCCGACGAATTTGATGCAGGGGATCTTTTCCAGGACCCGGAAGGGTATTATCCTGAAGAATCTCAGCCCACATTTGCCGAGCACACTATGCTATCAGGCCAGAAAGTCCGCGTCCGTCTTGTGGGCGATCACCCCCTCTATGTATGATATCAATTGACATGATCAGCCGAGGTGCCTACTTACAGACCTTGACAGGGAAATCTGCTCTGGAACGCTGGCCGAACCAGCTCTCATTATATTGAGGAGCACACCGAGGATCTCATCCGAAATAAGGATGTCCTCGAGATTGGTGCCGCAGCAGGCGTTCCCAGCATCGTGAGCGCCATTCAGGGCGCCCGGACAGTGGTATTGACCGATTATCCGGATCCAGACCTTGTTGAAAACATGAAGTACAACGCAGAGTTGTCGGCGAGTGCCATTCCCGCCAGGGAAGACGGAAAGCCCCGCCTTCACGTCGATGGCTACAAATGGGGCAGTGATGTGAGCCCGCTACGGGCGTATCTACCCCCTGCTACCGATGGCTCTCCATCCTTGTTTGACGTCTTGATCATGGCGGACGTGGTATACAGCCACCGCGAGCACCCGAATCTGATCAAGACCATGCAGCAGACCATGAAGAAGGATCCCAACTCTGTTGCTCTGGTGATTTTCACCCCCTACCAGCCCTGGCTGTTGCCCAAGACTGAGCAGTTCTTCCCGTTGGCCGAGGCGAGCGGTTTCACTGTCACCAAGATCTTTGAGAAGGTGATGGATGCGGTGCTGTTTGAGGAAGACCCTGGCGTAAGTCTACATTTTGAGAGTTCTCCTTTGGATTATGTCCTTGATGCTGACTCTTTACAGGATGAAAGGCTTCGAAGAACCGTGTTTGGATATGAGATCCGATGGGCGCAGGATCAGTTGGATTCATCCAAAGCTGTTTGAGCGTTGATTTGATACCCCCAGCCTACTTGGAACGATGACATGATTACATGACAAAAGTTCGATAGATTTTATATACATTGAGAGAAGATTACTCTTCATTTCCACTGTTCTACTCTGGATCAGGCACCTGAACTAAATACCTCTGCCTCATACTTCAGGCCTCAATTTCACTAGGTAACTACAGCCTTACACTGTTGCTTTTTTTTTCTCTCATCCTTTAGCCACATTAGTAAATAGCATCGAACGCAACGATCATATCAATTAAAAAATTATTTCTAGTTCAATGATCCCCGGAGAGCATAGGTGGTTGGATGTAGATGCGGGTCACATGCCACAACCCCCGCAAGAAAAAAAGTCCGCCTGAACAAACACCACGAAAACTAACGATGCCGGTACGTCGACACATCTCATACATTCTGCAATCCAATCTGACAAATATATATCCAGCTCGTCGTTTTAACGGGATACCCGTGCTCTGGTCTCACCCACCGCGCCAATCAACTCGCATCTCTGTTTGAGAAACACCAAGATGAAGTATTCGCAGCAGCCGAAGCAGGCGCGCAGGTCTCGTTGAAGTCTCGATACAAGGTCCATGTGGTCGCTTCACACGATTCCTCCCATCCACGAATCGTCTACGACCATGCCCGCACCGAGAAGGAGGCGCGCGGCGTCGCCTATGCGAGAGCCAAGCGTGTGCTCAAGCGGGACAGCATCGTTATCCTCGACGGAATGAATTATATCAAAGGATGGAGGTACCAGCTGTGGTGTGAATCGAAAGCTGCGCAAACGACTTGCTGTGTGGTATGAGATTGGAACGTGCAAAATGAAATGCGACACCCAATGACTGACAAGTCTGTTACAGGTTCACGTCGGAACACCCGTCGACCAGTGCATCGCCAACAATGACGCCCGTCTGCGCCGAGATGCCCGAAAGGAAACAGACGCAAAGACATCAGATGCGCCGACCTCCAAAACCGAAGATATCCCCGCACCCGACTCCGCAGAGTCTACCGAGGATACCGAGGAGGCCTACCCATCTGAACTGCTCAACAATCTCATCTTCCGCTACGAGGAACCAAGCACCCACAGCCGATGGGATAAGCCTCTGTTCACAGTTCCCTGGGCCGACGCAGAACCCCCGGTAGCAGACATATTCGAAGCCTTGACAGGCGTGGTCATCCCATCAACCGAAGGCCCCACCGAAACAGCCATCCCAAGCCTAATGGACTCCCTCACATCCACCACCATCTCAGACGTCGCCAGCATAGCAACAGGAACTCGAGGCGGTGGCCGCAGCGGAGGACTCTCGACACGCGCCCGAATCATCCCACACCAAGCTACCGTCCAAGCCGCGGCAACAGACTCGAATGCAATGTACGCAATGGAAAAGCGGACATCAGCAGTTGTGACTGCAATCCGCAATTTCACACAGATCTACCCGTCCGCGGAAGTAGCGCTTGCGCAGAGCAGTCGCCGTGATGCGATCGCCATTGAGGTTCCAGATTCAACTGTTCCCATCCTTGTTCCATCCCATGTCGCCATGACTGGAACGACGGATGAACTTGCCGCCGCTGGTGGGATTCTGGCTTTGCCGCGTTTGCAGAGGCTGCGTAGACAGTGGATTAGCTTGCACAGATCGTATATTGGTCGGGGTCATGGTAGTGGAGGCGGTGCGCTGACGGCTGATCAGATTGGGGATGCGTTTGTGCGGTTTCTCAATGCTGAGTTCTCGGGTGTGGTTGCGGAGGCTGCTGAAGAATAAATACTTTGCATTTGAGTAGGATTAGATAGATTAGATGTCTTTTTCATTACTAGAAAAAGTTGGTAGTTATGAGATAACGAGGTTATGACTTGGATACGTTTCAGTTCTACAGGATGTACGTTTTAAGGATTGCAAAGTAAAAAAGTCATTTGAAACAAGAACGCAACACCTATCTCTATCAACAAATCAAATCCAACCAATTGTTGGACAATACATGGCTATATCTCTCTTTACTGTCATTCTTCTCCTTTTTGAGACACTGTATCCCGCTTTGCTGTTTCCTCCGCATAAGTTTCGGGTCTTGTGTCATTGGGATGGTTTTATCCATGGATCTAGAGTACAGCCCAGGAAGCTCAGAAGTCCTTGGGTACTGAATCTAGATCCTCATGTGGTGAGCAGCTTGAGATCGGGGGCAGATCACAAGCTCTCAAGCGTGGGATGGGGTTCCACGCTGGGTCCTATCCAGTTCCTGGCCGTAATATCCAGTTTGGAATCGGATTGTCCCTGTCCGATGGGATCAGGCTGAGACAATCCTTTGGCCGAAGTCCACTTGTGTACGCGCGAGCGATCGCACCGGGTTCCTCCATGTATTGAAAGTGCCTGGCCAGCAAGCAGCACGGTCTAGCCGCGGAGTAAAAAGGAAATCAAGAAAAAGTCCTCCCGCGAAGTTTGGTCGTATCGTTCAAAAGAAAACCGCTGTTCTCCTCCAGGAAGGAGGCCTACAGCTCCTCTACCCTTTCAAGGCAATCCATTGGACATGTGGGAACCAGCCTGGCTAGCCTCAATATGGCGGTAGTTCATACCCAAGGTGAACAGTTCCTGGAAACTGGCGTTGACCTTCTCGTGCATGGTAGTATCCTGAGGAGAAATGTTACTCAGCTCCTCGAGCAGACGCGAGCGGCACTTGAAGAAGTTCTGCTCTGCATTCTGGAGGCGCTGTCCAAGGCTGGCGGAAGTCTGTGTGGCCTTGATGGAGCTAGCCTGGGAGTGAACGGAGCGAGTGCGCTTCATGGTGGGAGCCGGGGTGGCACCGGTGACTCTTCTCTTGCGGCCAGTGGGTTCCTTCTTCTTGATCTGACCGGCGCCGGGCGAGGTCTCTGGCGAGCTGTGGCGCTCGGAGGTGGCATAGTCATGCACGCGACGCATGTGGTCGTAGAGGTTCCATCTCCTTGGGAATCCATTTCCTGGAACTGCGCGTTCACAGCCCTCCCACAGGCAGAGGTGGGGGTTATCTCCATGGCCATGTAATCCGTGGGCTTCACGCTCGTGGCGGAACAGACACGCGTTGGAAGAGAAGCGCAGCTGGGCGTCAATGCAGGCGGGGACCTTGCAGCGGTATGGCTTCAAATGGGAATCCAGGTACTTGCTGTTAGTTGATATCGGTTAGCTAGGTTCAGATTACACCAAAGGTTTTTTTTCACGGGAGGACTTGCTGGTAAGCGCATTTTTGCGTGGTGGGTGGGTGGTTGCAGGGCTTCTCTCCAGTGGCAAATGGGCAGTAATATTTTCCATCACTGTGGGTGGACATGGAATAATACTGGTGCTCTCGCGGGTTGCGAGCCTCAACACCTTCCTTGGATCTCTGGCGGGTTGGCTCTCTCACTGGGAGAGTGGGGAAGAAATCAGGATCGCTCTTTCCCTGGTGGTGAGAAACAGCTGTCAATGCTGAACGGCGGGATTGCTTTGAGGGTCTGATGGTCCTACGATATTGTGGTTAGGTTTCTGATCAAATGTTTTTTTCTTCTGGTGTATCAGTCTTTCTGGCACTCACCTGTTGAGGTCCCTGTCGTTAAGAGAAGAGCTCGGGAACAAGGGTTCCGCTGGGTGGAGTCCGTGAGTCGTTCCAATGGGAGATGTGGTGAAGTCTCCAAGGAGTGCATCATCGGAGGGCATGAATGAAGTATATCCGGCGTGTGAGCAAGAAGAAGTAACAGACATATCATTGCTAGCGTCGGTCAGTGGTGGAGAGACCGGCACGGTCTGGAAAAGACCCGACGAAAATTGTTCCATGGTGGTTCCTGGGTAATGGGCATCATGCATCATTGGAGTCCATGACTCTGGGCCTGTGATATAGTGACCGTCCTCGGTACTGTGAGAGCTGTGTCCGATGGAAAGAGCATCATCTGGAGTGCCATTCCCGACACAGACATCATTTTCAACAGAAGAGAAATCCAGGAAGTTATAAAGATCCCGGGTCATTTCATGGTCATTCATTTCAGGGACTGCTGGGAAGTCCACGCCTGGGTACATAACATCATTTGGTCCGACCGTGGGGGTCATCATCTGCTGAGACAGCGAGTAAGAAATCATGTGCACCTCGGATGAGTCTGGTTTTGAGATGGCCTGGTCAAGGGATTCTTGGCGGTTCATTGTCCAGTCTTTCATGTCCTGTGGATTTCCATGGGCTGTACGGATACTTGAGCACAACGAGGAGTTGTCATGGCTCGACATTTCATCATCCTGGATTGATCTTGAGGCCATATTTGAGATTCCTGAAACCATGGAGGTACGCATGGACTGTGAGATAGAGACTCGTTCAGAGTCGCTGCTGGTCCTTGAAGACATTGTGTGTGGTTGTATGAGAAAAAAAAACACTGTAAACCAAAAGTTAGTATCTACTACTCGTCATAGAACAATGAAATAAGCAAAGTAAAAAAGAAAGACAGAAAAAAACAAGACGAAAAGCAAAAACAAGAGCTCCATGGACCAGAGATGATTGAAGACCTAGTAAGAGTCAGTAATGAGACCAGTGGTCGCGTCACGATTATTTGTACGCACCAGAGTCGATGTGGTGGGATTGAAAGTTCCTTGGTCGACCAGGGATTATCGTAAGATCCTGGTCAAAGTTGTCGTGTCTATTTTCGGGTCCAGGTCTGTTGTCAATCCAAGGGAGTGCTAAGTGGTGCCAGAGCGAGAAGAAACAATTTCATGGCCGGAGTTACTAGTTGGTTGAAGCATCATGATCCAGGTAAGTCCAGACAAGTAAAAGAAAGTCGTTCATTTTTGTGGCCAGATCAGGTAGGTACACAACGGCCAGATTCCACAAAGCAAATGGCCTGAGCAAGAGTTGAAAGCGAATGCTTCAAAAAGACCATAATTGACACGGAGCAAGCACATTAGCTTGAAAGATTCCTCGGTTGATTCCTTGGGGTAAAGTGGTTCCATTATTGTTGAGAAAGTGGCCAAAGTAGCATCAGGTTTCCAGGCAAAGAGTCATAATTTCAAGTCCTTTTTAAGTGGTTCATATGGTTCATTCCAGGGGCGTTGTTTCCAGAGGCATTGGGGTCCAAGGGTATATCAAAAATCCGCACTCAAAACTCCGGTCTTAGAGCTGAGGCAATGTCAAAAAAAGAAGAAACATCCATGGTAGTCCAGTGGCAGTGGAAGTCAGGCGATTTGAGAGTGCAACATTAAACACATCTCAAAGAGATTCACTCAGCAGGTGCTGAAGGCAAGTATCCTCGGCAGTGGTTCCTTATTCATGGTCGCCAAAAATTGGCCAAAAGTCCGGGTGTGGGAGTAGGTCTAAGGTCCTGGGATCCTGGGAAATATGTTGTCGATATCCTTGGCAAGCACAGTTGACAGTGGTACAGGTCCAGAAGACGAAATGAAATAAATAACAACGCATAGGAGGACCAATTGTAAAGAAAAAGTGACGGGAGCTACCTATTGTGTTTGTCGAAGTGTGGGCAGACTAAAGAGAAGCCTTGAAGATAACAAGAAAACAAATCCTGTCCGGGAAGTATGTGGCAGAGAGAAAATCCTTGTGGCAGTGATTGTATCAAAAACCAGGGAGTCTTGGGTTAAGAAAGAGAAGTTGTCCTTGGTCCAGGGACTGAGTTGTTGTATGTGTTGTAGAGAGAAGTATATATAAAAGTGGGGGAGATAGTTGCACAATCACACAAGGTAGTTGTAGAAAAAGGGGTATCCAGAGAGTTATGGAAGAAAGAAAAAGGAGAATCAGGATTAAGGAGGGGGATCAGCGGCCTTTTAGCACACACACAAACGAAAGCTCGGACTTTGGAGGGTCTGTGGGCCATCCAACATGGCGTGTGCCAGTCTTACATTGCGCAGGAGACGAGTGCGCTGTTGGCACTCTAAGAGCCAGTACTGTAGACTGGCGGTGATGGCACCTGCAGATTAGGGGGGTGTTCGTTTGACTGAGTGGAGGGATACCTTCTAGCGGTGAGACTGGCTCGGCGTCTTGAGTGCTTGGCGAGAAGTATGATTGGTGATAGAAGACAGGATGCTGCAGGATGATGTCCGAATTGGACGATCGGCAGGTGCACTCGCGTGTTCGATGAGATGTACAACTTGGTTGCACCTGGCCATGTATCGTATGGAGGAGAGAATCCCACGTCGGAGCGCCACGGGAAGTATACCTGCAGTATGAGGTCACCTTGTACGGAGTACAGCGTTAAGACTCGAACATATTATATACGTGGTGAAACAATAAATAAATGGTAAATAGTAAATGTGATTGTAAAGAAAATATAACTAAGATTACTGGACAACGGGACGGGGCGAGCCAGAGAGCCAGACCCACGTTGGGCAGCAATGCAGATTTTCCTATTTTCGAGTCTTTTTATTTCAGTTAGCCAAGTTCAAAAAGAAGTGGATGAAATAAAAGGATATCAGGGTTGACAGGATCAGAAATTGTATAATGGAATATGTTTTCGTTCAGTAATCCGAAGATCTCAGGTGAACTATGCTTTAATATTGGTTGCTCATCACAAAAGGCAAAATGCCCTTGGGAACAGAAAAAAAAAAAAAAAATAATGTGCTTACCTGTTAGCGGGAATTGTCGGAAGTGAGGGATGAGTTGTCATGAAACACAAGTCATATTCGAGGCTGTGGCAGTCAGGGATATGATTGACGGAGAAAAGGAGGAAGAAAAAAGAAGAGAAAGATTTTTGTATGTGGTGAGATCACGTGTATATAAGTTTGTCTTGTTTACATTGTTTACATTTTGAGCAAACACCTCATATCTCCCCGAGGTCTCGCTTTGGAGACTAATCCACTCCCCACTCTCTATGCCTTGGCATGATGAATTGGACGGGTGGCCAGCTGCAGCGTCATCATCGCTCAGGCCTGTTGACCAAAACTCAAAAACAGAATTTCGCCAAGTCGAGACTCCAAAAGAGCACGGTCATTCCCCCGCCTTCGCCGTTTCGTAACTTTCCTGATATTGGATTCAAGGGCTCGAGCACTAGGGAAAAGGATGAGGCAGAGACAAATGGAAATCAGTCAGTCAAAAACTGTTGATTGCTTTGACTTTGCCTCTGGTAATCCATGTGGGGGGCCTTGTACTAACCTATGATTACCCTGATGCTAGAGTTACGGAAGAGCCGGCCTGGCATTCGACTGGTGATCAGTCCTCTCAAGATGATAGTGGCTTGAGCGAGGTCAAGCGCCAGCTGCTGAAAGAACCAGATTGGGCAGCTGTGTCTGTTACGCGTCCACTCGAGCTGGCATTTACATCGGTGGAGGAAGTCGAGCGGTTTGGGAAGCGACGAAAGCTAAATGACAAGGACAGAGAACGGCTGGTATCAGCTAACAACAATGAGTCTACCTTTTTTGGGCGGTCCAGGCCTCCACGAAGAAGCAGGAATTCATCCTCGGTGATTGATACCATTGAAGAAGACATCCAGTTTGAGATCAACGGACGACCAGTGGCGCGATCCAATGACAGCTCGGGTGTGGTCATGAACAGCATGTCATCACAGTCAATGTTACTTGACCATGAAGGATCTCCTTTTGCGGAACAGGACCTTGGCAAAGAGAACCTGACAGCTACCTGGATTACCAATCTGTTTCCCCGTTCGCAATGACCTCGGCGTGAGCTATGACAGCAGTGCATAATGTTGAGATGAAGTCAGATGAATGGCACATGTTCTCAAAGTCCGCATATCAGATGGGTGCGGGGAAGCATATCTCTTACTCTCGGCGGAACCCTCCTCCTATGGGTATTTTGCTATCTATATCGTAGACAGTGAAATAGCAGTGCCGTTAGATCTTTTCGAGGTCCGCAAGCAACACCGGCTGAGGCACCTGAAGGGAAACGTTGAGTCCACTACACCAGGAATAGACCACTAATATCCCTTAATCCAGCCAAGTCCGCTACCTAGTCTATTTTACATGTACATCATAATTGTTCATGTTCTGCACATCATATAATGTACCTGTTTTGCGTTCTTATAGATATAAATTGCCGCATTCGGTCATCACATGATTGGTACCTGCCGAAGCAACGTCATTTCCGTCTCCACAGCCGTCTCCAATTATCAACAGCGCGGACATCGTGAAGATCACTTGACAGTTCCATCAATCATGCGTTCTATCACACTTTTGGCCACTCTGGCCACCAATGCTCTCTCAGTCGCGCTCCCGTGGCAATCCGCCACAGATGCAGCCAACGGAACCCAGCTCCCTCTCGTGATCTGGCACGGTCTAGGCGATGACTTCGAACGTGAAGGGCTCACTCAAGTTGCACAACTGGCCGAATCTACCAACCCCGGCACATATGTGCACCTCATCCGACTCGCCAACGACGGCAGCGGAGACCGCTCCGCAACCTTCTTCGGCAATGTAACGGAGCAAATCGCCCTAGTCTGCGAACAGCTCGCCGCAGACCCAATCCTCAGCACAGCGCCTGCCATCAACGCGCTAGGCTTCTCACAGGGTGGTCAATTCCTACGCGGGTACATCGAGCGGTGTAACACCCCACCCGTCCATAATCTCGTCACATTCGGCAGTCAGCACAACGGCATCTCTGCGTTTGAGTCATGTGCCTTTGACAACTGGTTCTGCAAAGGGGCCGAGGAACTGCTACGATCGGGGCGATGGACGAGCTTTGCGCAGTCGCGAGTTGTGCCGGCACAGTACTTCCGCGACCCGGAGGAGCTGGATTCGTACCTCGAGCACAGCAATTTCCTAGCGGATATTAACAACGAGCGTGCGGTCAAGAACGAGACATACAGGAAGAATATGGCGTCGCTGAATCGGTTTGCGATGTTCATGTTCGAGGAGGATACCGTTGCTGTTCCTAAGGAGAGTGCTTTCTTCTCCGAGGTTAATGCCACTACTGGCGAGGTGACGCCTCTCCACGAGAGGCCGATCTACAAGGAGGATTGGCTGGGGCTGAAGCAGCTTCATGAGCAAGGGAAGCTGGATTTCAAAACTGCCCCTGGTCAGCATATGCACCTGTCTGAAAAGACCATGCGCAAGGCTTTTGAGCAATACTTTGCTCCGCTGGAGGAGTCAAGTCGATCGGCGCCTGGTCTCGTTGTGCAGCAGCGCGGGCTTTGATCGTTCTCTCTTCTCTTGGGCGTTTTCTTGTACCATATGATATCCCGACTGCGTGTGCTTTATTTTAGATACTAGTATCAAAGTCGAAGTCCAATCGAATACCGCATATGGCTGGTTACTTACATGTATAAAACTACGATGTCTTGCCATGTTCGTTCTAGCACCATCTATCTTATGTCTACCGACAATGTAGCTATGTAGATACACCACGCTGCGACTATTCATCGCAAGCTAACAAATAAAAAAATGTGAGTGCCGACAGGCAAAAAGCAAATGCCTGAGCTTTCAAGATAAAATATGCAAGTGGAAAAGAAAAAGATGACAAGGATAGACACCGAATGGGGGAAACCAACAAATCAGAAAGGACATGCGTATCTCGAACAGGTTAGAGGTTTGGCAGCCAGCAACTCAGCATTCGACATGAGCGAAGACAAGATCCATGTAAGGCCAGGCCGGGCAGATAAAAAAAAAGAACCTATAACAGGAAGAAAATTATATAAACATATGAAGGGCCAGGGAATGGAGATGGCTGCAAAGATGCCTGAAGAACGATGCAAAGGTGCAAATCAAACAAAAAAGATCAATAAGGTGGCCGACCAAGGCCTCCACTGACCTGTCGTCTGCTGTGAGATCGGCTCAGCGGAGTCTTGGAAGCAGATTTGGCAGTTGCTGGACGGTTTCCATTCGTCACCGTGGTCTCGCCAGGCGAGAGGAACCCATCCAAGAGCTTCCTCAGTTGATCTTGGTGGTTGCCTTCCAGGGAATTGGACTCATAGTCGGTTGAGAGTTCAGGGAGTCCAGCTATGGCAAGGCTATGGTTGGATCGGCTCTTGTTGCGGTTTAAAGGCTTATTGTTTAAGGCACTGGCTTCAGCCCTGTCTCTCACCGAAGACAGTAGCGAGGGACCTGGCGCGGTGGATGGGCGATCATATGAGTTCAGCGAACGCTGTGAGTCGTTCGGGAAACCACCTGGAATCGACAAGCCGAGTGGGATCGGTGGGACGGGAGGGATTTCTGCGTCTGAACCAACACGATTCTGGGATTCGTCGGTTGAGTTTTTATCGCCTGGTAGGTTAAATGCCGCGGTCGAAGCGCGGGGTGTCTCTGTTCCATTTTCCCCTTGTTGGCTCTCTGGTTGGATTGAGACAGCATCTCCATCTATCTCGGAAACAGAGAAGTTTCCGCTGATCATGCTTTCGCTCCCAGAGGAAATGGTACTGGCATTCGATGCATCAAGTCGTCCACGCAATGGACTGAGGCGTCGATCATGGGAGTCGTTAGTAACCGAAAGCACGCGTCGAAGCTCATTGACGCGAACGGGAGAGCCTCTGCTCGAACCGTGGGATGACGAGCCCGATATCTCCGGAATGCTCATGCGGCGGGGATATTGAGACCCGGCGGGTGAGCCATTTGTAGCCCCGTTGGTTTGGTTGTTGCGAGCATTTGCAGTAGCCCGAGAGCCATTGATCGATGATGTTCCAGTGCTTTCCTTATCGACACTTGCCAAACATGCCTCGCGAGACCACGGAGACAACATTTGTTCTCTCACGACGGATGGGAGGCCGCCCTCAACCTGGGATTTCACTGTCCCTGTGGAGTGCCCAAGGACCGGGAATGTGAATCCTCGTGCTGGAGAAGAGGTCGAAGGGCTTCGTGGAGGAGAAGGTACCGATTTGCGGTAAGACTCGTCAATCATATAGACAAGTCCTTCAACATTACGGAAGGGTGTCAACGGAGGTGGGGAGGTAAGATCATTGCCAGACTCCTTCTCGTTGCTAAAAACAATGGCATAAAGATCGACTGGGGGAAGGCGAACTTTGGAAAGCCAATATCCCTTGTCTTGTCGATCTTGGATCTCATTGCTTATCTCAAGGCCCACAGGGGAGGACTGCATATCGAAATGCTCCGACAGCGCAAAAAGATATCCGTGTACCAAGCTTCCAATGTTAACGCGAGCTGCGAAGGAACTCAGATCCATAGATGTAAACAAGTCGTCTTGCAATTTAAGGACCATAGGAAGACCAAATTGAGCGGCATTCACCCCGAGGTTCTCGACAAGCTTTGCAAGAAGTAGGTGCAGCAGAAGAATCTCGGACTCCTCGCCAGCTAGCTCGAGTGCAGCATCGTAGATACCTAGGTGTAGAAGACGGAGGAAGTTTGACTGTGCCACCAGCCCCACTTTGTCCCTCTGATTCCCAGAGGCCGAGGTACCTCGTCGAGTCGACCTATCCGTCTGCTCGGGGTCTCTCTTCGAGGTTGGCTTGATGTACTTGGGTGAATCTAATCGCACCTTGAGGTCGCTCCCATTGGTCTCAATCTGCAGCCATGACAGGAATGCATCGGTATAGGCATATCGAACGTCACGGTCCACATCACGAAGAAGTATTTGGGTTCCTTCCCACACCTGGATTCCGACTGGATGTCTAGATTCCGCGCCAGACATGGTTGCTGGCGTTTTTGAATTCGCCACAACCAAGATAGCCTTGACGGCTCGGAGACCAGTCAATTTAGCGGAAGTATGCGAGAAGCTTTCTGTGTTTGGTTTCTCTCCATTTGTCTCGGATCCGGAATTTGTCGATCCCCCAGGTGTCAATCCAGTTTCGTGAACTGTTGCCAATGGAGATGGTGCGGAACTCTCATGGTGGAAACTAGGTTTGAAACGCCTGAGAATAGCCCGCATCATATCAGCGACTTGGTCTCCGTAGTAGATGTGCGTTGCAAGATCTCCAATACACTGCTCTAGTAGCGTAAGAAGATCCTGTCGTCTGGGAGAGATTGGTGACACGATTTGAGGTTGTCGATTTGATTCCTTCTCTGACTCTGCAGACCCAGTACGCTCTGGCGGGGCGAGTATATCAGAAGCGTAGTGCATGAGTCCATAGAGGATGTCCATAACACTGAGTCCAATCATGTTCACAGAAGATTTGAGAAGCCAATCCACCACAGAGAGAATGGTGAATGATGCCTCTAAAGCATCCTCCTTGGGGCTCGTATCGTGGAGAATCTCCATAGCGGTGATCAAGATGATAAAACGAACTTGCACCGGACACCAGTTGGCAATGAGTTCGATCAGAGATGTTGCCCAGTTGCCACCTTTGCCCTCCTGAAGACGCTTTCCGCTCTGTGGGAAGCCCTTGCTTGTGATGAACTGTAAAATGACCGTTACTGTGATACGGATCTGGCCCCGGTTACTCCCCGATACGATGGTTTGTTCGAGACAGCGCAGGGCCAAGAGCCGAGCGTCCATTTCCGCCTTTCGATCCGCCTCAGCGGCTGACTGTGCTGCCAGCTCGGGGTCCCCCTCTGGCGTGTCCACTGTGTGCACCGTGTTGACACTCATTCGGCGGGGTTTGGGGGCCTCACGTTCATTCGGGTCGGATTCGATTAACTTGGCCTTCAGAGTTGGAAGAAGATCCTCATCGTCAGAATAAAGGTTCTTCAGGATCACCGGCAAACAGAGCTTCAGTGATGTTCCTCCGTCGGCAGCCAAGGTCTCCGAGCTGACCACGCTTCTAATGGCTCGCAGTCCCGCGTTTCTCCATCGAATAGCCACCTGGGGGCTGAAATTTGCGTTCGGGTGGGATGTAAATCCCGGGTCGGCAAAGCTGGCGTAGGTTCGCACGACTTCTCGGTATTGCTGCGCGAGGCCCTGGTCAGCCGCGATAGCCGCAATGTCCTGATACCGGCAAAACATTTCGAAGGCGATGATCGATTCCTCCACCATATTTATGTCATTGGATCGCAAAACGATATCGATGATTGTCATGACGGATCGGGCGTAGATAGGAAGGTCGCGAGGAACTTTTTCGATGAGCGCAGCCAGGATATGCAGGGCCACCTGGACATTTCTATGCAATGAGATCAGTCAGCCATTCATCTCGAGTGCGCATGATTCGGGTGATCGGAAATCTGCGCTCACCCTATTCTGCGTCTCCAGACATCCCGGGCAACTCTCTTCTCCAGGAAACCGCCGACCTTGGTCAACTTGCTGCGGCGCGTGCTCGTATAATACAGCAGGTATGAGAGTTCGCTAGCATTCGGCCGGACCTCCGATACTCCCTTCTGGTATTTAGGATAACATTTCAAGGTCAAGACCTGATGCTTTGGCCGACAGGACTGGCGAACGGACTCCATTGGAAACGTAGTGCCACATGCAGTTCCGGGTGGCGGGGGGGTTCCACGAAAGATCGCGACGGACTTTGTAGTATGTGAAGGCAAATTGGAAACAAGCCGAGGGGTTCCTGGATGACTAGTTAGGGGCCATAAGACGAAATGCCCGCAACGAGGAGTTGATGACGGATAGTTCAAGGCGGATCACCAGGGGGGTGGGGCTCTATTGTAATCTTGTAAAGGGCCCAGGAACCTTTTTAAAATGGAAATGAAAACATTGAATTGGAAGTTGAGAAAGGAGAAGAGAAAAAAAAAACAAAACAAGGTTGGGCTCTCGGGAACTTCGGGCGAATTCTATATATTGCCTTGTTTATCTCTCTTACATTCAGTGGATCATATAGGTTATCATATATGTTACCATCTAGGTCTATTAGGGCTTAATGTTTTTCTATACAGCATATTTTATAATATTTTCTCATTACTCAAGACTGAGATAATATTGCCTAGAATATTTGCCACCTATGCCAGAGCACATGTGGGTAACCCCAAAACTATGACATATCAAGAGGCTATAGAGATATTCCGTACAATAAGAACTTCAACGCTTGGTCCTTTCCCCCCGCCTCTGTCGTCAGTTGAAAATTCGGGCTTTAGAGCCTCGGCCTAGGTCCTCGGTCACAGGTGATAATACATGAACATCGGGGGGGTCAATCTTACCTGACTCGGCGCTCTATAAAAACCCTATATGACGTTAATATAGAACATTTATATGCATAGTAATTGACCACTAACGGTCCAAATTGCATAATTTTACTTTTTAAACTTCCCTACTTCGCTTATTCTTTCTCCTTAATCGAGGCATCTTAGACTCATACTATGTAAATCCCTGAAGGTCCACAATCCGATTCATTCTTAGTGCCCTATTGGAATTAGTTTCTAAATGAAACCCGTTTCATCTCTTCTCCATCTACTAGTATGACAACCTTGGAAGTCTACTAGGTCATTCAGATGGGTATTTTGTGTGTACCGTACTGAGGTTGAAACAGACTCTGGAGGAAAACTGAATTCCCAAGGGTAAACCCGTTTCTTGCTGATGTCCCCATCTTATGAAAGATGGAAAACGGTAGAAACTGAGAAGGGCCGCACTCAAAGCAGGCCGCTCAACTTGTCAAAAGCTGCATTCTGTGGCAATGAAATCACCAGAGTGTAAAGATCATGTACAATGTACAACTTGGATCTGCCAGGGCGCGGTGCATTTGTATGTTTTGCAGGAAACATGCCCACCCATCTCGGTCGCATCGAATGTAAAGTCTGGATTTAGGCCCCATCATGTCTTTCCATTTGGATCATCCTGCTTTTCATCTGTTGGGTCGGTCTCGGTCTGAACTGGTTCAGGGACACTGACCCCTGCCAGGCCTTCAATGACCTGGGGTAGAATAATGTCACGGCGGAAGTTGTCCTCCTGGAGCAGTCGAAGCGCTCGTAATGTGGGGCCTGGGTGGGTGAGGAACTGAGAGTACTCGGGTGTCTTCCAGTAGGAGTAGAGGTAGGCTAGGTAGGCTGCGAATGCCTGGGCATCTGGCGAAGAGGAATCATCGTCATCATCGGCACGAGAGATACCCAGGAGATTGGGATAGGTGACTGCCAGGTGTGACAGATAGTAAGGATTGGCGAGAGATGAGACGAATTCAAGTTCGAGAGTAAAGCGCGGGTTGGTCAGGGTTGGTCGATCCTCCATGGTGGTGATGCAGAGAAGTGTCAAAATGGCAGAAGCTGGGGAGCTTCAAAGGTGAGACTCTACGGTGGACGACAGCGTCCATTAAGGTTAAATACAAACATCGAAACAATGAAATACATATTCCTTATTTCAACCTGAAGGCAATCTCAATTCCGAAGTCGACATCATATTCTGATATATACCTCAACTCTCAAAAAAATGTGTATATCCATACTGTTGATCCATACTCCGACTATACACCCTTCTTCAACTTCCATCGTCATCTCTATACCATCTCAAATTTCAACACGAAACATGATTGGAGCAGCTTCAAATTCCATCAAAATTCCAGCGTTCTCTAGCATGGCCCTAGCCAGTCGAGTCCACTGAGAGACCTTCAGTGGCGAAGCCAAGAGAGTCAACATATCCTGCTGGTTGGAATTGGCTAACAAAGGCAGCTGCTTTAGCGCCTCATCCCAACTACTAGGATAGTCCTTAGCAAGAGTAGTGCCTATTGGCATTGGTATCTCCCCTATCTCGTGGGGCTGGATGGACACACGGTGGTAGTGCAGGTCGTCGCCATCACTGTTAGGCGCAATAAAGTGAATGTCGCCGACATCTTTATTGATTTTGACCAAGATGGCCAAGCCGCCTTCAGGGTGAGAGGACTGGATTTTAACGAGGTAGACCGTGTATGTAGTATCGGCCAAAGCGACGTTATCCATGCTGCTGGTGATATTCTCCACAGTATTGCCGGTGCTGTCCATGGTATGAAGTTGCTTTCGAGGCTTTCCTTTTGGTAGAATTTGGGGAATATAGAGCTCGAGGATAAGTAGACTTGGAGATGATATGGATGCAGATTTACACAGCGGACGTTTGGTCTTAAGTATCCATTGTCTCTCTTGTTCTATTCTTATTTCTATTTCTGTTTCTCTTTTCCAAAGATATCTGAAAGCGGCTCTCCATTGTTTGAGATCTGTTTCAGCCTCCCAGGCCAATACTAAGGATTCAATATCACTCTATCTATAGAAGCCAACATGTAGGCCCATAAATACCAATAGATTCAATAACACGGACTATATACACAACACAACAGAACCAACAAACCAATCTCACTATTCGACCAACCCAACTCTCATTGCCTTTTGGAGAGGATCAAGATACCGTTGCTCATCAACATTTTCTGGGCCTGGGAGCAACTCGAATCTGTAATCATGCGTCCCTCCTCTTTGCTCTCACGAGATGTAGCCGCCATCTTTTGTTTCCCGCTCAGTTGATTGGCAAACAAATCGCCCAACAAAGAGTTCCACTTCTCAGGATCTGTTTCGCGAGCTGTGGTGCCAATGAATGTCAAATGGGTACCCTTGAACCTCGGACTGGCAGCCGAGTAAATCGCACCTTGATAGCACTCGTGACGGTGTCCTGAGGGGGTATCGCCGGTGGGAAAGGAGTGGATGCCGCCGATGGAAGATCCCTCCTCGCTAACGAAGAGAGCTGAGGTCAAGTTGGGCTCAGGCAGGGTATACTACAGCGTATACATTAAGGCTCAAGGCTTTCGAGGATTTGCCCATGGTGATCATATACGCCTGGGATTTTGGAGGTATGGAGGGCTTGATTTTGGATAGATTTGGAGATGATAGATACAGATTTCCCGGCAAATGTTACTTCTTAAATATCTTGAGGATCATCACTGATCTAATATCTTTGCGTATGCATATGTATACCTACAGAGAACACTGCATTGTGTTCTAATGGAGGATTGAGGGAATGAAAAGGGCAAAACGTATATCGCACGAAACTTATATGCACGGCGCTTAGCTTGACGCCCAATGAAACTCCATATTTATATCTTTGATTGCCGTGAGACATAATCCAACAATAAGAGCATGGTCATCGATTCCCATACCTAAGCCATAGGATGTACAATGCCCATTCACTGGCCACAGGGTGATGGCATCACACATGACTCGGTGTCATGCTTATAGAATCTTACAATAAACGCGCGGCATACTCATTAAATGCCATGTATGAGATATGGCTGTCCTACTCTTACTAACAGACCAGGGATTAAACAGTGAGAACCAAGCACTTCAATTATCATATCCCATTCGAAGCTACTGATATGGGGAACAGCAATCAATAGAAAAAATACATGTTTCTGAAAGCAAGGCTGATCGAGATACAACAAGAGAATAAACCTTTGAAAACTCCGAATCATAGCCATAATCTTAAGGTCTTAGGATCAGGGCATTGTGTTTCATGACGCTCTGGAATCAGAAGCTGTTTGAAGCATTCTATTCCGAAATCTATGAACGCCATGTTGAGCACCGTGTGTTCATCAGTGCTCGATGCTGGGTATTAACGCGTGGAATCATCCCTCCTCATGGAGAAGTTAGGTGGTGAGATGGTAAGGGGAGTCATGGGATTGACACATCCCGGAGGTGCATCCGAATGAGAAAGGCCCGCTCGCTACATCGATATATTTCCAGGGCAGGCTCAACGTGTGATTGCTAGGTGACTCAGTCGCTAGTACGTCTTTCCGGCTTCGGTTTGCGGAGACTCTTCATCCGGTTCAAGAATCCACCACCACCGCCAGGGTTAAGCTTCGACTCTTCATAGGGTCGGTCGTTGGTGGGCTTGCGCTCCAAGCTGGTAGTTTGTTTGGGACTGCTAGATGATCGAAGTCGGCCGCCTCCAAGACGAGCCTCGATACTCGATCCCTTCTTGTCCCACTCTTCCTCATATTCGTCTTCTTCTTGGAAGTAGGGGTTTCTTTCGTTGCTCCGGGCGGATGTAGAATGACTGGAGCTCACTTGTGGCGCGGGGGAATAGTTGTCAGTTGCTGAAGTAATTCGGCCAGGTCCAGCACCTCGTCCACGTAGTCGCTGAGCCAAACTCTTCTTTCGTGCAAGACCACCACCATTCGGTGCTAGACTGCCTTCATTCTCACTCTGACGGCGTGCCATGGCAGACCGACTAGCCGGGGCTCCATCGAGGAAAGTGCTGGTTCCAAGTCCCATGCTCTGTGGTCCATGGATCGGGTCCACTCGAGCAGTGGGATCCATGACGGCGGGTTCGGGATTGCGGCGCGCAGCGGTAGAGAAATCGTTGTGGCCTTCCTCCATCCTGCCATGGAAAAGGTTGAGATCGATGTTAGAGTTGACGGGGCCACTGCCGCCTAGAGCCATGTTGGAGGAACCTTTGGGGAAGGCTTGCATTGGCGCGGTACGCACACCGCGGCGATTGCGGTGGGGGTTGCAGGCATCAAACGGACCATCGTGGTGGAACACTATCATGATAATTAGTAAATGAGTCGTATACTCGTACAAGAGAAAGGGCGAAAGAAAAAAAAAGCCGAGGTACTTACTTCCAGTACCGTAGATACTCGTCACATCCAACTTATCAATGATATCAAGTCGTCGATCCTTGCGACCCGACCGCGATTTGCCGTCTTTGCTACGGCCATCGCGCTCGCGATGACGCCGTTCGCGCCGGCGCTTCTCGTCATCATCAAGATCCAGCAACTTCGAACCTCGGTCCATTACCGAAGACTCCGAGTTCCGCCGGGGACGACGGGGCGCCTTCTCTTTGGCAGTTTGGGACAAAGCAGGGGGATCAGCGAATATGTCGAGCAGGTCTTTCTCTTTTGGGGCCGCTGATCGTCCTGGTGGGCGCTCCGGGCGCTCCCTTGGGGGTCTGTTGCGATTCGAGGAAGTACGTTGAGTGGAATCAGCGGGAGGACGATTTGTCTGGGGAGCAGGCTTCAGGGAGAGGGATTCCTGTTAAGAGATTAGACCTGATTTGAACACATAGATCCATTCACAAACATACAAAGAGCTCCCGAGTGTTGCTCGAAATATCGGTCTTCTCAATCGGAGAAATCATACTAGCACCGGTCGACATGCCAGGGGCAGACTGCGGAGACATCGCCTCTGTATCGTCTAAGAATGGATTTGTCGAACGTGGGCGCTCTGGACGGTTTGATGAAACAGATCCAACAACTGAGGGCGAAAGAGCGCGGTTTCGGAAAGGGTTATTGGAGCCAAAACTGGCAGCTGTTGGAGAGGGTTGGTGTTCTGTAGAGACGTTCCAAATCAGCCACAGGTCTGAGAAAAGGTATATTTTGGACCAGCAAGTCAAAGGGAATGTGTCATTTTAAGGATCAGGGGGTTCGAACTATCCCCAGTCACGCATGAGATCCATCATAGATGCTTCAGGTTACGTACCTTGCGGGGCCAGCGAGACGCCCGGCGCATACCCAAGCGCTGGAGTGGCATTCATTGTGATGGATATTGCACCTCTGAAACAAGGTGTGGGTGGATAGACCGTTTGCGTTCAATGAGGTTTCGCGTTAGGTGTCGCACGAATGCGGAAGAGAGTAGCAGGAGGTATTGCTGAAACAGTGATAATCAGGGGGTAACAAAGAAATACTATCAAATATTTCAGTCTTTCAGTCAATACAACATTTGAAAATCAAAGAGAAGGAAAAAAAAAGAAAAGAAGTTTAAGGAGAAAGGAGGGGGGGCAAGGGGAACACGGGAGAGGCGAGCATACGTAAAATGTCCAAGTGATCGTCTCCTTGATGTTCTTCACTGACCCTGTCGATCTTTCTATTTTGTTATTTTACATGTGCTATGTTATATGGCTGTTATCCTTTGAACCTTTTTTTTTCCTTTTCTGAAGAATCCCCAGATTGGCTCTAATATAGTCTCAGGGGGGTCAAACCACGAGGTTCCACTTTGGCACGTTGTGGACCGTTGAAAGATAACTAACTTGCTACGGAGTACAGTGACTTCAGATGGAAGCAAACAGACATCGAGAGACATCGAGAGACATCAGGAGATGTCGGAAACCATCAGTCATCCTAAAGGGAGATTCTGAGATTCCTCGGTGACCAAAAATAGCCAGGGAATGACGTTGGTAACTGGCATTCCATATTGATGTCATCTTCTATTCCTGGAATGTATAGACAGGACATCTTCTGTCAGGTTACTTTCAGCACTTCAGATCCATCGAGATCCCCCATCTGCCGAGTCAAGGGAGAAACTCCAGTTCCCTTGAACACAGTGTTGAGTCCTACCCATAAAAAGGTTGGTATACTGAGGAGCGGTGACTGGATATGACCAGTTCAAATGATACTTTGCTCGATTTGAATTCCAAATATTACTGTATATGTCTCTCCAGAGCCACAGTCCGGCATATAATAATGCGGAGAAGTACTCGGCAGATACCGAAACATTCCTCGGCTTGGAATGCGATCTCAAAATGAGGTCATCTGAACGAAATATACTGAACTTATACAGACGAACAAGCCAAGAACTACATATATTGTTCGGATTGGACAGTAAACCAAACATATTGGACTCCACAATGAGATATCTCAAGGTGGCCACGTCCACTACATCTACCCTGATAGACCGGTATCGGAACACCATCTCATGTCTCACACCGACCCGCCTTGGTTTATATATAGCCGGATGTGGACGGAGAGGATTTGGTTGATAAGCCAAGTAACATATATATATATAGGCAAAGAGTATATAAATACCAGAAAATAGAGTATTTGGTCTAGCACGTCAAGTGTCTGTAGGCCTGTTAATATAAGATAAGAGCCATCATATCATTACCTATCATCTATCAGGTCATATTCTAGAGAAGCGAGTTTACCTGCTTTCAAAAAACCACGGAAAGCCGATGTCAGACAGTGCAGCCTGCTACATTACAATCACGTCGACCTCATATATAGACTCGAACATTGAAATGTCATTCATTATCGTATCCTGGCCCAATTCGAGAAACCCCTGTCATAAACGCCACACAAATAAAATGCAAACAAGATGGTATAAGACACAAAAGAAACCATGCGCCCGGGGCACCCCTAGCCCTCCTTCTAGAAAGTTGTTCAATGCGCAGTGGACTGAGCCCGTGGCAGATGAGGGTTTGAGACGGGGATGCCCGCACGTCGCTTGGATTGGGGTTTGGGTCTAGAGAGTGTATATCTGAAAAGAGATTAGTACAAGATTCCACTAGATTCAAAGATTGAAAGAAACATACTTGGCAAATGCACGCGAGAGTGCCTTCTTGCAGCTGACTTTTTGGCTGCCGATGAATGAATCCACAGTAACAGCGATGGCACGGTCAATGTCTAGCGAGGAGCAGTACTCTGAAAGGCGCATCTTGCAGAAAGATTCCGCAATACGCATGATAGCTTCAAGGTGACGAACCTAGACATTTGGAGTAAGAAAAGTGTCAATGTATGGAAAGTGGAGAGATAACTTACTGTGATAGGGTACGCTCCAGTAGCAAGGGACTCGCGGCGCATGTCTGCGAATAGACGGGCAACCTTGTCCTGATCGATCTGATAAAGCTTGGGGTGGCAACGCTCTCGAGCATACATGATATACTTCCGCAGAAGCTCCTGCGGGATCTCGCCCTCCCTTTCCTCTTCAGCTCTTTGTTTTTCTGCAGCGCGTTTGGCGATCTCCTCCTGTGATGGAGGCAGTCTCTGGCCATCTCTATTGATGCGGTAACCTTCGTTGTCAATGAGATTGCCGTCGGAATCAACCAAGTCGCCCTTTTCATTTCGGAGGGGACGGGCTGGGTTGGAACGGTGGTGCGACTCAACCACGAAATTGGCCAGGCGCTCATCCTCGGCAGGGTCAACAAGATCACGCACCACACAGAGAATATCGAAACGAGACAAGATAGGGTCTGTCAGGTCGACATTCTCCGAGAAGGGGATCGAGCTGTTGTACCGACCACCCTTGGGGTTAGCGGCGGACACGACAGCACAGCGAGCCTGCAATGTTGTCACAATACCGGCCTTGGAGATGGAAATGGTTTGCTGTTCCATCGCTTCGTGGATAGATGTCCGATCCTGGTCGTTCATTTTGTCGAACTCATCGATAAGACAAACACCCCGATCAGCCAACACAAGCGCACCACCTTCCAACGTCCATTCGCTGGTGAGAGGATCGCGGCGAACACTGGCCGTGAGACCGACGGCACTAGCACCCTGACCAGTAGCAAACACGGCACGGTGGGCCGTCTTCTCAACAAATTTGAGCACCTGAGACTTGGCGGTACCGGGGTCACCAAGAAGAAGGACGTTGATATCACCACGGATGTTCATCTTGCCCTGTGCTTGCTTGCTAACACCACCAAAGAGCGAAAGCGCAACAGCAGTCTTGACATCTTGGTGGCCGTAAATACTGGGTGCCATAGAGCGAACAATCTTGTCCACAATATCGGGGTCTCGGGAGAGGGCCCGGATTTCGCGCTCATCCTCTTCTGTCAGGTTGAAACCAGCCAGCTGATCGTGTGCCTTGACCACATGGTTGGCTTCAATCACTGTGGCAAAAACTGGGAAACCGTTTTTGTTGTTTAGTTGGGCATCGTAGCTGTTGCGGTAGACACCGGTAATCTCAATCTCATCACCGGGTTTGGCACTGTCGATCAGATCGGCAAGCAAAACGACCTCACGCTGCCGGGGTAGACGACCTGCGGGAACCGAGCCGGGGGACTCCTGCAAAGTCAATTTCTGGTAGTTGCGGTAGACTGTCTTTTCAGAATTGACAGTGAAGGGACCACGCGACTGGCAGTTCTGACAGAACGAGATCTTCACCTCCGCACTAGCTTCCTGCTGGAACGGACCCAATGTGATACCACACTTCTGGCAAAGGAACATGACGTACTTCAACTGCGGGAAGACGCCAGTTCGACGGGTAACGACACCACCGACACGGATCAGGCAGTTGAGATGCGACTGGCGCAGCTGGCGCAGGGTGTAAATGATCGGCACATCGGTGATGCGGACGTGGATCTCGTTGTGAATATCGTGATACTGTGGGTAGTGGAATAGAGTAACGTCGAGCGCAACCTGGTCAAATACCTTCAGGACTTCGGTGGGCTCGTTGGCAAGGAAGTATGACAGAGCTGCCTTGGTCTCACTTAGGTGGGCGTAAGAAACCTCGAGCGAAGCCGAGTTCACCTCACCCAGTGTCTTGATTCGGTTACCGTAAACAGACTGGCCGGTGGGGTCGATGAACTCTGTCAGGAAGGCCTTGAATTCACGGTAGATGGAGCGAAGGACCTGAGGCTGAGTCACCCAGTCTGTAATGTTGGCTGCCTTCACATCTGCCAGTTCCTCCAATGACAACTCTTCCATGCCCTCGTCGGCCATGTCGATATCTTCACGATCTTCGTCATAGTGGTGTCTGCGTCGTCGGGGTTGGCGCGACAGGTCCAATTCCATATCGTCATCATCTTGTAAAAAGGCGGCAGGCATGCGGCGCCGACGTGCCAGTTCACGATCTCGCTGGTTCAGGCGAGCATCCAACTGCCGACGAGTTGCGGCATCAATTTCATCATGGTCTTCGTCGTCGTCGATGTATCCTTCATTTTCATAGCGATCTTGTGCTGCATCGCGATAATCCCGCTCGAAGTTGTCACCAAACAGGTCAATGCCATCCTCGTCTTCAGCCAGTTCATCAATATCATCAATATCTTGCACAAGACCTCTATCCTCGTCCTCATCTTCATCTCCCATGTCAAAGGGGATTGGGGGAGGGGAAGAGCCCAAAGCGGTGGCTACACATGAACATTGTCAGTCTCAAATCGGCGCAGCCCGGACAAAGAAGACAACATACGACTGGAAGGAGGCAATGGCGCCGGAGAGGACATGTCATCCTCTCTGTCTCTCTTACGATTGTTGGCCCTCGGGCCACGGTTTGCGGCCGAGTCGCTGGCTCGGAGCGGACTGTAGTGCATTAGTTTTGGAGCGCAGAAAATTCAGGAGGGACACTCACTCCATCGTGTGGGTGTTTCAACAGGTAAATTTTAAAAGAAAAAAAAGTGCAATCGCTAGGAAATTATGAGTATGGATAAGTGGCGTGTATGTTTCGGGTTTTTTTCTCGAATGTGTGGTAGCGTGGTTGATAGAATGAAGGGAGGGAGAAGGAGCGGCAAAGTCTAGCTGTGCAGCAAGTCGCGTGTTCGACGCGACGCGTTTCAATTAAGCCCCGATTGGGAAGGTGGGCCTTCCACAGTTCCCTTTACACACTTTGCTGATTTCTTTTTCTATTCACAATTTTGGTGGAAATAGACAGACACAGTACCAAAATAAAATACAAACAAAAATGGAGAAAACCATGCGAAGAAACAACTAGAGCAAAAATTGAGAACGCAAAAATTCAATGATCGACGCAGGGATCGAACCTGCGACCTTCTGTGAAACTCCAACATATTTAATGTAAGACAGACGCCTTAACCACTTGGCCAGTCGATCGTTGGGGGTGAAGGTTCGTGACTTTCATGAGTTGTCGACATAAAGATTTTCTACAGATTTGGCCATTCTCCCGAATTCGGTGTATCGCCATCGCGCCCTGGTATGCTACTGGCGGATATGTAGTGGAGAGGAACGGAGTTGGCATCAGGTAGCTTCATCTGTCGAGCTTCGCCGCCACGAAGGATCTCAACTTTGATTGCATCGTTATTGTGCTTGAAAACCAGACTATTGGCACCGGTCAATTGGAAGCCGGACACCTGGAGTAGCAGTTGTCGTACGCTGGCCAGGTCCGCATCGACGATGAGATCAACGTCCTAGCTCAGATCAGCTTGCGGAATTGTGTCAAGTGAAAACCGAGAAGGCTTACCTCGGTCGTTCTCGCCCCGCCAACAAGAGACACTGCATATCCACCGATATAACCATGGCGACAATTTTCGCGGGTGGGAGTAAGAGGTAAGCTCCTGGGCTGCAGCATCGAAGCGGTCGAAACGACCGTCTGGCGACTCATTCTGGGGTTGCTCCATGACTGAAGTAGTGATGTGTCTTTGGATTATGTAGCGAGATGGAGTTCCACCGAAGCAACAATCGAAAGAAGGTTAGATGGTAGGAAAGACAAACAGTGGGAAAGAGCGATGCTCAGATGAATATTCTTTCCAGATGTCCTTTTAGATGACTTTCTATGTGTTCTTTCAGATATATTTTCAGGCGTCTTTCTGATCTCTTTCTGGGCTTTCTATGTATCCTTTCAGACGGCTTTCCCCTTCTTAGTTTAATTTAGAAAGATGAAGGTGATTAGCCTCAAAATGAGAATACCGGTAAAAAGTTCAAGTCCTGTAAGACGTCTTTTCTATCAGTATGCGTATGTACATATGTCATGGAGAAGAATACCCGAGGGTAGTTAGACTATCATATCCAATACATAGTGCAGGTCAATCTCAGGCTCATAGTTTTGCGCAGAGATGTGGCCCCGATATTATGACCCGTGCTCCACAAGGGCCAATACCCCCGCGAGTAGGGCTGCTCCTGCCCATATCTGTGCAGCCAGGTAGTCACCCCCCGTGCGCGCTATCAATGCCCCCGCCACAGACGGACAGGTTAAGGGCCCGAAGCTTATCATGAAAAGCGACATGCCGACTCGAGTACCGATCTTGTCCAGGTCTTTGGCTAGTGAAGGAATAGTGCCAGCAAACAAGGCCATGGCTGCCGCCGATGCCAGCCCGTAAAACACAGCAAAGATATATAGTTCGGCCACTGTATCAACGGCAGCCCAGCAGAACATCAGAATGCCGCACAGCGCTACCCAAGGAATCATTAAATTAAGTGGGCCGATATAATGATCAGCTAGATAGCCACAAGGGGGGCGGACGGGTATTCCAAGGGCATTGGTGACGATAATCAAATTCACCCCGGCTTCTTGGGACAAACCAAGCTTTTCAGTCGCATAGACTTGCACCTAGAATATGATCAGCCAATCAATTATAGATCTTGGGATTGGTAGCATACGTAGAAGAAGGCAAAATAAAGGGTCCAGTATAGAAGAAAGACTCCCAAAGTAAAAAGCATGTAGGCCGGCTCCTTGAAAGCACTCCATTCAACCAGTGGTCCCGCTTTGCGTGGTGGTATTCGAGGACGCAAAAGTGCCAGGGTGATTAAGACCATAGAAAGAACAACGAATCCCATGTACCTAACAGCCCATGGAAACCCTGATTACTCATGTATCCGGTTTGCCATAGAGCTCCGATGTGACTGAGTTCAACTAACCGATCTTCGGGGTTAGATACTGGATCACTGCGGGAAAAAGTATGCCCCCTGTACTCGTTCCCGGAGCAGCGGCTGTGACTGCAGAGACTCGGAGGCGCACAAAGTGTGTCGAGATCAACATCACAGTAGGCAGCCACATGAGACCCTGGCCGATGCCAATGCAAAGTCCCTGAGTCAGAAAGATCTGCCAGTATTCCACGGCCAGACTTGTTACAAAGGTCCCGAGACTAACAGCAACCCACCTAGGGCTACAATCGGCCTTGCCAATCCAGCATCTGTTGCGCGGCCAGAGAGCGTCGAGATGAACAAAAGACAGAAGACTTGGAAGCCACCGATCCACGAAATATCGGATGGGGTCTGTGGTAGCGTAGTTTCATAATAGTCTTAGAACACGCCGAAACTGGAGGCGTAACCCCAAGTTAGGGCTACAACCAAGTGTCCCGCAACGACCTGAGTCCAGGCATGAAATCCGCCATCGGGAGGTGGTGGGAGTGGTGAGTTTCACGTATCTCCCACGGGTACATCAGTCATAGAGGTATTGGTCTCTTTCCCTTCGCCGGTCACAATTGTCCTGGACTCATACTCTGCCATCTTCTCCGGTGGTTGCTCTCAGTAGAAAGGAGGAAACACACTCTTTAGAAGAGCAGATCAGCTCGAATGATATATATGCATGAGGAATGAGAGATAATGAAGGTTCAAGCTCTCAAAACACAAAAAGTGTGCTTATATTTCCATCGATGGAAGATCCCTGTCGTTGTATCCATACATGCTCATCAAGGTAGTCTACAACATATATAATCCTGCCCGGGCCATCAAATAACTCCTGTAACAATTCAACACATTTACAATCTCATATCTAGGATCTAGGTCAATCTGAAGATTCGAAAAGACAAAAGTGGTCTTGGTTTCCTACAAGATGCGCCTTAAGTTGGGCCAGGGCTATGCGATAAGGAGTGATCGCCTTAAAAAACTAAGCAATATTGGTAAATTAGCATGCAATGGGCTAATACTCTGCTTGAAAAATGTAATGATTTGGCCCTACAAGGCTAGAAGCTAGTGATGTGTGTACCAGCATGGAGTATTCTGTAGAATTTAAGTCAAACGTCTACTCTGTATAACCGTGGAGCGTGGACAAGACGGATATCTCACAACTTCTACTTGTGAGAAACCCACTGAAGATATCTGTAAGGTCTTGTCCTCGATGATACGGTATCATGACAAGTGACTCTGAACCCAATCCAAGAACACGAGAAGTAGGCTACCAGGTCCGAAACCAGGAACCGAGTTGTGCCACCAATCCTCGATTTAACCTTGCAACGTTCGTTTCAACATGATATCGTGATCATAGTGCTAGTAAATCGAGCAATATCAATGGCCAGGATCGGCTCCATCTATATATCTAGTGTGCTCATTCAACTTTAGAGGAAACACAGGGGGATTGTATGTGGTAGAGGCGGAGATCATCGTGTGACGGTCACCGTAGGCGGTGTAGGCAAGTAACCATATGAAGCAAAACTTGCAGGAATAAGGCAGCTCGATTTCTAGCAATGTGCCTTTGAACTCACTTCACCGTGATCATGATAGTGCATTAATGTCGAATCTATTAATGATGGGTGATCTTTCTAAGATTGGAAATGTTGAGGTGATACGGAAAAATATTGTGTAATATAGACCGCCCTGATGTTATTGGTATCTGCCGGCAGAAACTTTAAGTTATGTCGCGACTCCATCACGTCGCGTCGTTTCCAACACATCACCTTGACACTTATGACTCTTGGGCCTTTCGTTACTTGCCAATTTCTACAATAAGGACGCAGATAAATCTCTCAACAATGGACGCCCCGCACCCGGTTGTTGCTCAGCTCACCGAGGATGCTCGTAGCGAGAGCATGGGCTCTCAGAATTCCCAGACCGCGAAAGAGTATGACGCATTCCCCTAATACTCTCCCCCACACTAGGAAATTGACCATACTAACTAAATTTAGGTTTATCGAGTCCCAGCTTCAACTAGAGGCAGATGCGCGCGAGGCTCTTCCTTATGTGAGTACCTCGACAAATCAAGTGGCGCACGACTTGTTCCACAGCTAACCTATTGACTCTAGGCCTTCGACTCTTGCACATATGACCTTGGACCATTGCGACAGGTCCTCTTTGCGTGTCTCACATGCAACCCCCTCCTTCCGACTCCACCGAATCCTATACTGCCGCTGGCGTCTGTTACTCGTGTTCGATCGCTTGTCATGGCGAGCACACACTAGTTGAGCTCTTCAACAAGCGCAACTTTGTTTGCGACTGTGGAACCACCCGTTTACCATCATCGTCATGCTGCACACTCCGTGAAGATCCCACAACCGGCAAGAAGGACGTCCACTCCCAAGAGGCTGCAGCAAGCAACGCATACAACCATAACTTTCGCAATCAGTTCTGTGGCTGTGGCGAACAGTACGATGCGTATTCAGAAAAGGGGACAATGTATCAATGCCTGGGTCTTGGCACAGTCGAAACCGGAGGCTGTGGCGAGGACTGGTGGCACCCGGAGTGTCTCATTGGCTTATCGCGTGATTGGAACAAGGCTGCCCCCAAGGCTAATGGACTCGGCGGCGGTGATGCCACTAATGATGCTTCAGTCGAGGAAGAAGAAGATCTGCTCCCACCTGGGTTTCCCGCAGAAGATGATTTCGACCATTTGATCTGCTTCAAATGCATCGACTCTAACCCCTGGATCAAGCCCTATGCGGGCACTCCTGGGTTCTTGCCACCAGTTTTCCGAGAAGGTGGACTCAAGAAGACCTCAAATTTGACCGAGGATGTCTCTGTACCTGCCAGTGAGCCTAAGGAGACCGAACCTAAGGATCAGGAGAAGACCGAACAATCAAAAAAGCGCAAGGCAGATGACGAAGAGCCTGCCGAAGGAGAGCATGTTACCAAGCGAACAAAAGATGAAGAACAAGAAGCTCCTGCCGGGGGACAGCCATTGAAGGTCATGAAGGAAGAGGAGCTTACCAAGGAAGAAAACGATTCTCCCACAAAGCCCTCCGCCCCCAAGCATACCGAGCTCCCCAAGTCCACTCCAATGGAATCATTCTCTCTTTTTGCCTTAGATGAGTTCCATGGTCAGCTGTGCCGCTGCGCAGAGTGCTTCCCCAAGCTTGTTCCCCACCCCCAGCTTCGCGAAGAAGAAGAGACCTATGAGCCACCTATGTCTGACGACGGCCAGGATAACGGTGCCGCAAGTGTCGGTACAGGCAGTATCTACGACCGCGGCGAGGCAGCACTAAACAACATGGATCGGGTGCGCGCCATCGAGGGCGCAATGGCATACAACCACCTTCGCGACAAGCTGAAGGTGTTCCTGCAGCCCTTCGCTGAGAGTGGACAGGCTGTCAGTGCCGAAGATATTAAGGGCTACTTTGAGGCGCTACGTGGTGATGAGCAGGGCATCAAAGATGCTGCCAATCACGCTTCTACTGCGGGTGGTGGCGCCAAGGATGATACCGACGGAGATAAGCGACACGAACAGAATGGTAAGTGATTATTGATCCCTTGTCTGATTTTCCAGCAATGATCACTGACTCGCTTTCGTTGCAGACTATTGATTATTCATTTACGCAATCCTTTTCATCTTTTCGGCGTTCTATCATCGGGTGCTACGGGGGTTTTCGGGCGTGATTCAATATGTACGATATTTTACGGATATGGGATTAGGAAATGGGCAATGATGGGAGATATGAGTAAAAATGGCGCATCCTAGGCAATTAAATGAATTATTAATTAGCAGAGCTCGAATCATAGTGCTCTGGTTGCCCCCAGGGCTGAATACGAAGACCAAATCCGCGTAAATCATCATGATGCAATTTCGCTAGTTATTGTAACGCTAACACCGAATTAAAGGTATGATGTGGGTGGATATCATGGCCAGCCTGTCCACACGCCGCAAAATATGATCAACACAGATATACAGCAAGCAAATGAGAAAAAATTATTCCTTGAGGCGCTTGGATGCCCTCATCAACGAATCATCTGGTAGTCCGCTCCGCTTGGTGCCAGGAAGACTGCCGCTGCGAATATCATTGTCATCTTGGGTGACCCGACGGTGTGGGTACTTGCCCTCGATACCCTCGAAGCAGTTACCACTGATAGGGCCGCCATTGGTAAAGTATGGATGCTCAAGGGCTTGTTCAGCGGTGATCCGCTTTACCGGGTCATATTCAAGCATACGCGACAGAAGATCGAATCCATCTGCACCAGGAGTGCCGGCACTGGAGGTGGACGTGTATCCACCGTTTTTCAAGCAGCTCTGGTACCAGCCTTCGAGATTAGAGCTGCGATGGAAATGTGAAGGCTGGCGGTGGAGCACTAGAGACTGGAGTTGGGAATATTCGGGCATGGAGGCTAGACCCGGCCAGGATTCTTTGCGGGGAAGACCGAGAATTTCGACAATCTTCATCATTTGGTTGCGCTGGAAGGGAACTGTTTTCTTGCTGTCCATTTTGGCTTCTTCGCCTTTGAAGATTGGTCGTAGCGAGAGTAGTTCGGCGAAGATGCATCCTATTGCCCACATATCGACGGCAGGGGTATAGTGCCGGCTCCCCATGAGCAGCTCGGGTGCACGGTACCAGATTGTGACGACGACTTTGTCGCCCGAGAACAGGGAGTTGAGTGGCTTGTAGAACAGACGTGCTAGGCCCAAGTCGCCGATACGAATAGCACCGCTTGAGGTGACGAGGATGTTGGCTGGTTTCAAATCACGATGCAGGACCCAGTTGGTATGAAGATAGAGCAGTCCATTCAACAACTGGAACATGATAGACCGTACCATGGTTGCCGGAATAGCATGTCGCTGAGGCTGGGTATGATGATGAATGATCTGAAGCAAATCATGCTCTGTATATTCAAATACCATGAAGATGCATTTGTCTTCCAGAATGATCTCTTCTAGTTGGACAACATTGGCATGCGAGAGTTCAGTGCACAATGACATCTCACGGATAGCCGACTGTGACAGACCCGTGTACTGGATCGTTTCACCTTCCTTGTCGGGTTTGAATCTGCACGAGAGGTTAGATGGGAGGAATAAACCAAATGTTGGGAGGACTTTTACTTCTTGATTGCAAACTCCCCTTTCTTCCCATTTTTGCCAACGGCCTTGTAAACTCGGCCATAGGTACCGCTGCTGATAAAGCCTACAATATTATACCGATCTCGGACCCGGACTTTGCTGGTATACCCACCGGGTCTTCTTGATTCAATGGCATCTGTTAAACCCTCGGTTAGCATGTTCCAGATTGAGGATCGAATGCGTTGGCGAGGATCCATTCCAATTGCAAACTCGCACCACAGAAACAATATCATCACAGAGAATCAAAGGGAAAGAGTTACCACGAGAATAGAATCCTCCAGAATTCAAGAAAGGGAAACCCTTTCCAAACATGATGGAACAGAAAGGCGATTACAAGGAATCACAATCAGACTCAAGGAAGAATATATAATTACCATCGACAGTAGTCTGAAGACTCCGTTTCAAGTTACCGACTCTGGTTCGTGAAAGAGAGCCGGAGGAAGAGGGCGGGTTTGTCAGACTCATTTGTGGATCAGAAGGGGCCGGTGATGTTGTCACTCCATTGGTGGAGAGATATTTTCTCCACGTTTTCCAGTTCTTTGAACATAAAAAAAAGACTTGAAAGATTAGAGAGATCTTATAAGGTTATTGTCTAAATTGTAGGTAGCCGAGTCAAACGCTTAGTCAGATCACATGCGGCCGTGCTTGGGAGGTTGTACATAGCGTCAACTCCTGAACTCTTCAACTGTTCGAAGTCATTTCTTGAATTGTGACTCTATCGCTTAATTTCAATGTGACATTTGACTATACAGGCAGACACTTTTCGTCTGACCAAATTAAAGATCATCTTATCGCTCCGCGATCGGCAAGCTTCATCTAAAGCTCCGACCCTCTAACGTACCTTCGACCTTAGGGTCGTCGATTTGACCTAGAATTTGTTTCAAGATGGTTTTGGGCATATCAACCCAGTCGAGGGTCACACCGTACCTGATATATCTCGTATTTGTTGTCACACTTGGTCCGCTTCAATTTGGCTTCCACCTGGTACGATATCACCCCCTCCAGTGTACTGAACATTACTGATACGTGGAGTACTAGGCAGAGCTTAATGCCCCCAAGGCCGTGATAACATGCGAACAAAGTGGAATCCTAACTTCCGTGTCTTTTCATGATCTACCGCAATGCTTCCCTATGACTCCATCGCAATTCGGCCTCGTCTCTTCGATCTACACACTCGGTGGCTTGGTCGGAGCTCTACTGGCAGGACCCATCGCGACCAAATACGGACGTCTGCTTGCATTACGAGCGACTACGGTATTCTTTGTTCTGGGCCCTGTGGCGGAGACACTTGCACCGGCGATTTCCCTCTTGAGTCTTGGTAGGTTCCTCTCTGGAATTGGCTCTGGTGCTGCAATTGTGGTTGGTCCCATCTACATCTCGGAAGTCGCCCCTCCCAGTGCTCGAGGCCTCTTCGGTGCCTTCACCCAGATTATGACCAATGTCGGCATTCTGTTGACACAATCCCTGGGATACTTCTGGAGCGAAGCAAGCCGCTGGAGACTGATACTGGCCGTGGCCGGAATTATCGGTGCTCTGGAGCTTCTGGGATTGTCCTTGGTACCAGAAAGTCCTTCATGGCTTGCGGAACACCAAAAGATCAGTCAGGCACGCCGGGTCCTGCAGCGGATCCGCGGTCGAGATGCCGACATCGAAGCGGAGATTGCGAGCTGGAGGACCTCAGATGCGCCTGCATCTGGCGAGGAAGAATCCCTACTCTCTCCCGAAGACAGGCCGCCTAATAAGCCTGTAGTCACGTTTATGCAGGTTGTCCAAGATCCCTACTACCGCCCGGCTATTATTGCCGTGGTTGGCGTGATGGTCGCCCAGCAACTCACCGGGATGAACAGCATTGTTATGTACAGCGTGTCCTTACTACAAAAAATCTTACCGACGACTGCTGCGTTACTCACGGTGATTATCTCTGCGATTAATCTCGTGATCACATTGGCGTGCTCTCCACTCCCCGATCGCATTGGCCGAAAGTCGTGCCTGATGCTGAGCATCTGCGGCATGGGCTGCAGTTCTATACTTCTCGCGATTAGTATCTACATGAACGCTAAGATCTTGACGGCGATCGCTGCCTTGCTTTTTGTGGCAGGTTTTGCGATCGGACTGGGCCCGGTCCCCTTTATCCTGGCGTCCGAGCTTGTTGGGCCCGAGGCTGTCGGGGCGGCACAGAGTTGGGCGCTGGGGGCCAACTGGATCGCAACGTTTGTGGTGGCACAATTCTTCCCAGTACTCGATGAGGTTCTCGGTGGTCGTGGACAGGTATACTGGGTGTTTGCCGCTATGGCTGCATTGTTCGGTGGCTTCATTTATCGATATGTGCCAGAAACCAAGGACAAAGCTAATGCCGATGAGGTTTGGGGACGCACAGACCGACGACAAGACTGACTTTTGGCTTCTCTAAATTTCAATTCCATAGCATTTTCACAATATATATATCAATTTAGGTACGTAGGATTCAAATATGATGCGGGGTACTGCATATTGGCCTGCATGTCTTCAAAAAGAAATCAAAAAGAGACATGTCTAAGGGACTTCAGGGATCTCTCCAAGTACAACACAATAGGCATCCATTTTCCCCTAATAACTTGCGGTGTGGAGTAGACATTTCCCCAATTCACATTTCTCCCACTTTCTCTCAAGTTTCCCAGTTTCTTTTTTGATGAACAAAACCATTCAAAATTCCGGGAAAATAACGGGAAAAAGAACTTGGAAATTACAGTGGATAAAAGCCATTTTCTTGGCCTGAGATCGACCCGAAGACAACATCCGGATATCGTCGATCAACTCTGGGGTCTTAAGACGTCAATTGTGTTGACCCAGGGGGCAAGCCACACCTCCCAACACTTTTCTTCCACTTCTCTTATTTTCTTTTTTTTCTTTCTTTCTTCTCACTTTACAATCCGCAATGGTCCGGTTGGCATTACCCCAACGATTAAGCTCACACCTGTCAGCGAGGAGCGCGTCGTCCACTCCCGGACAGAGCAGGAGTACCAGTCCTTTGCGATCAGCCGAAACCAAATATCTCCTACTCAAAGTTTCAGTGATCCGGGTAAGTACTGAGAATTGTGTAACATTTTCTGTGTCCATGGACTCTCTGGCTAATTTCAATGGTTTCATTAGGGACGCAACCTCGCAGCCAAAGATCGAGGTGGCACGAGCGACCCAGTGAGCACCTTCCAAACAAAGACAATTCGAACCGAGACCGCTTACATGTTGTACAGTATTTAGTGGTTACATTAGGAGACGCGAGGCAATCGACACCGACCATATTCAAGACCCTGAACCCGGAATGGAACGTCTCATTCGACATGCCCGTGGTGGGGGTACCACTGTTGGAAGCTATATGCTGGGATCATGATCGGTTCGGCAAGGATTACCTGGGCGAGTTTGATATTGCATTGGAGGACATCTTCGCTGATGGCCAGGTGAATCAACAGGTGGGTGAAAGGGACACGTTGCTTGGAACAATTGGGGCCTCGCGCTGACTTGATTCATAGCCTAAATGGTACACTTTGAATTCCAAGCGGAAGTCGTCCAAAAGGAAGGACAGTACGGTGTCTGGCGAGATCTTGCTGCAGTTCTCGCTCGCCGATTCTGCGAACCCCACTGCCACGCCGCCAGAAATCTACCGCAAGTTCCAGAAATTGGTATACTCGGGTGATGAGGATGATCAGATCATCCCTCCCGCCGATTTCGATGATTTAGAACAGGACGATGACAATGATACCTCTGATGAAGCTGATGACCTGACAGGTGGCCCAGAAGTGGGGGAAAAGCGCCGTCGGCGACTTCGGTTGGCTCGCTTGAGACGCAAGTCCCTGGCAGCTCGTGCATACCAATTCTCAGGCTCGGGGACTGGAGTGCACGGTATCGTTTTCATGGAAATTGTTCGAGTGACTGATCTGCCCCCTGAACGAAATGGTATGGATTATCCCCCTGCATGCAAAAGCGCTAGATGTTGATTTATGTTCTAGTAACGCGGACATCGTTTGACATGGATCCTTTTGTCGTGACCTCTCTCGGAAGGAAGACCTTGAGAACACCTGTCATCCGCCATAACCTGAACCCGGTGTATAATGAGAAAATGGTGTTTCAGGTGATGCGACACGAACAGTCTTATACTATCAGCTTCACTGTGATAGATCGAGACAAGTTCTCGGGAAATGACTTTGTTGCCTCTGCCGGTTTCCCTCTGCAGAATCTCGTTCAGTCCGGCCCAGAAGCAGACCCCGAGACGGGACTATATCAGTTTGCAGAGGATCTGGAGGAATCTGATCCCACTACGAATACCAAGCTCGGTACGCGATCTGGAGTTAGCCCCTCGCGATCTAGTATCAGACCCTCGCACTCTTCGTCAAGCCTCTCCAGAATGACTCGGCCTATATTAAAAACGCGTCACTCTGCCACTACACCATCAAGCCAATCAACACTCGAAGCGCCATCGCCGAATCTGCTTGCGCCCTCCTCCCTTCCAGGCGAAGGAATTTCAGATATGGCTAGTTCTAGCTCATTGCAGCTGTCCACGTCGAACATGTATGATGGCGAGTCGTCTCCCCCGCCTGACAAGGACGGCTTCAGATCTTATACTATTCCCCTCATGCTCAAGAATAAAGAACGTTGGGAAGACAAACATTCGCCAGAGCTGCATGTCAAAGCAAAGTACTTGCCGTACAGTGCTCTCCGACAGCAGTTCTGGAGGTTGATGCTTAAGCAATATGACGCTGACGAGAGTGGTCGTATTGACAAGGTGGAGATGACGACAATGCTTGACACTCTGGGCTCAACGCTAAAGGAGTCGACAATTGACAGCTTCTTTGAACGCTTCAGCGCAGAGAATGCGGCCAATGAAACCGATGATCTGACATTCGACCAGGCGGTGGTTTGTCTGGAGGACACGCTTCAAACTCTGCAGAAGAGAAATTCAATGGCTGCTCCCAGAACGCCTTCGATTCCTCTGTCAAATGCTGGAAGTCAAGATAGTGAGCAATCTAGCAGCGACGAGCACGTTCTGGAAACCAATATCACTGCTGCTTCCAATACCGACCCGCAGAAAACATCTATCCCAACTCTGTCCAGTGAAGATCAATCTAGCTCCGCTGATGAGTACCTTCAGCCTGATGATCTCGGAGACGAAAGGGGCGAGGAGCACGTCGTCGAAATTCGCGAGTGCCCACTTTGCCACCAGCCACGTCTTGCGAAACGCTCTGATGCAGATATCATCACGCACATTGCTACGTGCGCAAGTCAAGACTGGCGCCAGGTTGACAACTTAGTTATGGGTGGCTTTGTGACTTCCAGCCAGGCACAGCGCAAGTGGTACTCGAAAGTCATCACAAAGATTTCATACGGCGGATACAAACTCGGAGCGAACTCGGCCAATATCCTTGTACAAGATCGCATCACGGGTCAGATCAACGAGGAACGCATGAGTGTTTATGTGCGACTTGGAATCCGGCTGTTGTATAAGGGCATTAAAAGTCGTGATATGGAAAAGAAGCGAAGTATGCAACCCTTGTGCCCAAGTGTATCTCTCCGACGAAAAGATCTATCTGCTAACAAATTCTACCAGTCCGCCGCGTGCTGCGCTCTTTGAGTGTCAAGCAAGGTCGTAAATATGACGACCCAGCCTCGGCATCTCAGATCACGGACTTTATCAATTTCCACCAGCTGGACATGTCCGAAGTCCTGCTCCCCCTGGAAGATTTCCGCACTTTCAACGAGTTCTTCTACCGTGCCCTCAAGCCTGACGCCCGTCCGTGCTCCGGTCCCGATGAGCCTAAGATTGTTGTATCTCCCGCCGACTGTCGCTCAGTGGCCTTTGACCGCATGAGCGATGCAACCAGTATCTGGGTCAAGGGCCGTGAGTTCTCGATTGAAAGATTGTTGGGCAACGCTTACCCAGAGGATGCTGCTCGATACCGAAGCGGTGGTCTTGGAGTGTTCCGTCTGGCACCTCAAGATTACCACCGCTTCCACATCCCCGTAGATGGAATCATGGGTGAACCTAGGACCATCGAGGGCGAGTACTATACGGTGAATCCCATGGCGATCCGATCCGCCTTGGACGTCTACGGCGAAAATGTCCGCATTCTCGTTCCTATTGACTCTGTTGCGCATGGCCGAGTTATGGTTGTCTGTGTTGGTGCCATGATGGTCGGTAGCACGGTCATCACCCGGAAAGCCGGCGAGAAGGTTTCACGGGGTGAAGAGCTGGGCTACTTCAAATTCGGTGGTAGCACCCTTTTATTGCTCTTTGAAGATGGCAAAGTCAATTTCGACAGGGACCTGGCGGACAACTCCAAGGGTGCTCTGGAAACTTTGGTAAGAGGCGAACCTTTCATACTTGATCAATTGCACACTAACACTCCTTTCTCAATTAGATCCGAGTTGGCATGTCGGTCGGACACAGCCCGGATATTCCTCAGTATGAACCTGACATGCCCAAGAAGGCAGAGAATATCACTGCCGAGGAGATGCAAGATGCCAAGCGGCGCATCGAGGGCAGCCTGGCACCACCAGGCAAGGCTTCCACCTTACTCAAGTCGATCCAATGATCTGTTTTTTTCTCTCTTTCTCTGGAGTGGATAGGGCTCAACTCCCACCACTCTTTCTCACTGAACATATTGTTTTTCAACATCGGTGTTGGGGGTTTATCTGTATTCTGGTGAAACATCATAGCGTTTATCTAGCAGCATCTGCGCATTGCGAGGATTGGGGTGTAGAAGAGATGAGAGAAAGTTGAAGTTCAGAGCCAGTCATATATTAGCGTTTGAATATTCTCAATCATATATAAGTACATGTGTAGTTAAAGTAGTCAAAGCAGTTGAAAGTAGAGAAGCATTGAAGTATAACGGTCGATCCCAAAACAGACTAGTGCGGTCCCCACGCGCCCGACCAAAACAACCGCGTGCGAGAATCCAACCCACCCACTCACATCCCAACCTGCCGCTCCCCTTGCGTGTCGTTTTAATTGAATTGAATAAGTCGCCTAATTTGCTGCTCTTCGGCTGCAGCTCTGAATAGGGACGCGACCCGCGCCTAACATCCCGCGAAGCCGACAACTCGACCGTGCCACAACCATATACACGTCAATTACCCATTGATCAACACAGCGTCTGATTTGAGAACACCGCGTCGAACTCGATCAGCTGTTTAGGGGGGATTAATTCGAGTCCGGAATTCATACGCATACGGGAGTCGCGCTTGTTGTTTCTTCAGGAAGCCTCTTCAACCAGGGGTATTGGACTGGAGAACAGCACACCGCAAAGCGACTAGTCGACACCGGAAACGGGGTGCTTGCTTTGCCACCCCTGTGTTTATTCCCAACCATAACAACCCCGCGTGAACCCCTCCTGACATGACAGTCGCGGTCCTGGCGACTACAACGACCAAGACAAAGCGTCGCGAACCGCTGGGGACGATCGCAATGGCTGCTCCGAAGACACAATCGCGCTCTATGACCGCGTCCGGTGGAGCTGGAAAAGTCAAGGAACGAAAGACTACGCGACTCAGCGCAAGTAAACAAGACCTCGAGGAGAGCACAAACAAGCTAGGGAAGCGACCAGCTGGTAAGTAATTTGCAGGTGGTGGAAGTCGTTGAGTAAGGGCCGAAAGAAATATTCTAATTCGTCTCTTTAGTGGCATACGAGGAGGATGCGGAAGGGTTCCAGTTCTCTCTACTACCGTCAAAGAAGCCTCGACCGTCAATTGAAGCAGTTCCAGAAAATCCCCATTCAGACATGGAAAATGCGCCTCCTAAGTCAACACCGAAAAGAGGACGACCACGGAAAAAGCAAATAGGCGATGAGGTCACTTCAAGCGCGGTGCCAGCAAAGGGGGAAAACGTGGAGCTTCCAAGCAGGAGACCTACGAGGGGGGCTACAAAGACTACACACACAGAACCTGAATCTCAACCGACAAACACGATCCGCCCATCACGACCCCGCGACAGTCCAGAGCACCAACCTGAGGCAAAGAAATCAAAGAAAGCAGGACGACCACCAAAAACCAAGCAGCAAGCGCAACTATCTGAGTCAAATGGATATAATTCTCCAGCGCAACCCCCAGAGGGTACAAAGGTGGCACTGCCGGTGGCCGATACCCCGGTTATTCAGCGCAATAAAGAGTTCAGAGGCGGAAAGGGTGATAAAAGCGATAAAGGGCGACGACGAAGCAGCTTGGGTATGCGAGGACGAAGGGCCAGTTTTTTGATCGACTCAGGGACATCAAATGGTAGGTTTTTTGGTCTGGCATGGGTTATAAATGGATGCATGCTGACTTTCTCTTTCCCTGTACAGCGTTACCCCATCGAGAAGTTGGCACAGCGGACTTTTACAAGCACATCGCCGATGACGGGATTCCAGAGCCGCGAAGGATGCGACAATTATTGATTTGGTGTGCGACTCGTGCATTGGGGGAGAAACCCTCAGGAGGCTCAAATTCAGACGATCAAAGTGCGCGCTTAGCAGGTACGTGGAAACCGTTGACTTGTGTGAGGCGGGTTGTTTATCTGACTTTTTCCAGCGCGTGTAATTCAAGAGGAGCTTCTTCAGGATTTCTCGAGCAACTCGGAGCTTTCCAACTGGCTTGGCCGCGAAGATTTGAACCCTCCAGCTGTGGTTGTCAAAAAGCCGAATCCTCGAAACGTGCAAAATACAGACAAGATCAAGGAATTGGAGGAGCATATACAGAAGTACGTATATCGCCGAGAGCCTCGCCGAGAGTCGTCACAAGTGTATAGAACTAACGACTTCCCAGATTACACAAAGAAAGGCAATCTCTTAATGCGCTTCTTCGACAACCAGCGATCCCAACTGTTAAAGCTAAACCACAATCCGACAACCAACAAAAAAATAAGCAATCTTCAGGTACATCACAACGCGAAGAAATTGACCCCTCTCTCCTCGATCCCTCACAACAAGACATATTGGAATCCCTCAATCCCTCGAATCAACCATCAGAAGGAGAAACCTCTACCCCATCTTCAACCCGACCACCTATCACCCCATCAGTCGTCTCTGCTCAATTATCGCGCATCACATCTGGGCTGGCACCGACGCTCGATGCCTTTGCAGCTGGTGTGCATGACATCGAACTATACCGTGCCTCCGCAGATACCGTTTCATCCCGAATATTACGCATCTGTTCGCAGCGACTGGAAGAGCGCGATGCGCAGAACACGCAACGTCGCCTGGCAATGGAAGGCAATGATGACGAAATGCCACCACCGACGAGAATTAAGGAAGATCTGGGTCTCATTCTGGGGGCACTAAGTCGAGTGGAGAGACGATAGAAAATACTATCCATCCGCTTTTTCCTGGGAGGTTCCTCCTATGTATATCCTCAATAATGTGTTTTCCGGCGATTCGCCGTTCATTTTACTTTCCTTTTTCTGTTTCCTGCGGTGATTCACCATGAATGAATTGATAGCGATGATCTTGATGAAACCCCGGCCTGATGTCATGGGCTGGGGAAAGGTGCATTTACGGGGGCATTTCAATCGTTTCACAAGCTCAGATTTTGGGGTTTGTTTTTGCAATTCTGAGATATCTGATGCTCCATAAGGTGCAGAGATTCGAGATGGAGTAAATAGGTAGTCAGATGCCTAATACATGTCATCAAGCATGATCTGCTTCCTGTTATCCATATAGTAAGATGCTCTAATTTATCTAATTTCGGATGAAGAGCATATACTATACCACAACACAGATATACCGCTCCTTTCTTTGAACTATTGGATCAACAGTCATCAGCCCCAGTGATGTACAATCTACACGGATCTAGGGTTGGTGTATATAAAAGGACAAAGAAGTCACATTACTCTGTCAATTAATGCTTTTAATATTTCGCTGGGATATACACAATGACAAAGCTCAGACAATACAGTTTTGTTCTTCCCACCTCGATATTCAGATACCTGGGGTGAAGTATAAAGAGAATAAAAAGACAGGCACACGCGAAAGGAGGGCCTCGATGATTTTAGTCATGACTCGTGAGAATCGTAGCTTCTATATATGTCCAGACGGGGAGTCTCGGGATAGTGAGTCAATATGGACTTGATCGGCGAGGAGAATGGAAACGGGGAGGTAGAGGGAGTAAAATATCGAGAAGACACAGTGAAGAGGCCAATGGCCTTCGCATTCACCAGTCTCACAAAACGGAAGACAATTAGAAATACAGCAAGTGAACTCCCGTTCATCAAAGACAAGGTTCATGTATGCGAAATGCCCAAGAGACTCGGTAGTCGAGCATGACGACAAAGCAATACACACAACAAAAAGAGAGATAAATGCAACAGAAGATAGAGGGAGAGACAACGGGGAGATCATGGCCTAGAAGCTGAACAGTCCACTTCGCTTCTTGCCTAGCGGATAAACCACCAAAGCTGCTAGGAAGAGACCAACTGTCGTGCCAATAGCAACTTGGATCATGCCATATCCGATATCGAACACGACCCCGTAGCTTTGGTTTTTCGCCTCGTCGGCTGATAGCTTCTTTGCTGCGTCGACGAATCCTTGCGTTCCATTGTTCACAACGGCATATGGAGACCGGGTCATTTCCTCCGCAGAAGTAATACCCGATATTAGAGACCCACTGGCCGCAAGACCGGAGGGAACAAGGACAAAGATCGCCGGCAGCATTGCCGCAGCAGCGAGCCCATGGCGTAGTCGACTGTAGAAATTGCCCATTACACCAATGACAAAGGCGCCCAGTGCATTGGACACCTGGGTGTTGGTATAGAAGCGCTTGGCGCTAAAGTAGTTGGTCACGTAGCCAGCCAGAGAGATTACTATCATAATCGGCATTTGTTTCCACTTGGCGCGGTTGACGATCGCCAGGCACACGGTAAATATGATCACGAACGGAAAACGCTGCAGGTACTCATTGTGGATGGGGCTGGCGGGACATGTATACGCCGTTGAAGCTTGAGAGTCGAGGAGCCCGTAAACAGCAGTTCCAATGGTAATTCCAAACCCGAGGAACAGCGAGTATATGATAGCATAGACCATGCGTACAGAGCCTGCGACTATACTGCGTGACTGAAGCTCCAAACTAGCACATAGTACAGTGTATCCTGGCAGGATGAGGGCGATCGCCGACTGCGCGAGGGCAGAAAAGCAGAACAATGGCTCCCCTTGGAATCTGATGCTTCCGAAGGCACGGGCAAGGAAAGACGTCAGGACTGCGGCCGAGATCTCAAACACATTTGAATATAAGCTCGATTTTGTTGACAGGATCAACTGTAACACTCCGAGGAGACAGCCCAGTAGAAACGCCACGGGGGTGTCAACTGGCCGGGCGTTGAAGGCAAAGGGCCCAACTGATGCGCTAGCACAGCCATGGGCGAAGATGAGGAACAGAATGTGGAATTTGCTCTGCTTCTTCATAACCTCATCCAGCCGCTGTATTGCCTCTTCAACCCCAATGACATCGTGAATCACCTCCTTATAAATCTCATGCACATCGGCCAGCTTGCCCAGGTCAATGCCTTGACTGGACCGGACGACCTTGACCTCTGTTGTGTGTGTGGAGGCATCGTCAAAGGAGATAATCATGCAGCCGGGTATATACAAAAACTGGCCATCAATCTGGATGACACGAGCTGTCATGCGCATATATTCCTCCAGCCGATGAGTCGGAGCTCCATACTTCATCAAAGCACGACAAAGCCGGATCAAGTACCGCTGTCGAGACAGAAGCTCGGCAATATGAACAGTGATATGAATTTCATCCTCAAGCTGAGGCTTGGGGCGTGGGCGACCTAGGCTCGGAATGGCAGAGCCACTGCTGCGGGACCGCGTGAGCATGGCAAAAGGAGAGCCAGAGTGGCGGGACGAGCCGGCCATGGAAATGCTGGAACGAGCGGTAGACTTATCATACCACTTCCTGTGCGGCTTCCAAACAGAGTCCGGGGACAGACCGCGTCCACTGAACTCGGAAGAGCTCCCCTGTCGAGAGCGCCCATACTGTCCTCGGCCTTGATTGTGTTTATAATGAGGCTGGTCATAGAGTTTGAGCAGCGATGAAAGAATGCCTCCGCGGTAATGTGACGTCCGTTCAGTAGACTCGTATGAGTCCCTATCCTCGCTGGTGGTGTCTTGGTCACTGGAGTGCAAACCGGGAGACTGAGGGTGAAGGCGAGTCAGAAAGTTGAGGTCTCGAGATGACATTTGATGCACTAGGTGATGGGCTCCAGAGGTGCGCGGTGTTGATCGCCCGTCTAAGAAGTCCACTTCATGTTCATCTATTAAGTTGTCGAAGAGTTGTTCTTTCTCGGGGAAGCCTATCACAGGAAATTTATCTCCATCTTCAGTCTGGTACGCCACCTCAGCGGGAGTGGAGGCAATTGAAGACACTAGACTGCATCGAGGACTTTGCTTCGGAGAATTTTGGGGGCAATTGAGAAGGGATGTGAGCCTGTGGGCCCTTTCATGTGCAAAGCAGATGGATCGCCCCTTGTCATTTGTACCCTGGTCAAGTTCGTATTCCCCTAGGGTTCCCGGGCAGGTAGTCCTGGTGCTGATCGTCAAACCGGTAATATCCACTGACGCGCTAGAGTGATCGTCTTCCAGCCCCGGTGCTAGCTGGGAGCTTGAAGAGACTTTTTCCTGGAAGCCCGGAATGTTGGCAGTGGGTAATGGTCTTTGCGGCAGCTCGGTGCCCCTTCGATCCAGTCGGAATTCGACCATAGACCCAGTGGGTTCTCTTGACTCGGATTCGCTGGCCGTAAGCTTGACACGATTCGTGCTTTTCAGAATGCCTGCATTCCGATACTTGTCCTGTGCGCTAGCGTTACTGAAGCTCCGCACCTGAGACACTGGTTGACCTTGGAAGCTATCACTGGGCAGTGATGATGTAAAGGAACGCGACCTTGATAGGCTTGACGATCCTTCATCAGAGGCGCCGCGGGAGATCGGAAGGTCAAAATAACCTCCCGCCATTTTGGCGTAATCCTTTCTCTCAAATTGCCATCTACTTCTTGGTTACTCAGTAGGAGCTCACAGACCCCCTGGATGACCGAGCTCTTAGATAAAAGCACGAGTAGCGCGGTTCATGTGCCCAGGTGTCAACTGTAACCCAGCAACAGTCAGCTATGTGGGATAGCATGGGAGAGAGCTCTTGTCTCCGGGACTTTGTGAGCTTCGGCAGCCAAGCAGATAGTAAGCTCACCTAGTTCAACGCAGAAGCATAAGAAAAGAGGAAAAAGGCACTGATGCCAACACAAAAAAAAAGAACTGGCACGAACATGCACACCAGGTCTAGAGCTTCTCGGGGAGAGGGGTTGAGATCGGAGGAAGTCCCGCCAGGAATGAGAACTATGTCATGTGTACATAATTAGACATAGGATATTGTATCGGAAAATAAGGACATATGCAACCTCGGAGGAAGGGAGAGGGAGAAAAGAAGTCAGGCAAGGCAAATCATTATAAAAGAGACAGTAGACACGAAGTCTTGGATGCAGGAGTTCCTCTATTTACGAAGATCCTCTCGGATAGAGACAGGACTAAAATAAAAAGATAAAAAAAGTCTTTTCCGGTTTGCTGGGCAGTACACGGACCATATCAAGAAGAGTCAGAGGCCCAATGAGACTGCATTGGAGGGGATTTCTTTTGGGCCATGATGACCCCGTGTAGCCGTAGCGGCGCCATTCCCATGCCAGGACCTCACGGGTTTTGCCATTTTGCCACGATGGTCAATCAGCAGGCAAGGTCGATGGCAAGATTGAGCAGCCAAGGTATGGAACCGACAACCAGAATGGTGAATAGATAAGGCACATTCCCCCTTGACCGGGTATATTGCGGGAGATTGGCACATTAGTTGCGCGAGATCCGGCTCACTGTCCCAAAAGGGATTGGATTTTCATCACAGCCGACGTTCTGGATCGTATATTATCGAACCTCGCCGAATCTTGACCGTTGGCCGAGCAGAAGATCCCCCAAAGGGGAGAGAGACAAGGGGACCGAGCTCCTTGTCAAAGAGACCCAAAGAGACCAGGGGTTTCACAGGACCATGAGGTCCCACAAGTCCGCAGAGTCAAAAGAATCTGATGGCCGCGTCAGGTCAAAGGGGTGTGGGTGGGTATCAAGACATGGGCTGAAGAGGGATCTTCATGATCGGAGGTTGAAGAAGATCAGTGGAGCAACTCTTTTTTTTAGCGCAGATTTACCTTCTCATTGTTGACTCAGGATCCCCTTCTTTTTCTGCTTTGGTCCATATTGACGTTTGAAATGCGATTACAAACCTGTCCAAGCCATCCCTTGTGTTTCTTTTGACATCATGGGAAATCACCCGACAGGCGAAACATCTCCGTCATGCAAGATACCTGCAAGATACCTGCTTTCCACTAGTTCCTGATTGATTCAACCAGTCAGGAACTACACAGGGATTCCAGCCTATCTTATTATCCACCTACATACTATAATTCCACATCAATACTCGGGGTCTGAAGATACCTATCACACCATCAGGGAAGAATCTCATATTGATAGCCGATCTCCCTCCCTTCCGACCAGGATCTCCACCGAGAAGCAGATGAGTACTCATACCGCAAGTTGACAACCGGAAGACTTCCGTGACCCGACTCGGTGTCCATCCTCAGAGGGGATGTTGAAGGTTTTTGATCTGTCCCGGCAATGTACAAGGTACGACAGATAAAAAGGTTTCACTAATATCCGGGGAAATCTTTTCCTTTCCCTGCTTTTCCCAGTGATAAAACCATTTCAATTGTCTATAGGAGAGTTGAACTGGCACACATGCACTCCTGAGTGGGCTCGAAACGCCCCCCTACATTATCAACCAATATCCCAGCCATGAGCTATTCGCTCGTCATTGTGCCACCTAAAGATGTCAGATGCTTATCTAGGCAGTGATTATTACCCAACCTATACTGCCCAAGAAACCTACGTCAGGGGAGCTTGTGGTTTAAGCTTACATATGAGGCTGCTGACTAGTTCTGGATCCGTGCTAGTCATGGCTAACAGTCAGGGGGAGACAATCAGGGCCCGACTTATTTCTCGGGTGTGGCAATCGAACGGTACTTCCTGTTGGATGCCGTGTAAGGTGACTCTTAACCCGCTGAGAGGATATCAGATGGAACTAGGATTGTCTCTTCCGAGGTACCCGTTATCAAACGTAAATTATACTCGGTATAATCTATCATTTGTTTCCATTCCTGGATCATATCCACATTCCACATCAAAACTGTAGAGACTTGACTAATATGTCTTTCTTCACCTCTATCTCATCCTTTCATGCATCAATGCGACCGCACAACCATCCGTGCCACCCTCTCCCTCCCTTTCAGTCACACGGCCCTCTTCCCCGAGTAGCCGTACCGAAAATAACGGTGTGACCTGTAAGGACGCAGGGACCAATACTTAAGCTTGGACTACAGAGCTGACATAAATACTATACTGTCTATGTAAGACGCATGTGCCACGGAGGTCCGGCTACTCTATCCTCGGGTAGACACAGATAAAGCTGCTTCAATTCCAGGATTCCTGCCTAGCCTGGGAGTAAATATTGTCTCCTACAATTACCCATTGTGACATTAAACTTTCCGCATGTTTAAACGAATATCCCATTTAAACGTCTAAGCTTAAGCCCTCGATTAAAGTATATGTCTTGCCGATGATAAGCGTCTTGTTTTACGTGCTGAACGGTAATATATGATCGACGTTGGGTTGACTTGTATAGAAATTTTGTCAACTTAGGGTTTGCACCAAGGTTTTTTAAGGCCGTGGTCGTACCATGGTTCTTGATATGCAACGCAAGCCTCAAGATCTCACGTACTCCAGAGGCAAAACTATATAGGTAAATGCATTCGACCTGTATACTAAGGTTTGTTCAATGCCGGCAACCGGCCAAGATTAGAACTGAGTGTCGGAGTACCGTCTACACCCACGTAGAATACTATTTATTAGCTTCACGCTGTGGCCCAAGAGATTATTTTCCTACTCATTGTATAGACATCAAGCTATATATATATATATATATATATGTATATAATTAGGAGCCAAGAGCCATCAAATAGTTACCCAAATCAACCCCCTTCAGCCTGACTCTGCCTCCTTTGTTTCTGATACTCGCCTCACTGAACTCATCATTCTCCTCACCGATAGTGGCCATTTGGGACGTGAGTAGTGAATTATATAAGAACCAGGTTTTATTTTGCCTTCTGACAAAAAGTGTAAATAGAACCCGAAATCGTTATGCGGCTACTTCGAGCTCGGAGCCACCCTCCATCATCATCAGCATACAACCCGGCTCTGTAACTCTGTAACAATAAAGACTAAGCATGAGATACATGGTGCATGAAGGCCACGGGCCTTTGAATGTGGTGTAGCGGGATTCACGCTGCCGTCTCGCATTGATGTCAATCTCACAAGCAGTCATGGTTACCTCTAGTGGCCTTTCTTTAGAGTACCTCGTAATGACTTTTGACCCATGATTTACGCCGTCCTTACATTCTATCCACAGGTTTAAACACTAAGCCTATAAAAGAGATAGAAGACACCTCTTTCACTTACAACTGTCGAGTGATACCTACCTAGGACTCATTAACAAACCGAGTAACCAGGTGTTCCACGTGGGTCATTGTAGGACAACATTAGGATTATCATAGGACCTAAGAAACATACATGCATAATCTGAAAAGTTGTTGGATTTGTTCGACCAAAAAGCTAGGTAGATACTGGAAACGTTCGTGGAGTATGATCAACATAGCCAAATACAGAATAGATACTTCAAACAAGATCAGACATTTGCTAAGATATGTATTCACCAAGGTGATCTGAGCTCAAAGAATGCACCGGGGAGAGCTATCTGTACATAACCAGATGTACATCAGAAGCCAAATAGAGAATAGATGAGAAGACCACTTGGCATCGCAGGTGCCTCTTTTCCAGTCTCAAGCTCATCCTGTCTTATCCGAGAAGATAGAGCCGGTCTGCCCAGCCTCGGCTGTAGTGAAGCCAGGCAACAAAAGGATAGAACGTAGTGGATAAAGTTGAAGAGAAGCAGAAAGCAAAAGTAAGAATAAAGTCATTTCAGACCAATCAAGATCTTTCGTCAAAAAAACATGAACCTTGGCATAAGCTGCCAGCAATAGTGGTAATGAGAAAAGGAATGGTAAAGGGTCAGCCATTTCGAGACCTGTTGATCAGGTCCACAGGGAAAGAAAGACAAAAGCCAGCCCATTTGCAAAAAGAAAAACAGAAAGAAAAGGTCATACGTCGCTGTCACGTGGTGTTCGGCATTACATGAAGGGTGTCTTGCGTTTTTCAGCGCTGGACAACACCAGCATCGGCGTCTTGCGCCGTTCTGGTGCCTGGACTGCCGGCCCCGGGCCAGCAACAACAGACGCCACTGACGGCGACGAGGTGCCACTGGCACTAGGCGAGGGAGCATAGTCCCCGCGAGCATCAACAAACTTTGAGCAAAAGTAGCCACCGTCCTCGCTAGTTGGAGTGGCACTGTGGAAGGGACTGTCCGGGGACTTGCGATCACGGCCAGATTTCTCCCTTCTCTCGGACCCAATGGCACCATTAGCAACCGCTCGCAGGCTGCCTAGACTGGGCTTGCTGGAGAGACTTCCGCCGCTGCGCACGGTGGCATCGTCGCCATCCGAGAAGGTAAACTCCTTCTCACTCGCAGGGGTATTAGTGCCTCCACTGCTGTGGTATCCAAAACTGCGTGTGTCGCTACGACGCTCGATCCCTGCGCGAACAAGATTGTGAACGGCACGACGTCGCTGACGGGTTGCAAAGTTCTTGCTACCCTCGTGCTTGGAGGTGGGTTTGGCCACGAGATCCTCAAGTGAAGGTGGGCCACGGGGCTGACGCATCGGATGCTCACCAGCACGACTTTGACCGGGCCCAAATGTTCCAGTGGCCGGTGTCGGCGGCAGTGCAGCAGACCTAGGGCCGGATCCCACATTGGCCTTTATAGTATCAATGTTCGTCTTGATACTCGGGTTAAACGAAAGGTTCTTGCGGTGGCCTCGGCGAAGAGCATTCACAGACGATTCGTGGGGAGGAGAGGGGCTGCTAACTGGAGGGGAAATTGGCTGCGGCAATTGCATGGGAGATTGCGTCGAGTCCGCAGGCGGAGAAATCTCTGCACGGAATTGGGGAACTTGCTGGCCAATGTGGGACTGATTATCCTGATAGAACTGTTGCTGGCGATCTTCCTGGGAGTTGTTATCCATAATATAGCTTTGTTGGCCAGTCAGAGGGTTGTAGACGCAGAACATTCCAGGTTGACCAGGAACCGGTTGCACAATGGGCTGAACGCCTTGTTGGAGCTGCTGTTGATAGAATCCCATGCCAGGGATGGAGGGCGAAGGCATCTGCTGCTGCCGAGGAAGGGACATCCCAAGGTTGAGGCCTTGGAATTGCTGAGCTGCAGCAGTGACACTGATCAACTGCTGTTGAAGACGTTGCTGCTGGGCAGCAAGGAACAGGTTGGTTGACATCAATTCTGCGTACATGTTCTCATCGATTGGAATATCGCCACCGGCCATTTCAAGCATCGGGGGTGCAAGTACCTGCTCTGGCATAGTATACATCATGCGGTTGTGGTGCGAGTTATTGCGGTGCGAGTTCGTGTTTTGACTCGTGGTGTAATTGTGCTGTGGGAATCCAGTTCCAGTCGCAGTTTGTGGGACCCGGTCGGTCCCTCGGTTGGAATACCCAGTGAATCTTGAACCTTCCATTCCACTCCGCTGCTGGTGTTCAGAGGGGATTGTCGCAGACTTGGGAGCAGTGCGCAATCCAGCCAAAAGATGAGAGCGACTGGTACGCGGAGTGGAGACAGAAGCCGATGCCTGGGACTCGTCGATGGTAGCAACCTGAGGCGGCATACTCAGACGCTTAATGTGAGAGCCTTTGCCGCGCGAGGCGAAGCCAGAGCCCGGCACACCCAGGGCATTGCCATTGTTGAAGGAAGAATTGTAAGACATTTGAGACATTTGAGCAAGACCGCCAGCGTCCATACTCATATTCGTTTGGTCGAGGTGGATTGTAGGTATGTGCAATAGAATGCAAGCGAGACAAGTGGTGTCTTTTGACGTCCGGATTTGATGTGAGCGTTTGGGGTCAACCACAAAGCTGAACTCACTTCCCGGCGATTAAGGAATTATGGTGTCTATGCAAGAACGAGCGCTGGAATAAGTCTGCAAGATCGAGATTCAACGACCGAAAAAGAAAACGTGGACGCGAGAGTCGGGTTTTCTGTATTCAAAAACTGGTCAGTAAGATCCAACGAATAGGGTAGGCGAAAACGCGTACCAATCACAGGTGAAGATATGCAAAGAAACCGAGCGAGTGGCTAGCGATAAAGATGGCAGATGCTAGAAGAGCTAAGCTGTACAAGGACTTGCTGGGTTTGAAAGTCGCGAACCCGAGCGATAAGTCTTGAGGAAGCCGAGGAGGTGGAGAGGATCTGATGACAGACACCTCGAAATGGAAGGAAAAAAATAACAATTAAGAGGATATTTTTGAGGGAAAAAAAGCCACGCGCGAAGCAAGACCACGAAGGAAGGATAAAATGTCCGGGGGAGATGCTCTGCAAATCCCAAACGAGTAAAAAAAAAAAGAGTAGTTCACGCGATGCTGAAGATCGAAGGCTTGAAGGCTGAAACAATGAAGATCGCGACCAAACAACCTAGTGCTAGGCGAATAACCGAGGTGAAAACAAGTTCAGGGATCCGGCCGAAGAGATGAACTTATGCCTCGAGGCAATCAGAAAGTGAATTCGGGTCTCGGCCAAACGCAACGGTTTTTCCTCAGGGGGCGGAACTAATCGGGACTATTTGCAAAGTGGATAAATGCTTTTTTGGGTGTTTTCCATGAAATGAGAAGAGCTGCAGAGAAAGAAGGAATGCAGAGGGGAAAAGGAAAAGAAAGAATCGAAGATTAGATGGAGGGTTGAGATGTGAGAGAAGAAGAAGAGAGAGATGGTGGATGGCCTAGGCGGGGATTGTTGCCTGATCCTCAAGGCACCAAATGAACACAATACCCAAATAGTACTAGCGTCCCTTTTCCAAGCACAATTGCTTTGAAAGGGAAATATCAAAGATCAAAGCCTCATTTTAATATCTTCCTTTGTTTTGTTTCTCATGGGCAAAATTGGGATAATTCAAGCTGTTTCAGCTTTACCTATACTGTAGGCAGATATCCCATTCTTTTGCCTGACTGCCTGATCATAGCTGATAGTAGAAGAACACCCATTGGGGAGATCTAACTGGCTCGTCCGATCGACCAATAAGCGACATAGCCAGACCTGAAGTGATCCCCATCACATCCCGAGCCAAATCATTGGCTGTTTGCCACTAGCGGCGCGACGTGGCCGCCCTCCACGCCTGACAATGCTCCTAGAGCCGCTCGCCGCTGATGCCAAGGGCGCCAACCAATAGGTTTGCCTGAACTTGCTTGCTTCTAGCTCATAACTTGATCAGATCTCATCATCATCGCTACAACCTTGGTGTTTTGGGACGAATTTCAAAATCTAGTTTAGCGTGTCATTCCAGGGTTCCTTGTTCTCCTGCTCTTTGACACCACCGGGCGTGTTTTTACAATATTCCCGGACTAGCTTTGCTCCCTCATGGCCTTGGATATCTAGCCTTGGATATCCCCCTAGATCTGTGGCTAGAAGCGTAGGAGTTGCCTTACGGACTATAGGTTATTTTGGGCGGATTTTGATCTCTAAAAAGCAACCAACGCTTGAAGAAACCCAGGCAATACGAAGAAAGGCAGAGGATTTGCAGAACATTGCCTACCAACTTGGTACGGCTATGCAGTAGAAATCTAGACTCTACCATCCTCATCACATGCTTTCTCGTGTGATACATTGCAGATGGTAATCATGTGACATTATGCATATTGTAGACAAGACCCCTTGCCCTGACTCATGAAACGAGTAGTGAAAGGGCCTGGGGATTAGCGTGATTATGATCTACAGTCATGAAGATCTGGATTGTCAACTGTAGAATTTCACGCAAAACGCTGGTATAAACCACGCCTTTTGCCATCCTCAATGAATCATACATGTATAACGTACACCTCAGCCCCTCCTGGCTTCATATTTCACATCTCGCCCGCTCGGAACCGTTGTTCCCCACGTTGTATGTACAGGATACAAGCACTCTTATAGACTGTACAGACAGACATGAAAAAAAAAGAGGTAGACAGCTTGTGCCCGCATTGTCTGCTTGTGGAGTCATAATGACAGTCAGATGGAAGAAGGGACCCAAAATCACAACTAGATGAGTTGTTGATGAGCCATGAGAACATGAAAAGAAAAGATAAAACAATGATATGAAGAAAAAGATAAAGATGCGGGGTATCTGCTGGCTGAGATAGTGTGCCAGAGGAAGAAAATCAATGAGTCATGAGATATAATCAAACGTCAAGTCCGTGGGTGCCCTCACGGTACTTAGGCATCCACTGGGACATCGGATCCAGGGAGAGTGGCCGACTCATTCTGGGAGGGCAATCGTCGATGACCTAGTTCCGGAGTGGTGCCCTTGCCATTCATTCGGTCAAATTCCAAAGTTTCAGCCAACTCCGCAGCCATAGGATCTAGGTCTTCTTCTTTGAGTCCGGTCGCCAAAGCCACCAGCTTGCGGTGCATATCGAACTTGGTGCTCACACCCGCATCCGCTGTTTGTTGGGCTAGATCCTTAATGGCATTGCGACGTATCTTCTGCGCAAAGCAGAGCTCATGGGCAAGTCGATACCGAGCCATTAATTCATCTTGCTCAAGGGAGGCCCGCGTGGGTTTGGGTACCTCCGTAATAGCAAACTGTTCGGCCAACCGAGCATGCTGGATTTGCTCAAGAAGGGATTCATAGCTTGCCCGCAATTTCTCATATCGACCAGCTTGGTCGTCACTGCGCTCATGCTCGGCCTCCTTAGCCGCCAATGCAGAGAGCTGCTTCTGAATCTTCTGGCGGTCGGATTCCAATTGCTCGTGTAACGCTTCGGGATTGGCGACATCATTGGAATCTTGCTGGTTGATCTTTGAGTTTCCATAGGTCACGGCAAGTTTTTTATTAGCCTCGGCCATGATGACTCCAATCTTGGAGAGGAGCTCAGAGGTCGCAGGTGCATCCGCAATTGGAGCAACGGACTGTCGATCCGTGCCCACAAGACCAGCTGCTTCAGCATCCATATGTTCATTGGCCATGGTAACGGAAGAGGGGGCCGGCGGGATGTCATGGCCATGATGTTGAGAACGTTGTGCGATACTGCTGGCGGTTTCCCCTTTATTATTCACCAGATCGCCAGCGCGGTGACAGTGCACAAGAAGGATGTTCACCAGACGGAACGCGCCGTTGCGAGCAGCGACCAAGACAGCGGTGTCTCCATTCTGATCCTGACATGACAACAACATTTGTATCTCATCTTGTGAGCACGTCTTGCATAACTTATCAAGGAGTATTTCGCAATAATAACGCGAGCTCTTCCACTTTCCCTTGCTTCGAGTATTTTCTGCAATATGATGGAAGATAGTGGCACCGAACCAATCTCGGAAAGAGACAGTGTCCAGAAGCATATCTAAGAGAGTCGGAAACGTTCTCTTTTCGTAATTATTGGTAAACAGAACAGCTCGGACGAGTGGGGTCTCTTCATGCTCCGAAAGTGCCTTGACATTAGCCCCTTTGTGCAGAAGATCTTGCACAATGCCCAAGTCACCCATCGCACATGCCCAATGGAGTGCTGTATTCCCAGAATCATCAATGGCTCGATCGACTTGGAAATGAGCGGGGGGCTCGGGAGGAGGAATGCGTGTTGCCTCTGGTGCATCACCCACGGTCATGAAATAGTCTAGAAGCTGATCGCCGTAGATTATGTGTTCTTGCTCGCTGATGGACATGGCGGTTGCCTCTTCCACTCCACGCTTCCGCTTCCGTCCGCCATGTGACATTTGAAGCATATCCTCGTCTGCGACCATTGATGATGTTTCAATTGTGGCATGTCCGATTGACTCGTTATCGTCGAACCCTGCATTCATTTCATAGTGATCTTGTGGAATGGTTGGGGGACCCATGCTGTGCTGAGGTTGAACGACTTTCAGGGTCTCTGAAGCTGCTGCGGCGGCGGCAGCCGCAGCCGCAGCCGCAGCCGCAGCACGGTTTGCTGCGGCCGATTTCCTCGGTGCCCTAGGTTTAGACGGAGCCGATGTGTGTTTTGGCGCTGGCGGGGGACTGTGGTCTCCAGCAACATAATCGAAAATCGGGGCTAGTTTTGTAAGGATGTTGTTGCGTTCGGCAAGCTGGCGACCTTCCGGAAGTGGTATCCATGTTCCTGCGAGCATTACCTGTCAATAAACTGAAGCCTCTGGGCCTCATAGATCCCAAGACATACCCTGATATTTGCCATAGCCTCCCTGGACTTTCTCGTGTACCCCCTTCTGGACCTCTCGTTCGAGGATGCGCGTTCGTGCAGGTTTATCAAACCCTGCGGCTTTGAGGATGTGTGTTGCATTGACCCAATCATCCCCTCGCCTTCTCATAACACTGTCAGTATCGAGCTTGAACTCGTACACGGGGACCTAGGAGTGAGAACGTCAGCTGTGCTCGTATTCAACACGGAAAACAATCCCATGCCGCAAGGTAGAAATATTCAATTGGACGTATACTTACACTGCTATAGGTAGCAGAGTAGATGGTGTCACTCCCCGCCATGATGTGTGTCGCCGTTGGCCGCTGCAATTCAGTAGGTTCCAGAAGAGCGATATAGCGCCCATGCACGTTGGAGCCGAGATATCACTCCTGGAGGATCCACAAGATGATTGGTTTAATAATGTTTCGGCACTTGATGCATTTCACGCAATAAAAATCCGGACCGAGAACGTAGAGACACGATTCGGTGGAGCTGGGGGTGGCATCCCAAATACGCGCTGGACGCGTAAAGTGCGCACTAATCCCATTTCGGAAAGCTATCATGTGATTTTGTGTCATGTGACCAATATCGGGCCAGCAGGAACCTCAAACGAGCGGGAATCGCCAACCACGCCGTCCTGCCTCTGATTCCCCGCTCCTTGCCTTTCCAACCCTCAATTCTCGACAAAATGACTGTCATTGAAACGGTTAAGAGCGCTGTGGGTCTGTCGGAGACCTCCGGTAAGATTCTAAGGCCATTGATCAACAATTAAAAGCTCTAGCAGGAAAGTTAACCAGACTCCAGCAACCCGCCAGGAAATGTCGGAAGCCCGTCTTCCTATGCAATACAGAGATTCATGTGCACACCTGCTGATTCCGTTGAACCGATGCCGGCAAGCAGAGTACTACCTTCCCTGGAAGTGCGAGGTATGAGATCCTTCGTTTTGACACAACCCGATGCGACCAGAGCGCTTTCCAGAGCTAGTCAGCTAATGCCATTCTCTTCTTCTCCTCTAGGATGAACGCCACTCATATGAGAAGTGCCAGTACGAGGAGTTCAAGAAGCGTGTGGCCAAGATGGACGAGCTGCGTGCCGCCAAGGAAGGCGCCCGGAGCAACTGAATTGTGGGACTGTTAGTATGCGCGGTCGGTGCTGCTGCTGAAGCGGCAGGATATGTAAATAAGAGATACACCGAAACTGCTTATGGATTGCCTTTTGGCGTTGGGACCTTTCATCAAAATCGGCCACTACATTTTCTTCACCTATATGAACAACAATTGCATCCGCGACTTGATGCTCTGTTTGACATTGGCTAGGTTGGTACCTAGCATATTTCTCAGGGTGACATGCTTCTTGCGTCAAACATGTGTCCATGGACAACCTGTCATTTGGCATAGCTCGAGCGCATATAACCATAACATATAACGGGTAGATCACTTTTGCGAAAAAGAACCATGGGTACAACCCTAAGGCTTTAGCTAATGAATTCCCGGGGTTTCCTCGGTGGTCAAGAGGCTATGGTTGTATAGCTCTTTGGGTGAACTTGGACCGCACTGCTTTGCTGTCGGCAATGATGCCCTGTTACGGGCTACCAATGTAAAGCTTGTGGGCTCATTCGGACTGCTTATTCTACAGATATCTCCCTATACGCAAACCCATGATCTATGATTAAAGCATGTTGCCTAATTAAACGTCCTTTAGTACTGCGTCCAATGATCGGTTGCGGCTTTATAAGCTTAAAGCTGTACCTAGATAAGCTGTATTAGCTGTATTGCTGCCGATTGGTGGTATGCACGATACTACGCTAATTGCAGTAGGTATCATGACATGACAAGTAAAACACATTGATGCATTAAACAACATTTGAAGCCCAAAAAGTAGTCTACCATATATAGCTCTTTATGAAGAGGTGATGAATATCTCTATAAAATTGCACTATAACGTGATATCTGCTTATTTGATACTTATTTCCAGGTATATTTGATGCAGTCATGATTGAAACAAATCAATAAATTCCCCTTATGCTCATGATATCTCTTATGCTCATGGTACTTTCAAATTTAGGCACTGACTTCCGACCTATCCTTTAGTTATTACCTCCAAGTTCAGCTTAGTTTATAGAGAATTAAACAGTATTCAAGTAAAATTTAGTATTAGCTATTAACTATCATATATGTAACTTTATTTTCTTTCCTTTTGTACCTATACAACGCTCGGACCTATGATAGACGCTCTGATGATCCTTGAAGGCGCAATTGCAGGGTCTCATATCACCACATGCCTTTCTATACCAAGACACTTCATGTTTACAACGTCTTAAATGAGTCAAATGAAGGCATATTCCTATATAAAAAGCCTAGATAAAATAACATTGAACCACTTCGAAGGTTTCAGGTGACAAATCATGATTAATAATACAAGTCCAAATTCCGCCCAGATGGGAAATAAAACTCCCGCCGTTATCGCCGCCCCCGCCAGAAAATCGGCCAAAAATTGACCCCCCTCATTGCGATTTGCCAGGAATTAAAGAGAATCAATTAGAAGGGGGACTATGCGCTGGTCTACATCTCTTTGACTACCGGCTCTTCGACCTTTAGCTCTTTCACCCACTCTGGGATTGTCTTGAGACTCTTTTACCCTATATACTTGTGCCTGGGCATTTTGTGTTTGCCAGTTTGAGGCCTACATCTTTGACGCAATGGGACTTCTGTATGTGTTTTGAGAGGCTTGATCTGCTTTCGGACTTCATCTAATCTCAAGCAGAGCACTTGGAACAGCGCTGGAATGGCCGGAAGCCAAGAAAAAGGCGGGCCAGGTGCGGCAGTGGGGTATCGAGGTATGCCGCTTCTGTTCGATCTAGGCCGGCAACGAAACAACCTCGGAGTGTCTGACTTAATTAGCAATTACTTGCCAATTGGCGTAGGGCACGAGGCAAAGAACGCGATGCTCTTCTCTGGGGTGACGAGGTATGTTGTTCTAGTTCGCATAGTGTTTCCGGTCGCAATCGCTGATCCATATGTTCTATGATAGGTTGAATACCTCGTGGTGGCTCTCGACGATGCGGCGAAGAAATCCCGGCTATCTCTAGCCCAGGCTGAGATTCTGAAATCACTAGCAAGAGATGAGGAGTTGTGGAAGTCTGGTTCTGGCAAGGACAGCGCAACTGGGGACCAGTGAGTGTGATTTGATGTCAAAATCAGGAATTGGCATATCTGACACCAACTAGTGCCGGAGAGGAGCCGCCTCATTTCCACCCCGAATTTGGAAGGTTCATGTTGGAGGCTACTCCTGGACAGCCTTGGGGAATCGGGTTTAAAGACCTACTCAAGGTGGAGTCCAACATGAAGTGGAGGTGAGCCCTTTCAGCAACACAACTTGACCTGAAACATGCTAATAGCTTTCCAAGACGAGAAGTTGCGAAAGCACACATGGCCCCGAATGAAGTCCCCATCACCCTAACAACCTTCCCTCGGCTGGGAACCAAGGATGACTACATCCAGCCATATTATCCTCCGTCTGGACCAGCTCTCCGCTCGCAGTTTGTTCCTGATGAGATTGCCAACCCCCATATCCGATTCCCTACTCTAGCTGCCAACATTAGATCCCGAAGAGGTCGCAAGGTCGAACTGAATGTACCTGTTTTCCATGACACAAATACGCCCAGGCCATTCAAGGATCCGACAGTTAACTACGACCTTCATAATTGGCCCGAGGATGACGACGTCCGCAACGGCGCAGCCAAGGATGATCATGTTTACATGGACGCCATGGCATTTGGAATGGGCAGCTGTTGCTTGCAGATCACCTTTCAAGCAAAGAATATGACAGAGGGCAGAAGACTTTATGATCAACTGAGTCCTTTGGGTCCCATTCTTCTGGCCCTGACTGCCGCTACACCCATCTATAAAGGTTTCCTAGTGGACACAGATGTGCGATGGAACCAAATTGGCAATGCAGTCGATGATAGGACGCCCGAGGAACTTGGTGAAGCTGTAAGTTTTCCGGAATGATACCCTTAGCTCGCCGAACTAACCTCTTGCAGCCTCTCAAGAACGACCGGTGGAGAATTCCCAAGTCGCGATATGCCTCTAATTCGACTTACATATCCCAGGATCATCGTCTCCGGAAAGAATACTTCGATCCTGATCTAGTTGTTGATGAGGATATTAAGAAACGCCTTATGGACGGGGGAATGGATGATCTACTTGCGACGCATTTTGCACACTTGTTTATCCGTGATCCCTTAGTCATTTTCTCTGAGGATCTCGAAGAATTGGACCTTAACAAGAGTGACCACTTTGAGAACTTACAGTCCACTAATTGGCAGCACATGCGCTTCAAGCCGCCGCCACCTGATAGTGATATTGGCTGGAGAGTTGAGTTCCGGTCTATGGAGATCCAAATCACAGATTTCGAGAACGCCGCATTCAGCATTTTCATCGTCCTCATCACTCGTGCCATCCTGAGCTTCGATCTCAATTTCTACATCCCGATTCAGCGCACTACAGAGAACATGGAGACGGCCCACGCTCGCAACGCTGTTCTTGATCGGAAGTTCTGGTTCCGCAAGGACCCCTTCCCTCGCAGAGTGCCCAGAAGCGCACAGCAGTCGACGAATGGCAGCACCTTCTCATCTACGACCTCGTCAGCTGTGAACACTCCACCTCCATCGCCTCCTCTTGGTCCCGTTGAGACCGAGTTTGATCTCATGACCATCGACGACATTGTGAATGGATGCGCAGACGGATCATTCCCGGGTCTCATTCCGCTTGTTGAGTCTTACCTCAACAGTGTCAATGTTGACGTCGAGACCAGGTGTTTCCTGGCCAGCTATCTTGATTTGATCCGGAAGCGAGCCGATGGAACTCTTTGGACTGGGGCTCGTTGGATGCGTGAGTTTGTAGCCAAGCATCCTAGCTACAAGCAAGACAGTGTTGTGTCTGAGGAGATCACATACGATCTAGTGAAGGCCGTTGAGGAGATGACCGTTAAAGAAGGCAAAAAGGGATCAGTCGGATGGGAACTTCTCCGAGGCAAGAAGGTCTAGATCTGAGGCACCCACACACACAACTAGATATCCAGAGTGTGAGCATGTATGATGGAAACTTGAATTTATTTGCACATATTCATGACAATTGGAGGCAGCCCTCCTTGTCACAGCATCTGATGAATTTTAATTTTCTCATTCCTCAAGTGTCTCCAACCAAAGTACTTATTCCAGCAGCATTTCCTCCTCAGTCGGCAGCCGACACGAGTCTGCCAGCCCAGTCACCTTCCATTCACCATTGAGTTTATGCAAAACAAAAAGTTCCACACCAACATGATCCACGGCGCCATTGATCTTCGACCGGAATGGCGCCCACACAGCGGCCAAGTTCAGGCTTCCTGTGTCGTGCACCTTCACCTCAGGATCCCAGATACGCTCATCGATGTCGTCTTTGAGCCCAGCGACATGTTCAACGAACGAACCAATCGTACAGAAGCGTAGGGAAGTCGGAGATGGAGGCGATAATGTCATCCCTCCTGCTCGGATACAGTGTTTCTCGAAATCGGCGCGCGACTTGGTACTCAGGGCTGCGAGGAAACCTTGCGTGACTGCGATAATGGCGGCTGTTTCCTCGGATTCTAGTTGAATTGCTGCCCTGGTGCGAGAGCGGTTTGATAATGACCAGCACATTGCTGATGGGATGATTTGGTCAAATCATCATAATAGTGAGATCATCTTATTATATCTTCTATTTTCTCTGATTTCAAGAAGCAAACAACTATATGTATATGTGTACATATGCATACTGCTCACTATTATTCGGGTCACGACTGTTACCGTTACATGCTCATCGGTCTGTTGTTTCGGTCTGTTACACTTTGTCTAACTTGGTTGAATTTCAGGATTTTAGGAACCCTGCGATCTTGCTGTCCTACAAGGGTAAGTGCTTCGTATCACACATCGACTTATTTGGTGCCCCGGAATTTCATCCTACAATGTTCCTACACTCTTTTCGCTGAACTTGATGATTGTGTGACTATCAGGAGCATGTGGCAACTGCTAGGCTATCTCTTTTGACTATATCTATAAATATATAAGACTTACCTCGAAAGCACAAAAGCTTCGGTTAATCTTCGGATGGTTTAATATGGCTATGACCAAAGCAGGCAATCGTCCGTCAAGCTTTTGAGAAAAATGCCGTGAAACTAAATACCCCGAACATCCCGAAGGGGTATT